GAACTCCTTGAGAAGGCGATGGATCCGATGGACAGAGAGATGTTTTCCGGAGATGGATTTGAGTTGGTGGGTTCAGATGGTTCAGGGGTCAAAAATCTCGGACATGTTGAGCTGGGTGGGCAGGCAAACTACGTGGAAGTTTCCCGTTTGTAGCTCCATATATAAGACGGGAACAGCATTCCTGACTGACTGTTCAATCATCGGTCATCGTCTTCGATTTTTGAGTGAGGTGTAAAAGTTTGCCAATGATTGGAACTGTGCTGGGAGCTGGTTTTTCACGTGGATTGAAGAGGATGGACCCAAAATGACCATGCCAGATGCCAAGCACGGAGATGCACTGAGGCAATATCATCACCATCTATATCATGGCTCTCCTTGTCAGCCTTGACACGTTTTCCTATACACAGGTGCGGTCTGGCCGGGGCCCAGATGGTGTCTGAAAGCTGAAATCCTCCATGTTGCGTGGCTGGTTAAATTACATATAATCAAATATAATAAAAAGTCAGCATCCCAATAATATTTATAATAAATCATCATGAATCACCATGCCACTAAAAAAACATGTTTCAGCAACAAAAAACATGCCACTTCAACCAGTTCGAACGCCGTTCCGTTCGACTTCACCTGGTGAGGTCGGAATCCTGGTGGTCATGGTGGCCGCCACCTGGAGCTGTGTGGAGGGTGAACTGAACTTCAGCCGCTTAGCCTGGGGAACAAGGCTTAGCCAAGGCTTAGCCTGGGGAAATGTTAGTTCATGTTGAGGGGAATGATAGTTAATGTTAGCTATTCACTTATTCACTTAGATAATGTTGGCTCATGGTTCGTGAACGTTATTTAATTGATAATAAATGTCCCGGTTAGTTATATATATAACGGTAATTATAGGTAGTGAATGTTAGTCTGTCTTCCAGCCAGTCAGTCAATTAATTAGCTAGTTCGTTGATATACCAAAATCAGATGAGATGATGTATCAATGTTTATAGCATGTTATAGCTATAGCAAAGCCCAGCAAAGATGCCGCAAAGTGTGAAACCAGCATGTGAATTGGATAATATGTGCTTTATATTTCCAGGTGACCCATGTTTTGTTTATCTTTTTTCCTGGGGAAACCTATATAGCTAATTAATTAGTGGAGTAATAAATTGATGAAAGGGGAGAGATAGCATATATAATTACAGTATTTTGGTTGATATATATGTGGGATCATCAATGTTTTTTGGTTTAGCCCCTACTTCATGGTTAAACAGTTGGCATATGGGGAAATATTGTTAGGTGAACCGTGTTATATACCGTATTTAGTTTCAACATGTTTCAACCATTTATATACCAATTAGTATGACAGGATTATACAATATTCACATGAATCATTTTGGGAACCATGGACATGATATACCAATGTACCAATATGTGGGACATTAATTGATTAATGGGAATCTGATTAACAAACAGGATGGGAAAGGGGAAATTGAACCAATGAACAAAGGAGTAAATACATGCCGCTATACCAATGAACTGATGGAGGGAACCCATATCTCAATTACTCAGTCCTGACAAGTACTAGTAAGTAAATAAAGGGCCATACTTCAAGCAAGAGAGTCATGGCTGCACGACACCCCTGTTGGCTGATGATTAGTTCGTGGGTTATGTTGCCCTTCACCAAAAAAAGGGGAAGAGAATCATCGATGGGAATCCCCAATAAACAACCAGCATAACCCACAGGATCCATGTATGGTATATATGCTAACATTTGGGGTATAGCATACATGGATCCTATTGGTAATGGAATGACAAAGGGTTTTGAACCGTGCTCAATTGGGCAAAAACATATGTCCGGTTGATGGCATGGCCGGCATGGCATGTTTCAAGTTGTTGATCTCACTGGCCCGACTGGCGAAAAGCCGCTTTGACAAAGATTTGATGCGAAACATGCCAAGAAATGGGCGATGAACCAACCATACAGGCAGTTTTAAGCATCACAATTTGGGATTTAACTCCACATCAATACCGGCACACCACTATCATGTGCAACTGGTTGGTGTTTTTGTTTGTTCTTTTTCAACCCTAAAAATGGAATGATGCGACTGTTGATTTTCAATGATTAATCATATCCATGGTGTGGGTCCATCAAGCACCGGAATCAAGGAACGATTTTCATGAACTGTCCAGCATTTTCCAGCAATCACCCTCCAATGGTGATCTAAAAAAATAGGGTGGTTAAGTGCTATTCCGGCTTTAGAACCTTACTGTATATAATATGTTGGAGCGATTCGGGTTTTTTTCGGGTGAAAAATACACCTCAAATGGACCAACATGTGTTGATTTTGGAATGATTTTTGATAAAAACTCAAGTGATTCTACTGTGACGCGGCTTTCCAAGGCTTGCTTGGTTTCGTGGTGTGACTTGGCTCTTTGGGGCGATACATGCAGCAAATGTGTCACTGGCACCCCCTTTTTGATTAACCAAGGATAGCCATGGTGTATTGATCCGGGACATTACCGAACGGATCCGAACGGTCAATCGGATGGTTTTGCTCATGACTTGGCTATGCAGGGATAAGACTAGGCTATGCCGCAGTTAACACGCACACCCAACCAAGCACTTGGAATATGGCAATAGAAAAAAATTGAAGGTTCGTATTGACGTTGACCCATTGTAGACCCTTCCAGGCAGGGCAGCGCCAGCACCTGCGAAGCCGCCAAGACCATTTTTCAAGCTCTGGTCTTGTCGGGCAAGGGGCAAAAATTGGATCCCTTGTCCACGGTCTTGGCGACCCGGTGGATGTTCGATATATGGATATGGTGGGCTGGATGTTGCTAGAAAAGGGATGATTTGTTCAAGTGTTGTTGAGTAACATCGTAGCGACTAGTGAAGGGACATTGAAGAAGAGATTTGTTTATTGGGGATGTTTGATGCATCCACTTCCCTCAAACCCCACTGGATGGTCCTCAATTTTGTGGAATTCAATGAGGTATCATGAAGGTCATATCTTAAAATTCAACTTGACCAAAATCAATATGGATTGTATATGATTGTATGTCCTTGTGTATATATTGATTTATATTATATAAATATAATGTTGTATATTGTTATATGTTGATCTAGGATGCCGATAATATGGCACAATCCGTCACCTCGAGCCCAGGTGGTGATGCCTATGTCCGGCCTCCTGCTGGTTGGGTGCTTAGCGTTGCAACGGTTCGGCTCCGTTGGAGCCTGGAAATGCACGATATACATCTAAATAAGTTATTCACTGATATTCATTGTATATAAACATATTTGTTTTGCATTTGTTTTTATATATACACATTCATGTGTTTACACACGTGATGATGATGATGATGATGATGATGATGATGACGATGATTATGGTAATATGATGTAATATGGAGGGTTCAGGTCAGGTTGAAAACCATCAGAAAATAGAGTAGCCATGAGAAAATACTCATCTATGACATTCTATGACTCTATGATCATGCGCGTTATTGTCAAAAGGGGTTGGAAAAAATCAGACACGATCCCGTCCCTGGACGGCAGGGATGGTGGACGGCAGTATATGGGTTTTGTGAACCAAGAAGCCACAAAACTGCAGGCCCAAAGATCATCAAACATCAGGTTGACATGGACCTGTATGGGACAGAAGTTGAGATCTGAGTTTCTGGATGCACCATCTTATGTTCAAGCGTCTTATGTTTATCGTTCAAGCGTCTTATGTTTATCTCCTATGGCCTTTTTTTACGCCTCAAACTTTGGAAGCCATGAAATCCCATGGTCTTAGAGATGAAATGTGGAAGATGGTACTGTTATGTTCCCGATTTTGCATGTGGTTTTCCGGTTTTCCCTTTTTAAGATGCTCGTTCTGTTGGTATCTCACATTTTTAGGCACACCTCGAAGTGATAAAAAATGGTTTTTCCTCCCAGTTCCCAAGCGAGAAAAACACGAAAAAAAAAACGATGAAATACATCCAAGATCCGAGGGATTTTCACGGTGCCCAGCATTTTTTACTCTGGTTGGAATCCCCACCTTTTCCAACCTCAAGCCCGTTAGAGTATCAAAGCTGGTTGGTGGTTTGGAACATGTTTTATTTTCCCCAATAGTTGGGATGATGATCCAATCTGACTAATATTTTTCAGAGGGGTTGAAACCACCAACCAGAAAGTGTACCCTGGGAAACCACCATCCTTTCCATATCTTTCCATTGCAGTTGGCCGTCAGTGTTTTTGCTGCACTTCCCTAGATCTCTGTCTTGCTGTTCAAGAACCTGGTGATGGAAGTGGGTTTCGCAAAGCAACCAAGCTGGTCAGAGATCGTTGAATGGAAGTGGTTTTTGATGCTCAACATCGTGACTTGGTTTTGCAAAGAGTTCTTGCTTCTGGTTCTTGACTTGCTTTGGAAGTGCTTTCTGATGCTCAACATCCTGCTTTCCCGGAAGGTGAATTTACATGAATTTACCATAAATGGGAGTCTAGACCAACCAGAAGATACCAGAAGATCTATTTTTTTCAAGGTATCTAAAAGTAATTTAAAACCACATATAAAACAGTTGTGGTTAAATATATGATAATGATGATAATGTGCTACATCTCTCTAAATTTTGGGATCCTTAAAGGGCAAATGGATGGCTTTATGGGGCCTGGCCCAGGTGAACGCCTTTGGGCTGAATGTGGCCATCGCAGTGTTCTTGAAGTACCTCTCACCGGTGACCTACATTCTCGTTGGACGCCTGGGTTTTTCTGTGTGGACCCCGGGATGGGAACCCCGGGATGGGATGAGGATGGAGGCAGAGGACAGAGATATCATGAGATATATCCGAACAAAAGACTGGATATAGAAATATTTCTACATCATTCTACATATATAATTATATTATCTATAGAATATCTATATATATGTGTGTGTGTGTGTTTCTGATTTGCGCAAAGTAGATGAAATCAGCAGGAAAGTCAACATTTATATCTGCATTACACCAGTTCTGGTTGACCGCTCGCCAAGGAAACCTCAAGGATATTGTCGTTGTATCTTGGATGACCCAGACCACCCAGACGCCTCAAAGCTGATGATTTACCCTCTGGTAATTTAACGTAGCTATGGAAAATCACAATTTTTAATGGGAAAACTCACTATAAATGGCCATTTTCAATAGCTATGTTAAATTACCAGAGGGTAACGCTTTGCGAACTGGAACATCACCCCTTTTAGGAGCTAAATTATCATACATCATCTATTTCTATGGGCCATTTTCCATATAGCTACTGGCTATGTTAAGTAACGAGAGGGTACTCAATCTGGGCGGCTTATATTATATTGACTTCAAACATCTCAACGTTCAAAGGGCTGCTGCAAGAATGTGAGTAGTGGGGAAGCTCTCTGTAAACGTTGAACCTTTTCATCGGCTCAATTGACAGATCACCGAAATTGGATGAGTGCTGCGACCCAACACCAGGGCTCGAGATGAACTGCCCTATCCCTTGGAAGTTAAGATTGAATGGCCATTGATTCATCCCATTTTTCAATGGATTGATTTAAGGGAGAAGTTCGAGGAAGATCATGGTCTTATACCACCAAACCTCGGGCGATTTGTCAAAATTTGTCGCATCAATTCTGGGCTGGCTGGTTTGAAGTATGTTCCATGTTCAACCACATTTGGATACATTTGGCATATATTTGCTGATTGGTGGTTTGGAACATGTTTTACTTGTCCACAAAAATTGGGAATAATCAACTGACTAATTAATATTTTTCAGAGGGGTAGGTCAACCACCAACCAGATGGCATCATGAAAACCATCATTGACCAAAAAAATTACACTAACCATCATCATTAACCATATATTAACCATATATTAACCATATATTTGGGATGATGATCCCCTTAGTGTCTGTCATATCATTGACGACACGGTCCTCTCCCCCAAAAAACGCCGAGGTGTGCATGTCGGCGTACATCATTCACGAGGCAATTAGTCTCACGCAGGCCGGGCTGGAGATTTTTAGGGATTTTTCAGGTTGTGAAAGGTAAAGTTGATTGATGAATCATATGCAGCAATTAATTAGACATTTTTGTGTTTTAGACTGTTGAAGAACATTCAACATGTATCATATTCATCCAACATATTCCAATATATTCCAAAATGAAATCCATATATCATATTCATTCATATTCCATATTCCATATATATATATACTGTATATATATATATACATTCATTCAACATATTGATGTTGATTGTATTTGGATGAATTGGAATTTCCTCAGTCTGACGTCACAAAAAATGGCCTTCTGGAAGGGATCTCTTGATTTGGAAGCGGGTTTCTGTGCCATGCGTGGTGGGTTTCTGTGTAAATCCTTGACCCTCCTTCGTTCTTGATGGGAGAAGCCCCGTTTCAGATGGTTTCAGATGGTTTTTTTTTAGGTTTTTTGTTGGGCGGACACCGATCGCTGGTGGATAGCCATGTCTTCTGTGAGCTCCGAAGAAACAGACCTGCCATGACCTGAGGTCACAGAGGGTTCCATGGCAAAATCAGCGAAACAGCCGGCCTTTTTTCGCCCACGCGTATCAGCAATTCTGTGCAAATCTCCCATGATTTTCATGCTGCGGAATAGAAGTGAGATAAGCCATGATAAATTGCTATAAATTGCAACATGATCCCCCTTGGAATTTCCTCTAAAGAATAAGACAACCCGGGTTGTCAATTTCTGCTTGATTCTTTAGAGAATTAACTTTGCCTGTTTGCATGGGGTCGCGTTCTCTATGAAGGGCAGCCGGGTATGATTCTTTAGAGGACTATGTTGTGGAAGCATTTTTTGCAATTTTGGAACCCTAAAATGACCTTCTCAATTTTTCAAGTGCTGGCCAAAACATGGCTCAAAAGCCGCAACAAAACTGACACTAGACATGATGAGAGTAGCACAATTTTACATAGATTCATACAATAACTCCGTTCATCGTTTTGCCGGGCATAGCAAAATACAGACATTAAAATGTAGTAGGCATTTTGGTGGCCTTGTGTTTCCCTAATGGAATCAGCTCCAATTCTTTGATCCTTCATAGAATATTTCAATAAAAATGGAACAGAGGCATGATGTGGCATCCACTATAGGTCTGAATCAAGCGTCCTCAATGCCTGCTCTTTCTCCCTCAACTCATTCCGAGTGGACCGTTGGCCCAAAACAGTGCGATCAAACCACTCGTCCTGAGTGAGCTGATCCTTGAAAATGGCTGGGACGTAGTGATTCCGCTCACCTTCTTGAGCAAACTTGGCGTCGCAGCTGACTATGCACCAAGAATCAGGACTCTTGTATCCAAGTCGTCACCTTCTCTCCGTTCGATCTGGATGTTTTCAGGAAGAATCCCGCACAGATAATCTCTGGCACTGAGAACCTCCAAGGCCCGATCAGGCTGAGGATCAACTGCAATGGCTAAACTCTTGCCCTGCTTCACCGCAAAAAGAAAGGCATCTGCTACCCCTAGGAAGAAACCATCGTCATTCACCTTCTCCGAGTATTTCTCGATCATCCTCTCTGTGAAATCATTCGGAAATTCTCCTGGGCTACACATGGCCAAACAATGGCAAAAACATGTACAACACGTATTGAATCTTCTGGGCTCTTCTGAGTATCCTTTCTTGAGCTCTAAAGATCTCTAAAGAATCTAAATCTGATCGGTGCTGCCACCAGCTCTCCCTCTAAAGAATGTTTTTTTCCTCTCTTCCTCCTTGGTGATTCACTGGGTCTAGATTCTTTAGAGAAAATGCAGGGCCAATGAATCTAGTAACACTGGGGAATACAAAAGAAAGCGATAAAAAGCATGGGTTTTGATGGGTCGACAGGCCTTAACCTCTAAAGAATCAGAACTGGCTCGGTCCCCTTCCAAATCTGTTAAAGCACCATCCCCCCAGGGAATTCCCAGAACCCCCAGTATTCCCAGGTATAGCACCAGCGGTCTTCAGAAGGCAGCTCAACAAACCCCTGTGTTGGGATCTGGGTCCTGATTCTTTAGAGAGGCTTCCCCTGAAAATATCCCAAACTTATCCAAAATGAACCAAAATAACATAGAACTGTGTAAAACTACTGGGTTTTGATGGGTCGAAAGGCCTTAACCTCTAAAGAATCAGAACTGGCTCGGTCCAACGCCATCTCCCCAGGGAATTCCCAGGGAACCCCCAGTATTCCCAGGTATAGCACCAGTGGTCTTCAGAAGGCAGCTCAACAAACCCCTGTGTTGGGATCTGGGTTCTGATTCTTTAGAGGGACTTCCCCTGAAAATATCCCAAACTTATCCAAAATGAACCAAAATAACATAGAACTATGTAAAACTACTTGGTTTTGATGGGTCGACAGGCCTTAACCTCTAAAGAATCAGAACTGGCTCGGTCCAACACCATCTCCCCAGGGAATCCCCAGGGAACCTCCAATATTCCCAGGTATAGCACCAGTGGTTTTCAGAAGGCAGCTTAACAAACCCCTGTGTTGGGATCTGGGTCCTGATTCTTTAGACTTATCCAAAATGAACCAAAATAACATAGAACTGTGTAAAACTACTGGGTTTTGATGGGTCGAAAGGCCTTAACCTCTAAAGAATCAGAACTGGCTCGGTCCAACGCCATCTCCCCAGGGAATTCCCAGGGAACCCCCAGTATTCCCAGGTATAGCACCAGTGGTCTTCAGAAGGCAGCTCAACAAACCCCTGTGTTGGGATCTGGGTCCTGATTCTTTAGAGAGGCTTCCCCTGAAAATATCCCAAACTTATCCAAAATGAACCAAAATGACATAGAACTGTGTAAAACTACTTGGTTTTGATGGGTCGACAGGCCTTAACCTCTAAAGAATCAGAACTGGCTCGGTCCAACACCATCTCCCCAGGGAATCCCCAGGGAACCCCCGATATTCCCAGGTATAGCACCAGTGGTTTTCAGAAGGCAGCTTAACAAACCCCTGTGTTGGGATCTGGGTCCTGATTCTTTAGAGAGGCTTCCCCTGAAAATATCCCAAACTTATCCAAAATGAACCAAAATAACATAGAACTATGTAAAACTACTGGGTTTTGATGGGTCGACAGGCCTTATATAACCTCTAAAGAATCAGAACTGCCAATGATCTTTAGATCAGACTGGGGAAATCTTGCGTTGCAAGAGTTATGAGTCCAACAACACAGAGAATATAGGGTTTGACGGAAAAAAATATAAAAAAAAACAGAGCAACCAAAAAAAACAAACTAGAAAACCAAAACCAAGGAAAAAAACAAGAAAAACAAAAAAAAACTGCGGAAAATGCAGGTTTTTTTGTTTTTTTGTTTTTTTTTGATTTTTGTGTTTTTTTTTTGTTTTTTCTTGTTTTTTTTGTTTCTTCTGGTGATTCTTCCTGTCGATTTGTTTTTTTGGTGATTCTGTTTTTTTTAATAATTATTTTTTTTGTTAAAATCCACTTTCTCTGTTCTACACGGGGTCATAATGCAAGAGAGCGGCAAAAATTGAATTGAGATCAGCGAGCAGGAGCGGAGGTGTTTCGGTTTGCGCATTTTTTTTTGAATTGGGAGTGTTTAGGGCTAACAAACATTAGTAAAAATATGTTGTAGGTAGATTTCCGAAGAACCACGCAAAACTACAAAACATACGTGAAATTTCATACGGGTGAATGTCTACAACTCAAACCCGGGTGTTCTAATTCTTTAGGCTCATTTTTTGCCCTCTCGAGGGGTGCAACCGGGTATGATTCTTTAAGCCTCATGGGTTAGAGTGGCCAACTGGGTATGATTCTTTAAGCACTGTACCAGGTGCCTGTACAGAAGGGTTCCCATTCTTTACAGATATTTTTTGGTGGCACAGGGCGTCCCTTTAAAGAATCTGAACACCCGGGTTAGGGACCGAATTCAAAGGGGGATGCAACATGATGTCAAGCTACAAGGCATAGCTAGCCATTTCCACACGTCGGATTCTTAAAAGATTGCATGTTTTTTCATGACGCCCCGGTGGTTCAAACTTTCCACGGCACGGCCTTGGAATCATCCCGTGAGGTGATTGGATTTACCATGCAAGTCCTGTGCGTCTTCGCATGGACCTCCTACAAACAGACCCTGGGCAGAAACCGGGATCGCTACGTCACAAATGATGATTTTGGTAGAGATTTCATGGAAAAATGATGAAAAATGGGTGGTTCTATGGTGGTTCTATGGTGGTTCTATGGTGGTTCTATGGTTCAAGTTGAATAAGGGACCAGGAATGACCCGGATATGATTGGGGAATATTGGGGACATGGAATTCAATGGAAGAAATGGATCGACCATAGGGAGATTGGAAGTCATGGGTGGCCTTGAGGTCCGATGGGATACTGGTCCCTGGTGGCTTCAAGTATTTCATATGGTCCATCCCTGGACCGATGAAGGAAATTGGTTGATAATCATTCCCAGAGGATCCATGTATGGAATATTTACCTACATTGGGATTATTTTAAATTACTTTAGGGGTCAATGTAGGTAAATATTCCATACATGGATCCTTAGGGATTGTTAATGGTTGATATTTGCAGTAAGCGAAGCCAACAACCAGGAAAAGACGGCTGAAATATGTATGTATCTTTCATGTATATATTCATGATTTCCGGTCCATCAGGCCGGAAATGTCTGTTGTGAGAATTGCTGCAGGTACGGTTCGGTCCTGCCAAAGCAACTCCTACACTCCAAGAGTGACGCTGAGGGCGTCAAAGACTCCTAGGAATCATAGCGGTCCAAAGGGGCTAGTGATGGACGGAGCCTGGATCAGTTTGCATCGGACTGCTGGCAATTCGCTGACACCTTGCGAAGTCCAAAAAGATGGGTTTGCACTATGGTTTTTGGATGTTTTTTTTGCACTGCGTCACTGCGTACCGCGAGGCCGAGAGTTGGTGCAATAAGCTCTTCGTGAATCTTCATGACAACCGGTGCGATGGCACCCTCCATCCGGATTCAAGCCGCAGGCAGACATGGAACCGATGTTTAAAGCAGGGCATTTCCGGGTCAAAGTCAGGGTGCGTTTTGCACCTTGGCTCATGGCATGAAGATAGGTCATGCGATTGTGATGATGATTACATATTGTTCTGATGATGATTATTATTATTAGTATGATTATTATTATTGTTGTTATTGCTATATACTATTACTAAAATGACTAACATGATGAATGTCATGCAAGGTTGCAATAAATTTCACGGGGGGAAGCCTGAAAACGCCTCGACCCTCCAAATCCTAGGAAAATATAGGTGTTTTCGGAATTTGACCTATATCGACTGATTTTACCCAAAACACCTAGATACTACTTTGGTCTTCGATTTTAGGAATTTGATTGCATGATTTTGGGCTTGGTGAGACAAAGGCCAAAAAATGTTTGCAGCGCATCAAACGACTAGGGAGAAAACCCGCAAAACACACGCAAAAAACCCGCAAAAACCCGCAAAAACCCGCAAATCCTGAAATCTCGTTGTTTTAGGTAGTTGTCGGATTTTTTTGCTGTTCCAAAAATCATCACGGTTTGTGTACCCGGCCGTAGTGCTGAGATTTCCCAGAAACATACATGTTTGGAACAAAGTGAATCATTTTTTGGTTTGTTTGACCTATCTTCTTAGAACGACCATTTTTTCCTCGGCAGTGGAGGGTCGAGGCGTTTTATGCCCAGGTCTCGACAGCCGAAGCTGGAGCGGACAAAAATGGCCCTTTGCGAAAGACTGCGAGCAGACAGGAGGTGTCCAAGATGATCCAAAATGACAACCGTGGGACGTCACATAGATATGCAGTAGATATGCAGTAGAAATAAGGATTTTTTAAGCACCCACCAAAAGCATTAAAAAAAAGTAGCTAGAGTATGCTTAAGTAACATCATTTTCAAGCAATGGTAAGTGGAGTTACGTTTCTATTTTTTTAACGGATTCTTGTAGATGCTAATCTAGCTGGTGTTGTTTCGGGAGGCTATTCCGAAAAGGTCTCCATGCTATTTTGAGAAGGCTTACGCCGTCAACCCACTTGGGTATAGAATCATTAGGAAGTGATTAGGGTATATTATAATTATATACCATGATGATGGGTATATACCTATAATCCATGTACCCATCATGATATATATATATATATTACCATATGGTAATATCATGTATACTTACCATGGTGGGGATATCATCACTGACCTGCACATCTCTCACTTGGCATGGCATCCCATGGCCCATGGCAATTTCGCTTCCGAGGTCCTGGAGATTATAGCGGGCAAGGTGTGGCTGGATCCGCCATAACTAATCGCCATTGGCTGGCTGGTTTCATAGCTCCAGATTTAGAAGGTCAAATTATAACATATATCTGGTTGGTGGTTTGGAACATGTTTTATTTTTCCATATATTGGTAATTGTCATCCCAACTGACTAATATTTTTCAGAGGGGTTGAAACCACCAACCAGATATGTATTGGTTGGATAAATCTAAAAGTATGTATCATTTACACACATCCCAGCAGATTTATTGATTCGTTGAATACCTCAAACACACACGCACTCACACATATATATATATACACACCTATCTCAGTTATCCATTTATTGATTGAATCCCTTGACATATACATATATACAGATATACATCTCAGTAGATCCTTAGATCATCCATTCTCAGACCAGTCACTCTCCCTTCCGACCTGTCATTTCTGGTCCTTCCTAGCCGCTGGACGTCATCATGGAAGAGCGAATCTGTGGACCTTTGAAGATGCGGGACACGCGCTTCGAGGTACCAAAGGAGACGACGGAAGGGCGGCCATGGCCAAGGGATATGATGGGATGATGAAACACTCGGCATTAGTGAATATAAGTGAATATTTGTGAATATTAGTGAATATTAATGAATATTAGTGAATATTAGTGAATATTGATATGACAATGATATATTAGTGAATCATTCGGTGAAAAATCATCTGAATTCAGCATGTGGCCATCATTCTTTCGTTGGAGCATTGGGAATCCTTGGCCTCGCTGAACAGCGCTCCTCATGGCTGCCAGACGTCGTATTGAAAGAGGTGAAGTTATTTTTGGTGGTTTCCTTTCAAGATGTCAAAGACAGATGAGAGACCAACCTGATCCAAGTTGATCAGATTTGGATCAATGATCAACTATAATTAGAATCATTAAGAAAGCATATGTATTTTATATATATATGCAACGTAGTAGAATTTGCGTTCTGTATGTGCGGGAGGGTTCCTACGAACTAAAGATGTTTCTTGCTGTGCCAGGAGCACGCAGGCCGAATCGGGCAGCGACCTCAAATTCCGAAACTTGAAGGATGGTAGATTCCCCCTGCTTCTTGCAGAGGCTCTCCATGAAGCATTCCGCATTCCCATTTTCGGTTGCCATTTTCCTATGCTTCCCAGGTTTGAAATTAAGCACTTTCCCCAAGGGATAAGACAAACAGGATCTGACATTTCCTGCTGGATGCTTCTGCACATATTGCATCATAAATCAATATATATATATATATATAAATCATATTACTATATGGGGATGGGTCACGATGGGTCACAATTCTGGGGGACCACAATTTTTATCAAATTTTAGTATATTTTCCTATATTTTCAGTATTGGCCAAATGATTGAGGTAGCCCATTTTGACCCAGGCCCTGGTATAGAAGTGTGGAGATCGAAGGGAAGCCCCAGCTGGCGCATCGCTAGGGAGCCCATTTGGAAATGGCTTTGAAAAATTAGGGATTTCAGCGGCAAATATGGATGATTGGTGGTTTGGAACATGTTTTATTTTTCCATAATATATGGGAATCCTTCCCATTGACTCATATTGTTCAAGATTGGTAAAACCACCAACCAGATGGGATAGACATCTATTGTGGTCGTTTATGTCTAGTGACTAGCTGGCACGCACAGTCGGAGCAAGGAACAGCAAAGATATACTGGGGATACAAGAACCAACTATATGTCACTGGGGACTCTGAGAATGGGGTATACCAGTATACGGACAAAATATGGCAATTCGATGTGGGAAATGAAGGTAAATCGGTCATTTTCAGACACGCCCATTTCTTGGACCTGAGCAAGCCAATGTCTTCGGCCATATTTTTCGCTGAAATAAAGCCACGAAATGCTTGGTGATTTTTGGTGGCTCCTGAAAATATAATCCAGGTGATGTAGACACCCACAGGGGACCCCAGATTTTACCCATTTTGGGATCGTTGAAGATCACTTGAAATTGTGGTTAAATGGTTAAATGAGCCACTCAGAAGGTTATGTTTTTTAAGCAGAACAGACCTTTGCCAGTTATGAATGGTGTTCCAGAGCCTAACCAATATAGGGGTACACGAGGGAATACAATGATTGATGATGGTATTTATATATATATCACATATGTATATATGTACATATGTGTGTACATACATATTATAAAATATGTGTATGATAGTATGCACACATGTGTTATACATATATATATATACATGCACAGAATCATGTTGGAGTAAAAAATCTCATCCCAGCAAGGATTGGAAGTGGTCGACCCCGGGGGAGAAGAAAGCGGCTGGGCCTGATGCCCAGAGCGACTTCGGGCTGGGATACAACGCATATCAAGACCGAACCGGACCCAGGTTTTCTATACAAATGTGCTTTGGTATATAATGTTTATATGTTTGGTAATATACCAAGTGTTCACCTTCATTTCTACTTGGTTTTAATGGTTATCGTTCCCCCATTTTTTACCAGCTTCTCCGCGCATGTGGTGTCACCAGGTTGGAGGGAACGTGGCAAAAGTGTTGCTCGAAACTCAGGGGATACCGTCATAATATACCCTCTGGTAAACATACAAAAAGCTATTGAAAATGGCCATTTAAAGTGAGTTTTCCCATTAAAAATTGTGATTTTCCATAGTTATGTTAGTTTACCAGAGGGTAGATCCTTTTTTGTGGACAAAATGACGACAATCCTCTGGAAATTGCTAGTAATTTATTGGAAAACACATCTTATTTTCAGACAAACCCATGTGGGTGTTCAGGGAATTCAACTGCACAGGCTACAGGAGTTGTTGAAGTAAAAAAGGTTCACCCGAACATTTCAGGTTCTATCGTGTATTCATTCATCGTGCCATCTAGAATCTAGATGTTCATACAAAAGCGAATGCTCAGTACAATGGATCATAGCGTATATTCACATTGGCGATCGAAGTCCATATTTATGCACACATGACCCAATCACTTGCACGTTTCAATGACCAACGGTATTACTAACCAACCATATATTACCAACCATGGTTACGGCATGTTGACCACTGTATTACAACTCATTTTGGGAGGGATTGCCATGGGCATAAAGGTAACTTCAAATGGAACTGTTGTGCCTAAGGCTATAAACATTATATAAATTGCCAGATTTCACAGGCATAGGTTTTACTTACATATTAAGAAAAGGTACGACACTAAAAACATAGATATAGATGTCTAGATTATATATATATATTATACTCTTTTTGTTGGGATCTATATCGCATATATAATTATATTATCATATTTTTACATGCATCTATATTTTTAGAGAAATACACACAAACATATAACATCATTTTTACTACCAATTCATTTATAATTATACAGAATGCATTATATATGATTCATGTTTTACAACATAAACAATCGAAAATATATAATTGATATATATATATATATATAATACAGTGTTTTTTATATGGTATATATATATATATATCATATATCATATATCATATATATCATGTATATATATATATATCATATATATATATCGGATGTATATGTATATATGATTTATACACATCCATGAAAAATCGATCTACGTTACTTGGGGGACCCAGGTCCGCAGGTGGCACTGTGGACGTTCCCCTGAAGATGAGGGGTGGCATGGCCAGGGCCCTGTAGGGGCCGAACGTGGCGAAACGTCACCAGATGAACCAGTGAAAAAATGGTGATTTGATGGTGGTTAATCATAAAAAAATGTGATTTGATGGTATTTTAATGGGATTTAATGGGATGTTATAGTGATTTAATGGGAGTTAATCATGAAAAATGGTGATTTAATGAGGTTAATGGGAGTTCATCATGAAAAATGGGTGACTTCACTTGACTTAAAATGACTCAAAAATTGTGGTTTTTTTGGGGATACAAAAACTGGTGGGAGAATCTGGAGGAAAAAATCATCATGACCATTCATGACCTCCCTAGAATTCCCTAGATGTTTGAACCATGGAAAATTTAAGGGTGAAATTTCAACCATAGAAATAATGTAAAAATGGGCTCAAAAAAATTACAGAACCCGGATTATCCCAAACCCTGTCTTCTTGCTGGAAAAAATATAATTTGTGCTTCTTATAGGCTTTGGGAGATCATCCTGGACCATGATTTTACACATTTTGAAGGTCAACTTAGATGGGTCAAACCCCCAGCCTGGCCTTTGAGTCTTTAGAGGTGACATGTTGGTAGTTGATCGTGTCTCCTATGTCCTAAGGATAATCAAGAGTCCAAGTCAGCCAAGAAGTTGCAGTGGCACTGCGAGGTCAGCACCTTCAATGACTACATTCGCTTTTTGATCATGCTTCGCAACTTCGGAGAGTGGGGCGCCCGGAAAGTCTTGGAAGATCATTGGACAATGGCGCCAGGACGAAAGCTTCTCCCATAAATCATTCTGTGTCAGAGGGAATATGCACACCTGGTTGCAGGTGTGTAAATTATTTATATACACATTATACACTATCTCTCTCTCTATATATATCTTAATATTTTTTAATTCATATACATAGATACACATACATATAGGATCATATAGGATCATATAGGTGCATTGCTGAACAACAGGGTGAGTTGACGAAAGTGAATGAACATGACTGGTTTTCATCAGCTACAGCTACGATTGCGCCGAGACTGGACGGGGTTCGAATCCTGAAACGAGAGACGGTGCAGATGATGCCCAAAACTCAGCAGGAATGGCAGGAACAGTTCCAAATGGCAGTTCCGTGGAACCCACAATGGCAGGGGTTGGTAAATGTCCTAATTTTTCACATCACCCAACTATTGGGGATATTTCATCACCAAGAAATACTTGAAAGTGATGTTCAAAATCCCCAAAACAGGACATTTACCAACCCCTGATAATGGGAACCCCTGAATGGGGTAGAAATTGCCTTGAGGAAGCCATGGTGCTTCAAAGATGTTCAAACCCATCAAACCCCATCCTGCACTGTTTTATCCATTTTGAGATTCCTCCGTCCTAAGACTCCAAAGAGGTAACCTGACAGCAAACGTGAAAGGATAAGCATGCAAGTTAGCATGTTGGATTTCAGGCCATGAAAACATATGAAAACGTGGTTCCAGGATGAAAAAAATCGCACGTTTTCCAACAAAAAATGCCAACCATGGTCAGATGGTCAGATATGGTCAGCTGATTCTGACGCCAGGATTTGCAATCACATTCCCGTGGCCGCTGCCCCAGATCCCTTTCCACAACCGAAAAGCGCAGCCGCTGAACCGAGCCGCTTCACCGAGCAGCCTGGAGGGCACCGGTAAGAGATTTTTTGGGAAAAGGAAAATCCATGGACCTTCATGTCGGCTGCAAATCTAGATGTTCCGATTCCAATTATTCTCGCTAGATATATACTAGATATAGGGGTGTAATATCATGCAATATCGAACTCTATGATTGGCATTTGTTGGCCAGTCGCCTTTGAATGTTTTTTTTCCCCATAGAGAGTGTAAGATGGACCCATTTCACCCGTCAATTGAATGGAAGGGCTACCCGTGTGTTTGTCTTGACTCATCAATTCGTTTGGAAATGCAATGGACATATAATATGTCGATGAGAGAGAGAGAGAGAGACAAGTGTGTGTGTATGTGTATATATATATATACATAAACATAGGTGTTCCACGGGCAAAATGGAGCGCGTCACGGCACTGCGGCCTGCACAAACAAATTCGGCTGACACGCAAGCTCAACCTGCGATATATATATATATATATGTATATATATATTATATATACACATATAGACATAAAGTGTATAGATATATATATATATGGACACACACACACATATATATATATACAAAAAATGTGTATATATATATATAGATACACACACACATAGACTATATTACTATATATATATATATATAAATAAACATTGATAATAAACATGTATAAATGATCAAGCGATGGTTGATTCTTCTGTGATACATCGAGGTAGGCAGCTGTTTCACTGAGGCTTGCTATGGAAAGAAGTCGGCCTTCGTGTTTGACAAGCCTGGTGTGGGCTACAATTGTCCAGCGCCCAGTCGTTTCAGGTGCTGGGAGCCCTCCTGGAGGTCAGAATGAACAATGCTCGCAGGAGAATCAAATCTCAAAGCTGAACCATGCTCGAACATGGGGTCCGGATGACTTTTAAACCACCGTTCCTGTTCTTTCCTGTTCCTTCATCAATCCAAAACCCTGGGCCATCAACTGTGGACCCCCAGCTAATCCATGGAAACATGTGAGGGCTTGGGCAGATTCAAGCGCAACATCAAAAACAGGATCGAGGTGCAAAGTGCTTGGGGATTTGGGTGTCAATACCAAAGAAGACATTCAGGAAGATGTCACTCGAACGATGGGAATATCGAAGTCTTCAGGCTCGTGAATTACCCTCTGGTAATTTAACGTAGCTATTGGAAATGGCCATTTATAGTTGATTTACCATGATTTACCCATTAAAAATGGTGATTTTCCATAGTTATGTTAGTTTACCAGAGGGTACTGTTATTTATTCAGATTGATGTTGCGGAAGGGACACACCTTGATCGTTGGGTGCTTTCAGTTTCCCAACACTGTTGGTGTGGACTACAATCGAGCACCTGAATCATTGTCAGCAACCATTGTCAGAACATTCCCGTTACAACTATCGTTGGTAGGAAGTCAGAAGTGCTGGCAGATATTCGCTCCAAATTGTCCACTGCTGGGCAGGCAATCCATGGACTTCAGGTATCCATGGCATTCCATGGCTCTTGGAAACACACAATGACCAATCACATACATGACATACATGTACCACATTCTGTTGTCATATGCCCTCATCATCCTATTGCACCCTGCATCATATTATATCATATTTGGCAGTCCCCTCCTGGTCGGTTTTTGGAGCTCACGGATGCTGCGGCTGTCGTCCCCATGCTTCCTGCTGACCGCAGATCTTTGGATTTTGGTCATCAGTTGAAGGCAAAACTGAAACTGCAGTGCCAAATGACGCCAATGGTCTGAATGGTTTGCTAATTGATGAGCTGTGTTTGTTCCTCAAAAAAGTATCCAGCACTTCATCACATGTTTGGATATTGAAGAAAAAACTGTTTTGAACTCAGGTGCTTCATAGGTTGTTGAAGGATGTTGAAGGAGGTTTTTGTTGGGACCCAAGGGCAACAAAAAGCACTGGCCTGCGGCGACATCGCTATGGATGTGCTGGAAGGGCTTTTCGAGCGCCATGAGCTGCAGAAACCTGATGCAGATTTGGCCATGTTTGGATGGTGGAAATGGAGGACTAACAATATTAATGTACTACCCTGTAGTATTTTAACATAGCTATTGAAAATAGCCATTTACAGTTGATGTTCAATAATAGTTATGTTAGTTTACCAAAGGGTAACCAGCTGAAATTTGCATATGTTTTTTTCCGTTGGTGTTTTCATTGCAGCATTGAGAAAAGGGGTCTCCATCCGGACCATGGCCCGTCAATGAGGAAACGTCGGTTTTCGTTAGAAAAAAGTGGAGTTATCCCCAATCCATGGCAACTGCTTGGCAGGGACCGTTAGGGAAAGTGATGGGTAACTTTTGTGGATTTTTGCGCATCATGTTGTTTTTGACGAGCCCAGCAAGTCCAGCAAGTTCCAAGCTGTTGGGAATGATTCTTCACACCGCGTTTTTTTATTTTTGCATTGTTTTTGCAGTGGCTGAAACCACCAAACAAAGTCTCCAACATTGGTGTCAATGAAAATTGGGGCCAGTTCCTGACGAACATAGCAGCCTGCCTTGATGCACGGTTGATTTTACAATAAAAAACGGAAAGCTTCTTGGCGTTTTTGCCAAGAAAGATTCTTCGCCCATCTTTGGCTGGCGGGTTCTGGACATTTCGAGAAACCAGAGCCCAAATCCCGAAAAAACGAGTTCGGCAAACAGGTCCAAGATGGTCCAACATATTCCGATTTGAGAAGCTTGCGAGAGCTTCCAACCAGTTTGGCTTAGATTTAAAAATCTGATATCTACAAAACAAGAGGTTCCCATGGGTTCATGCTTGGATATCCCTGAATTTCGTTACTTTTGAACAAGTCATAGCGTGCAATATTAAGGCAAAAAAAAGGGCATCATGAGCCACCCACCACCACTTCCTGTTCTGTCATCATCCTGGTGCTGAAATGATCCTTGAAATTTTGCAAATCTTGAAACTAGAAACTCATCTATGTGAGGGCTCAATTTTCACTGACATCACATCTATGAGTGGGTAGACATCATGTATATCATTGCTTAGTCCAAGCTCCATGGTGATTTTTGTCCAGCAGCTGGGCCAGGTTTGACGAAACCAGAGATAACCACAGATGAGTTTCTTTGAGAAGAACCAGCATCCCAAGATCCCATGGTTGATCCTGTTGCCTTTTTCGACAAAGCCATGGATTTCAGCTGTCATCATTAGTGACCCCCAAGCCGCATCATTTACAGCTGTCATCATTTGTCATCATAGACCCTTTTAAAGGTATCATGATGAATTACCCTCTGGTAATGACTAACAGTTCGCTATTGAAAATGGCCCAGTCGAAATATTGGATAATTTACCCATTGAAAATGGTGGATCTTTCCATAGCAAAATGTAAACGTTGACCAGAGGGTAATTCCCCAGCTGGCTGCAAGAATTTCCATGGCTCGCCCCCGTTCACCTGAGGATGCAAGAACTCCTGGTTCGGATGCTTAGCGTTGCGCTGCGCCGTGCAGGTTTTTTGCCCAACCCCTGATTGCTTATGATTGTTGAGCACTTGGATTATAACCAGGACCTAGTGCTAGGTGAATGGCAAATAATTATATATAATTTATATAATTACATATAATTTATATAATTACATATAATTTATATAATATAATAAAATATCGTTCATATATGATTTCATATATATAAAATATAATTAATATATGATTTTTGTTAGGATGTTAACTGGGCATATAAAACAACTGTGCTATGATCGTTAAACATGGCTTGATTTCCCATAAAAACCGGGCACCGAGGCCGATCAATGTGTGGAAATCCGAGATGCCTTGCGGCGTATGAGGCGATGGTTGTATGTTGTTGTAGGTCATTGATGGGTGTGTATATACCCATAGGATCCATGTATGGTATATATGCTAACATTGGGGGTATATTGATGGTAAATGTTACCATATATAGCATACATGGATCCTATGGGATATAGTGTGTGTGTGATATATAGTTATTTATACATATAATATATATATATAATGTCTGAAAAATCAGCCCTTGATGAGAAAGTCTGAACGAAATGTTTGGAGCATCTTGGAAAATCTTGGAGAAATAGTGAGAACTGAAGCATCTAAAGCGATGTTCCACTATCAAAGGCAACCAATATGTCATGATGTTGTTGGCTTACAAGTAATTACAAGATGTTGCAAGGTGTATTAAGAAAAACGTATGGATACGTACTCCACTGTCCCCCTACTGCAGGAATGGAACTTCGAGATGGTTAATGGGACAATGACGATACATTCATTTCTTATGGCAAGTCTATGACTGGGAAAATGAGGAAAGTGACATCCCCTTTTTTTATGGCAATTCATCAACCGTTGATGAGGGATTTTTTGGATGAAAAAATGGAGGGCATCCATGGCATCAGACCGGGCCACAGGGCCACATCCAGCACCTGCAGGCTTTCACCAGAGGTGCTGAGAATCGCTGGGAATGTGGGTGAAATGAATGGTGTGAATGTTGTCGCATGGCTGGGTGCACATCGTTAAATCGCTGATGTTTCAACATGTTTGAAACAAAAAAAATGGTGCCTCTCAGTTGTTGGGATGGTGTTCTGCCCCAATGGCCCAGTTGGTCAAAAAACTTTTTTAGAGTGGGTCAGATGGAGTTTCCAGAAATGGATTGTCCAAGCTGGTAGTCAATCTATGTCATAGCTATGGAAAATCTCACTCCATAAAGCGTCCCAAAAAAGCGTGGCGAATGGCGACAACTGGCGTGGCTGGGTGCCATGGACTTTCTAGATCTTCCAGCGCCAGGTCGAAGCGGAGCCAGAGTCAGAGCTCCCAGATTCCAAAGTGAGGTTCTCTGAAAGAGTTCCAGGCTGGGTCGAAAAAAAACCTTCATGGGGATGATCCAACATGATAAAAAACCATGTGCCAATACAATGCGGAAATCACAAGCCAATACTTGGAGATACCATGAGATACCCTAAAATGTATTTTTTAAGATAGCTATTGAAAATGGCCCAAGTAAAAAGATGATGCAAATATATCTAAATGATTTACCTCCAAAAATGGATGATTTTAGAGCGGCTAGCAACCAGGTGACCAGGCGGGTCTTCGGGAAGGCTTCAGAACGTTGGCGTCCAAATGTGGCCATTGGGTTCCATCTTGGCTCAACAAAGAATTGAAAAGTTGAAAACCTAAATACCCTCTGGTAAACAAACATAGCTATTGAAAATGGCCCATTTATAGTGGATTTACCCATTAATCATGGTGATTTTCCATTGTTATGTTAGTTTACCGGAGGGTATGGGGAAAGATCATCTATTTCACATTTTTAATTTCACACTTTTCATCACTGTCTTTTTAGGGCTTGCTATAAATCAATAGGGCAGTTTGGTAGGGCAAATCGTTTTTTCAAAGCTCTGGCGAAGAAAATGAAGAGTTCATTTCATGATATTTCATGAATCCATTCTTCAATATTCTTCATTACATTCCAGCAGGGTTTCTGAAACATCAGCCATAGGTTCTCCGCTCGAGACCAAAGGGATCCTTGGTCGACCATGGAGGGAAAGTTAAACCGCCCTGGAAAAGAACCTGACCATTTTTAATAGGCAAAATCACCATTTGTAACGATGAAGTTTGGAACTGAAACTCACCTCTATGATGATTTTTTGCATGATTTTACGACATTTACCCTCTAGTAATTTTCATAGATATTAGTAGCATTTAGTAGCTATATATATATAGATTGCATAGCTGTTGAAACTCAGCATGTTTCATCAGTATATGGTCGAACACCAAATGGGTGGGAGGATTTTCGTGTACCACTATACCCTCTGGTCATACAAAAAGCTATTGAAAATGTACCATTTATAGTTGATTTTTCCATTAAACATGGTGATTTTCCATAGCACACTGTTAGTTTACCAGAGGGTATAGTGGTTGCCTTCTGGAAAAAATCATCACAACTCAAGGTGGAAACCCTTGGTTTTCCGCCCATGGCGGAAAATGATCTGCATGTTCGTAGTTGTTTTTCCATCTGTGGCAATTTACTGAAAAGATCCGAAAAGTAGCAAGTATAGCAACATATGGCAACCCCACAAATCGAACAGGTGGAGGAAATATGAGGAAATGATGGAGAACACATCAACTAATTCACCTCCTTTCACACCCCGATCCCCGGAAACATTCCAGGCTAGTGGCGGAAGTGGCCATTGCCGCAGTCTTCGAGTCGTTGCTTGACCGCAAGACCAGGAAACCCGCCATGATCCGCCATGGGTTTCCTAAGTCATGAGCCATGGGGGTACCCCAAATCATCCAAGCCCCTACGATCCCCTAGGCAATTTCAGTGTTGAAACAACAGTGACTTGGGTATCCCCATGTTAAGAAACCCTCATTTATGTACTTTGACGGGAATCAGCATCAGTTTATCACCGTTTATATTACATATATATATATAGACTTCAGAATGGATATAAATGGTATTCCACTGTTAAATGTGCCTGAGACAAATGACAAATCATGCGAAATCTTGCTAATCCAATGTTCTGAAACACTGCTAGGAGAAAAGGATAGAAAAGGGCCTGATGTTTGGCTGATTCGATCTATGTCATATTTCCAGTGTTTTTTGTCACCCTTTAAGGCCTGATAAAGCGTGTCTCAAAATCATTTTCCCAAAAAAGTGAGTTGCCTTACTACAGGATGGTGCTCCCCAGTTAAAAGTTGCTTTATAAACCCCATTAACATCCATTAACCTACAGTTATATCTACCGTAAACTATCGTTTTTTCATGTTTTTTCGCCACTTTTTTCGGCCATCCAATAGCCTGGGTCTGTTGGAATTATGTTTGAGCCATGCCCAACAGGTTACCGTTACGCCAGGAAATGGTGAAAAGAGTGGTAGAGTGCTTCAATGATACTTTTTGGTGCAATAGGATTTTTCATCCCATTTTTTTAGAATGTTTCATGGATTTTGATGGGTGGTACAAACCATAGAAATATATAGGTGGTTGATTATGGTTGATTGCTTTACTGACGTTGCCAAAGATACTAATATCAGATATCAGTGCAGAGATTTCGCCAGGGAGATTAAGATTTAAAGATAGACATTTGCATGGGGTCACTCATGACCATTTTGGTAATTGCCCACCAGTTTGTCCCGATTCGACTGGGTGACTTGGTATATGTTCCTGGGATGAAATTCCCAGTCAATATTTTTCATAGCCATGTTCCTTGCCAGAAATCCCTATTTAGATGGGTCATGGGATAAGCTAACTCGTTGGTACTCGTAAGTAGGCTATGTCCCTTTCTATCCCATAATCAATTTACCAGCTAGTTGCCCAATTCCATGGCCCTTCGAAGTATAGTTGCGTTGCCTTGCATATGCACCTACCCAAACGGAAGGAAGTACTTGTTCGCATCAACAGACACAGACACACCGGACGAGGAATGAAGAGAGCAATGCAGATGTTGCAGAAGCCATAGGAAGCAAGGTGTGACTTGGTAAGATAAACCCATTTTTGGGGACCGCATTTGGAGGGCTGGGGAAACCCCTCCATCCGAGGGGTTTCCTCCGCTGGTGGGGTTTGTGAGCCTTCCAGCAATCGCTTTTTTCTGGGCACAAGATCTTGGTGAAAAAAAGAAGATCGAAGATCCACCTGGACTCCAATCTGCATCTTTGGCAGGTCTACTGCTGATGGTTATCATATGTTATATGTTATATATATATTATATTAAAGGTGGCAGTAGCATGAAGAATTACTCCTATGATCAGCAATTGCATCCCTATATGTTGTTGTTTATTCTTTGTTTCGTTTTTTGGGACGAAAAACTGAACTGATTGATCATCACATATAAATTCAATTCCACGTTACATCTATGTACGTGTATTTTATGTATATATTATATATAAATAATGTGTGTGTGCGTGCAAATAGTCAGGTATACATTGTATACATATATACGCATATATATATATAATAAGCGCATGCATATACATAATATTATATATATAATATTATGTGTATATATATATTGTATATAATATTATGTGTATATAACTGTATATATATATATATATTATATATATATATGTATATAATATATATATATATATTATATATATATATGTATATAATATATATGTGCATGTGTTTTTATGGTAGGTTATGCATGTTCATGTCGTTTTCGTCCGTCTCATCGGGCAGTTTCTGCGCCGAGGAATCGTTCCCAGTCAACCATCCAGGACTGCGTTTTCCATTGGTTGGTGATATGTCTATGAATACAATTGACAATTGCATAATTACTGGTTGGTGGTTTCAAACATTTTTTATTTTCCATAATATCTGGGATATAATCCTTCCCATCTGACTAATATTTTTTCAAGATGGTTGAAACCGCCAACCAGCATACATTATCATACATTATCATACATTAATACATATTAATACATATTAATAGATATTAATACATTACAGTACAGTACATTACAATAAATATATGTGTATGCGCTTAGCATCGTTTTTGACCCCCAGTGAGCTAAGAGGAGGACACGTTTCCTCCAAAGTGTCCAGGTCAGGCCATGTGTTTCTGCCAGCATTTTTTGATCCTTCTGAAATACCCTCTGGTGAACATACAAAAAGCTATGGAAAGATCCACCATTTTTAATGGGAAAATCCACTATAAATGGCCATTTTCCATTGCTATGTTAGTTCACCAGAGGGTATCTGTTGTTGCACTTTCGGTTAATGTCCAGTCAAGTCTCTAGAAGTGGGCAGACATAAGCGTTGGATGTGGAATAATTGGAATGCTGATGACTTTGGGCTGCTTATTTCCAATTACATTTTAAGCCTACTAAGTGTCCCTCTGTCTACAGGGGCTGAACCACAAGGCTGTTCAGCAATGTTCAGCCATTTCTGAGATAAGTGACTGAACCACTGCATGACATGCATGCACTTTGATACCTAGATGTTCAGCTGTTTTGAGTTGGATAGTTAGATTTGTAGTGTGATCAACATCTATGGTAGATTTGTATGCCATAGTTAGATCAAATACCATAGTTACAATTCACTGTTGATACATAGTTAGATTATGTTAGATTTGTAGTGTGATCAACTATGGTATACTATGGTTTTCAGCCGATAAAAAATGACCATCCCCAGCATTTTTTAATGCTTGGTGAACATTCTCCGGCCGAGTGTCAGGACTACATGGAAAACCGGCTCCTCGGAAGTCCAGAGGTTGTAGCTAAATGAGAATGACATGAGTCATCCGGAAAACCCGAATAAGTAGCCTCGCAATCTGGACAAATCATGACAAATCACGAATCCTGACAGGAATGTATAGTCGAGGTATTGAGTGATGGAAAAGGTGATGTCCAGCATGTTTAGTCGTAGGATTTGACCGGATTTGACCGGATTTGCACGAAGCAGTTCAGCCCAATGTGAGGCGCTACAGTATGAGGCGCTAATGATTGAAGAATCACATTTTGAACTCATGAAACACCCAATTCTTGGCTTTAAGACTATCATACTCATACTTTAGAATATCCTTTGATTTTTTTTGAATGATATTCATGAAAATCTTTAACAATCACCATGTTGATCGATCCCACCTACAGACCTGGCTCATTTAGGGAGACCTTTCCACAGCCAGCCGTAAACGCGAAAAAAATTGGGGGACCATTTGGGTTTCAAAGAAAGTTAGGGATGTTAGGGGCCAGGGATCGTATTAAATTCGATGTTTTTTTCCATTTTTGCTACATGTACTCTTCGAATTGAGAATTCTTTGGAGGCAGGCCAGAGCAATTCTCTGCCTGGCTCTCAGGAAGAGCCAAAAGCCCAACGTCACGGAAACCTACTTGAATTTGGAGAATGTGAAAATTGAAAGGAAGAAAACTGGCCACAAGGCCGCGTGCATGTCGCCTGGGAAGTGGGAAGTGGGCCGTAAACTGTCCCAGAGGTGCATAACCTGGCTAGTTTAATGGTTCATTCTGATTCGTTGTCTATGTGCTCTCAGAAATTTTGTGGATACATTGACCTAGCCACCCAAATATATATATATATATATACATACGTATAAATATATATATATATAGTTATAGTTATATAATATTAGATAACTATAAATGATCAAATAATATATATATATATATGCGTGTGTGTAGATAACTATGCATAACCATAGACAATTCTAAACTCAATGAGTTGATGGCTGCGGAGCCCTTGGGCGCCAGGTTGAGGGCTTCCGAGGGAAAGTGAACGATCTGGTACAGTCCAGTCTCCGGTCAAACCAGGGCGGTGATGTTCTAAAGGAAGGGGCCCCTTTTTGCGAGTTAAGTATGTTGGTTTATAACTAGAATACCAATGGTATAATAGTGCATTATGATATTTATAACCTCTTAACATAGTTACAACAATGGTATAATAGTGTATTATGATACTTATAACTAATGGTATATGATACGCAAATAACTATCTGCTATGATGGGGTCACAAAGCAACGCACACCACGAAGGGCTGGCCCCTTCCTGCAGATGGGATTAATAGGATCTTATGGGAGTAGTGGGGATTAACCATCAATCACAGGGATATATTACCCTCTGGTAAATTAACATAGACCCTGGCAGATAGGGGTTGGAAGACTAGTTTCCATTAAAAATTGGTGATTTTCAGGGTCTATGTTAATTTACCAGGGTGTAATTAATAATGATGATATATATATATATAATGGGATAGAACTAAGCAATGTTGTTTTTCTTTCTGGATTGGATGTTGATGGGATTTAAATAGGATTTTCATCCAAAAAATGAGTGATTTCGAGATTGTCCATTACCATGTTGGACTACCAGATATTTTCGGTCCATGCAACTGGGAAATTTGCAAAATCTTGGGAACATCTTGAAAAGCTTGCAGTGAATACCTGAATTGATTGGTTCGACTATATATAGATTTGAATCCGTTTTGTGGTGAATCTACTGAAGTGGTTACCATGGATTACCATCAAAATGTTGACCTATTTCAATGAAAAAGCTTTGAAATTCACATTCGTGGTGATGAAAGCCCCAAGTTTCAAGTGTCAAAGTGTCACAGAAAATCATCACTCCCACAGCGCAATGGCACAATCCCAGGTTTGTGCGAGTACACAGTGGCCTTTATAATTGTGGCCAATGCCGCTGTGTTGCTTGGTCCCATTGGTCGTGATGAATGGGCAGCGGCCAGCCACTGATTCCTCACCTACAACACTCGCAACTGAAGCTATTCTGATGAAAGATTTCGGAATGGCAAATATCATATAATATATATTATAATACACATAGCATATGCATGAATGTTTTAAATGAGACCGAATGAAGAATACAACAAAAAATGCACGCAATGACAGATGAATCATCCCAGGTTCGGTTTCCAAGCTGATTGGGCCGTGAAGCACCCGGGACAGCCCACGCTGCCCGTGTATCGCATCATGAACCAGGCGCGATGGCGGTCTTCTGTCGGCTTCCATGTTGAATTGTTGGGGTGTGGGTCAATACCAGAGACCATCAGAGACCCAAAAAAATGACCTCCCGAAGCAGTTGAACGGAAATCACTGATCCAATGGAAAAAGCCCTACGGGTATCCATGCGCTGTTGGTCAAACAAAATTAGTATGGAATAGTATGGATCAGAAATGTGGTACTCCCACAAAATTGTTTGTTTAGCCAGGGAATACACAACACTCAGGCTAGGGAGGGGCAATGATTTTGAGCCGTCCAGAAATATGAAGGGGAAAAACATTGGGCTCTCGGCCCATGTTTTATGATGAACCAATTGGAAAGGGTTGGGAGACATCACATAGTGCCATTCAACCAAGGGCGTCAGCAAAGATCCTAGGTCAATATACATAGCACCACAAATTTTGATGTTCTATCCTTTAGAGGACCCCGGAAAATATGCAGATGGTAACCCGCTAAAAATTCGACCATACATCGTTGGTAGCGACCTGTGCACTGTACACATGAGTCAATCTCCAAAAAATGGTGGAGTTTCTTTTGGAGAGCCATTCGCATTTGTTATCACGCATTCTTTTTTCAATACCCTCCAGCAATTTAAGATAGCTATGGAACATGGATGAACATGGCCCGTTAGCATGGAAACATATTGACCTCTTAAAATTATGAAAGATGGCCATGTTCCATGATGTTCCATGATGTTCCATGTCTCTATGTTGAATTACCATGAATGACCTACATGGCGATCTTTCAAAAAACACCAAGGTCTGACATCATCCGACAGCATATTTTCATAGAGATATATTGCTCACTGCAGTGGAGGCCTTCAACATTTTCTTCATTGTGGAGTTGACCTTGAGGATCGTCGCGGATGGCCTTCACTTTGTCGGAAACTGAGGGGACGACTTGGGGTCCCAGATGGTATGTGCTTCACAACCTATAATATATATATATAACATTTTAACATAATATGTATATTGATGTATATCTATTGAATCTATTGATTTATGCGTAATATATTCATCTGTATAAAATTTTGGTTTAATAGTGTATGTATGTATATATATATATGTATACACATGGCGTGATATAGACCCATATAATTGGGTGCTACTATGGTTATGAACCACTTCGTGAGTTGGATGCGCCTGCAGGGATAGCGATGAAAATGAAACGACGGTCGGAGCTCAACAGACTTGTGTGGACGTTGCGTGTTTTCTGATTGAGTTCCCAAGATGCAAAGTAACAAAGACAATGTTCGAACACAAAAGAAATAGAGAAGCTACTCGTATCAACAGCTATGAATCTTAAATTGAAACCCATACAAATTGTGCCACTACCGTCCATGTACGCCCACCAGAGTGCATTTGTCTCAGATGTTTGCCAGTGTGCCAATTATATAACCAAAACCGCCTCTCACAAAATGTTGGATCATCCCACAAACCTTGGTTCGTACAAGCTGGTGCCACATAAGACACTTCGGAATCGCGTGCAGTTGGGGTCCACATCACTCCAATTTCACTATGCTTTATGGATCTTTATGGTAGATATATCGAACTACTATGGTTTTTCTTAACCAACCTTCACATCACTGGGGGGGCACAACCAGACGTAGGGGATAATCCGACCGACGACCGATCGACGTCAGGCTTCCTGCTGGAATCCAGATATCAAGCGACTTGGCAGCGACCGGTGGCGGAAAAATTCCGTTGGCAAATGATGCAAATGAGGTCTTAGTCTATCTAACCATACCACCATACCACCTATTTATGGTGATTTGGGGGGTGGTTTATGATTGTTTTACCCACATTGTATCCATTTACTGGTGATGTTTTTGATCATCGTCCCATCCTGCTTAGTTGCTGAACGTGCAGTCAAAGCCCAACTTTTGGCCAACGACATGACTGGAAGTTACGGGTACTGCGCACGATCGCCCCGTTTTACTGGAAGTGGAGGTTTCCTGAGATTTCAATGTACCCCAAATGGATGTTTTTTATTTCATGGAAAATCCATCTAATTTATGGATGATGACTGGGGATTTTGGGGGTACCCCCATGACAAAACGGAAAGCTCCAGTCGTGTTTCTGTGGCTTCCGGCAGGTGGAATTTGATGGACTCGGCTTTGGCAACTGGGTGGCACCGGCAGGAAGATGATCCCAGCGAATCACCCACATTCACCTTGGGTTCCAATGGTTTCCACGATTTTCTCAATGCCATGAACACCATGAACACCATGAACACCATTCACCCGGCGTATTTTGTTTTCGGGCTGCAGTGGCCACTAATGTTGTGCGCTGGTTGTGCGTGAGGTGAGTTTGTCCATTTTTGAAGAGATCTATGGTCAAGTGACCATCGAGCAGGGGAGCAAACTGGACATGAGCCTGGACAAAAAGTTGCATTTTCAGTGGGGGTTTCCATGGAATGGATGGTATTGGAATGGAGGATTTGCAGTGCCACCAGTTTAGGAAACCACCATGTACATCCATATGCTAAGGAAATCGTTGAAAATCTGAACACAATATGTTGATTTACCTTTTAATGTTCAAGATATGCAAAATATGATCGTTAATATGTTATCGGAAATGTATATTTTAGGTGTAACAGTGTAACATATCCAAGACGCTGTGATCAACATCCAAGATGATATGTTTGTACATTGTATAGACGTTTTGTGAAACAAACAGATTGTAGATTGAACCTAATATCGAGCTGATAGTTCAGAAGTGGACGAGATTTTGCAGATCACAATGCTTGCATAATATATATATATACTCCTAATATCTCCTAATATGATTGCAGAAATATCGTTTAAAATCGTGTCATATCTGGCATTCTGCTGGTCATATCTTGTTTGAAAACGTGTCTGCGGCATTCGTTGCAGACCTTGAGCAGATGATACCAATGGGCACTGGGAGGGGGCAAAATGGTGAGGCATGGGTCACAATGAAAATCAGTGGAAGTCAGTAGGGAAGCCGCAGTTGGGCCTGTCCTAGCTGGAACCTTTCACATAGATCGGAATTTTGAATAGAACCGACCTGTTCCTGTTTCCAACTTGTGTTCATTGAAATAGGTGTTTTTTGTGTTCATGTTCCAACTTCGCATATGAAAACCAACTTGTTCTGAAGATTTCTCCAGTTTTTCCCTCTCAAAATGGTCCTTTTAATTGGGATGGGCACAGTGCCTCAGGACATCAGCTCGAGTGGTTCGACTACTGAGGCGCTGGTCAAGGGAGTCGTTCATTGCTTGGCCTTTGTTTGGCCATTATATATATAGAGTCTATAGAGATATATGATGCCATATGTATCAGTGTGTAAGAGTTGTTGTATACCCAGCAGGAAGAAGTTGAAGGGTATTTGAGATTGGCTATGTTTGAGATTAAGCAGCAATACAGCCTCGTGTGTGGATTCAAACATGGTTCCCATCCGGCAAGCACGGGTTGAAACTGCGAACCACCACCAAGAAGGGATGTAACATGACTTTATCACCCGTGCCATCCAAGTATGGTAGAACATGGTACAACATGCATGGCTGCGTGATTTCTGGGGTCGAATGGAGATGTATATAAAGTCTACCGCAAGTATATGCATGATCTATGTAAGAAATAGACTGTGCCATACACGGATGGTATGGGTCAGATATGGTGATTTGCCAGAAAACGAGTCGACTAGGTTTAAAACTCAATGGCCATGGCCCTGTCCAAAATTGTAAAATCATGTTCCACCCCCATTTCTTGATTCTTGGGGTTTCATGTTGCCTTCAATGGTGCATTTACCCTCTGGTAATTTAACATAGCTATTGAAAATGACCATATATAGTGGATTGTCCCATTAAAAATGGTGATTTTCCATAGCTATGTTAAATTACCAGAGGGTACTTATGAACAAAAGGCGCAATAATTCATGTTCCCGGAGAAATATGAAGAGAAACAGCAAGAACAGTAAGGCATGACTACGGGGGATTTGGATGGATACCGGTATGGTCTGACATAAGCCAACCAAAAACAGAGATATGACTTGACAACCAAAAAAAACTGGTGCCACCACCAGTAAAGTCAGTGGTTTGGACAATCAAGAGCTGACTTGGTATGAGTTGGGGCATTGTGTTTGGTATGTCCCAGAATCCAAGGTTGGCACTGTATCCGTACTGCAGGACAGGCTAAGCGCATTTCTCGCACAGTACATGCATGGCGAATTCATTTCGCTTAATTTCTAGAGTCTATAGAGGAACGGGTGAATCTGGGAACAAAAATGGAACTGGGTTTGTCTGGAAATAAGGGGTGACCAAATGCCACTGCTAAGAACATGTTTGCCAATTCAGATGGCCAAAACAATTGTCATCCCCCGTTTGAATCCATTCTTGGACAATTCCAAATCATTGTGATGCTTGTATCCCCACTATATCCATCAAATGGTTGGCTTTATACCCTATTGTCCCTTTGCATCCTTTGCTTGTTGATTTCTTGGTTATATCACCATAGAACCCCTGCATATTCCCATGATTACAGCATAGAGATCATACAGTGGTTTTGCCCAAAAATTCTCTCGATATCTCGCGATTCTTTTCGGGTACCCTAGGGTAAACTAACTTAGATGTGGAAAACGTATGGTTTCCAGTGCAGAAGGTTTCGTCAATGATTGATGTTCCACATCCAAATGGATTGATGTTTACCTCGGCCCTAGGGTAAAAACATGTAAAAACACATTGAATAGGCTATAAAACCCATGAGGGTTAAAACCCACTGTATGATATCTATGGTTGAATGGTACCCTAGGGTAAACCAGTCATCTTTGGGGGTTAAAACCCATGGGGCTTTTGACCACGCCAGCCGAGGCTGGTTCGCGTTGTTCGGATCTTTCGGGTGCTTCGTTTCTTCTCGGACTTGCGGATCATGGTCATGGGCACCTGGGACGTTCGGAACGTGGCCGGTGGTTGCAAACGAAGAACAAGGGGGACGTGGCCTGTTGGTTATTGGGAGAGAATGGGGACAAAATGGGTATATGACCAATGATCATCTGGTTCAGCAGTATGAAAGTGGAGAATTCTAGTTTACCAGCGATGTTTAGGGGGAAGTCACCAATCAATGGGGATATGTTATTGGATATTAACCAATGAAACTGTTCGGTGGTTCCAAATTTTCTGATTTTTTTAAGCATATATTTCGGATGATGATTTGATGATACCCAACGACGGATACTGTAATTATACTGATATTATGTCTCAGGGGGTTGAAAGCACCAACCAGTTGTAAGTTATGGGTGGTCGAATGAGCAAGAGTGGCAGCTGCTGAATAGAATCTGGCTGCTGGGTTTAGACCGGCAACGTGGTACATCTTGGCTACAGATGAGAGTTTGAAATTGTGGATAATTCTGGTCTATGGCCAGTAATCTGGTGGGTGTGGGTGTGCTTATTCTTCTATTTTTCTCCTGTTTTGAGATCATATTCCTAAAGAGGTCACCCTTTTCAGTAGATATTCACCACCAACCAACTCATCCAGTGCTTTTTGGGCTGCGACCACGGAGTGCCCCCAGAACCAACATCCACAAATATTGGTTTAAAATTGAAGAAACCAAGGATGGTGATGCTTCCGCATGCTTCCGCATCTTCATCCAAATTCGATAGTTGTTGTTGACTTCTGCGCCCTAGAGTTAACCAACTTAGCAGCTACCGCCCAGGTATTATGGGTTCCTTCAAAGCGCTTGCCTGGGCTTTGCTGTTGCTCTTTATCATCATCTACGTCACAGGCCACAAAAGGGGCGGGCCCGGCCCCTGTTGGTGGTTACACCATGTTACACCTCCTTTAACAAAAAAGGCATGGAATGGTCGAAATATGTGGAAAAGAAATGAAAACAACATATTAAACTATGAGGTGTTATAGTACAATACTGATTCATTACTTGGAAAACATGTCGAGTGTCCATCTTTCAGAAGTCCTACCTGGTTTGATGCAACAAAAATGGTGGTTGCTTGAGTAAGGCGAAGCACATCCCTCCAAAATGAGAGGGAAGAAAAACAAACAAACTCAGATGGATTGTAGCTATGCACTCAGATTTGTTGCATTGGGATTAGATGGATTTATAATGACTATAATGATTTATATACCTTTTTGTCGCAGAAAGTCTACATTTTTCAGAGAAGATCAGCAACGAAAACAAAATTTTCGTGCCAGGCATCATCATCCTTCAGTTCGTTTCGGAAGCTGCTGGAGAGGGCTGGGTCACTGGCCACCAATGATTTTTGGTGTTTTTTTTTTTTAAGTGGGGGATCCCCAAGCCATGGTCAGTGGTTGTTTCAATACTAAGTCATGCTCTAATGATTGGATGATATTGGATGATTCGGGGGTACCTTCATTTTAGGAAACCTCCATTTGATGATGGTAATATTTTGGTTTGTGTTTTCAATAAGAGCAACATGTGTATTTTTCCTATAACAAGGTGAGGATCATTGAAATCTATGGCGGCGCTACTGCACATGGCACTACAGGAATCAACTCTAGGGGCAGCCAACCAATTGCTATGTTGCAATGTTTATATCTTGATTCATAGAACTGGATGATGGGAAAATTTTAACCGGAAAGCCCTATATTTGATGGTAAAAACCATGGTTTCCTGTAGATTTTCCCTTAAACCAATCCATTGATTGATATATCTTGTGGGGTTGTGTTCAATATATTTCCCATCTATCACAGACTTCTGCTTGGCACGAAGGGAGCAACGGAAGCCCTTGTGAATCTTGTGAGCACCGGGAGGTGATTTACTCCACACCGCCCGTCTTCAAGCCGAACACAGTCTGATCATAGCTTGGCAATTGGTGTAATGTGGGTGAAACAATGCCATAAACCACCCATGACTGGGAATGGTTTATACCACCTATTGACATCTATTTATGGTGATTTGGGGTGTTTTTTGTTATTGTTTCACCCACATTATATATAATATATTGGTTATTCCACTGGTACCATTTCCTTGCTATGTCCGAGACTCCATTGAAAGGGGATGGAATTTGGGCACATTTAGGAACTTCTAAGGGGCCCCCCAACACATTTGATGGCAGAAATGGTTCCTGGACATGTTCCCATCGAAAATGGTCGCGCTCGTTTGTGGTGGTTATGTCCCTGCAACCCCTGGGGCGATCAAACTGTTTTGAACTTTCCAAAACAATGAACACTAAAAGATCCTAAAAGCGTAAACCCATCTAAACATATCTAAACCCTAAAACATCCTAAAACATCCTAAAAGCCTAAATCCTGAAACCTAAAGTCATAAAGTCGCTGCGATTCGCTGCGCATTGATCCCCTGGATCCGGTGAGTCGCCAAAACGACATCCCAAGGGGCACCCAGGTCATTGGAGCCGACTTGGAATCTGGAAAAGCTTAGACGACTACTATCAGATTGGGGGCTAAAGTTTCTGCTAAGATCAGGACTAATTATCAGGATTTAAAGATAGATTCAACAAATAGATTTGCTGAATGGATTTCCGAAATGATTTTCGAAAGCAATCCTTTCGTTTCCTGCAGTTTCCTGGAAAATCAGGTGACGATGAGCTCTTCGTTGAGCTACGAGGGCACGGCCATGTTCAACTCCTTGGAGTGCGTCGGCAAAACCATACATAACCATTGAAACATGGATGGACGAAAGGGGAAAAAAATGCAGAAAAAATGAGTTTTGTGACTTCGTATCCTGCAACGATGGAACAAAATGTTGAACTTGTGGCATCCTGTTGGTCGGCAATGGACGGGATACCTGTTTTGAAGGTATCTGGTTCAACCCCACATGGTGATACATGGTGTAAGTGTAAGTGTGGATTGATTTATGGGGTTTGTGGTTTGACCCCTTTTTTTGGCAAGTCAACAAGTTGGACTTGACCAAAACTGATTGGTGATCATTTATGATAGGGATGTATTGAAGAAACATGATGGTATTATCCAGCAGTTTGGGCAAGACAGATAAGACAGCCAACAAACATAGGATGTTGGAAGATTTGTCTTGCTATATGTTAAGGCGCAGGGGTTTTACCCTCTGGTAAGCTATATAACGTAACTATGGAAAATCACGATTTTTTAATATTTTTAATGGGTAAATCCACTATAAATTGCCATTTTCAATAGCTATGTTAGTTTACCAGAGGGTAATTCATCATTTTTAAATCCCATCAAACGTCCCAGCAATGCAGGAACCGCTTAGGGATCCTCCGTTTGATGCTCTGTTGTGGCAGCAAAAATCGGGGCTCATTTCTCGGTATTTGCAGCATTTGGAACCAGAGTTTGAGATTGATATCATGATCACATGAGTTGCTTCCGAATATGAAATACCCTCTGGTTATTTAACATAGCCATGGAAAATGGCCTTTTATAGATGGTGTATCTATTAAAAATGGGTGGATTTTCCCATGGCAAAGTGTTAGTCATAACCAGATGGTACCTGGAATATCCTGGAATGTGTCCTCATTCCGGGGCAAAAAAACATCACCCCAGGAATAGTGCTTGAATCTAACCCCAGGAATCCGAATCGCTGAGGCGAACGTGTTTCACCCTCTTCCTGTGCATTGCTGGAGGGGTCAGTTGGGTGGAAGTGGTGAACGTGCTGGAGCAGGTGAACCCCTTGTTGCGACCCATCTTGCGTCTCGGTCAATGGAGTCAACTTACTGTTGCTACCCTCTGGTAAACTAACATAGCTATGGAAAAACACCATTTTTAATGGGAAAATCCACTATACATAGCCATTTTCAATAGCTATGTTAAATTACCAGAGGGTAGGTTGCAGTGGAACCAGCATGTGTTTTCTTTTTTTTGAAACTGGAACTGACTTGAACCAAGATTTTTACAACTTGTCCAGCTTGTGCGCCAAGGTCTCTCTATGTGGCCTTCGCAGTGTAGCTGGATGCAGTGCAGCCTCTCTTGGGCGTGTGGGGAATCAGTTAGCCTGGTTAAAACCTGTTGGGGTCTCCAAATATTCTCATTCTGGGAGTGATGTGCCTAATGAATCGGAATTGGTTCAGAAGCATGGGTGTACAGTTTTTGCCCACTTATACGGGATATTGGAGTGTTAATAATCCATACAAGCCATAGTGCTATTTCCTGCATCTGGGCGATTTCTGGGGTGAATGTAGGTATTGTAAATATGTGTAGATATATGATGATATATATATATATACATGATTGTATATGCATGTAGCGAAGATGCAGGGACGGGTGATTTCAAACGTGTTTTGAGACTTCCATGTTGCGTGTTCCTCGACTTTTTGGCCTTTTTGTACTTGTTGGTTCTTTGTTTTCTATACTATTGGTGTAGCACGGTATGACTTTGGCATTCAGTGCATGCTGTAAGAGTGTGCAGCCGTTGTGTTTGCTGTGTTTGATGTGTTTGAGCCAAACACTGAAATGATTTGATTAATGATGAGGGACATCCAAGGGTGTCACCATGTACAATGATGTCATTTTACCTTGAAGTTCTGCCGTTTCATATCCTACAGCCTGCGCACAAAATGGTGGCTCCCACTCAGGTTCTGTGTGCTGAATATCGCATCTTGGCGCTGAGCTTCACTATTTTTACATTACATTCGATCCAAATATATTGTGGGATGCTTTCTTTCATGAAGCCCTATATATCCCTATATATCATCATAAATCACAAATCACCGCTGACAGCTCTGGAGACTCATTTTCCATTTTTTGCTGCCTGTTCTGTTGTTAGTCCACCCCTTGCTTCCCCTCTAAGAGGCTTGTTGGTGTGGCCGCAGACAGATGTTTGGCCCGTATTTTGGGTATCCACCAGGATACAGGCCTCACTTCATAGCCCTTGTTTTGGCAGTGTATAGATTTGTCAGTTTTTCACCCTTACCATTCAGTTTTTGGAGCCACTGTAACATGCATATATTCCAATGGCAACGCAAGTTGGAATCACTATTTACAGCAAAGTGTTTCAAATAAACTGGGATGGATTGTATAACCCATATGTACAACTGGGATAGCTTTGGAAGTGTCTCAAACTAGCAGCACCTCACGGATTTGCACATGATCCAGGTGAGATTCCCAGTATGATTGACACGTGTGCCATGCCTATGGTTCTAGAGATACACATGCCCATACATTTCCTATGTATATTAAATATGTGTGTTTTATTCATGTTATTTATTTACATGCAGATACAATTCTGTATGCTCCAGTGACTCCAGTGTGTATGTGTGTTACACTTGATTTGCATTTATCACGTTCTTTGTGTTTGCGAGCATGCCTCCTTCATTTATCGATCCATCCTCAGCGAGCCAATGGAAACGGATGATACCCAGCTAGGACGGACTCTGCTGACAGATTATCTAAGACCAGCCATGAAGTGTGAATTTCAAAGTGTTTACTAAGGCATTTTAAGACAATTCCAGGTTCGTGATCCAAAAGGCAAGTCAAAACAAAGTCATAGTCAAACCATGGAAACAGATGTGAAACTTCCTTTTCCACTGGGTTGATTCCAAGGAAACTCGGGAATCCACAACAATAAGCCATCCCCAATGATCAGCCATGTTGGGTGATGTGAAATAAGCAATCCCAAGCAGGGGCATGCCAAAAAAACATCAGCCACACTGAAACATCTCGACTGGTGACCGGTCACGGTTGGGTCACGCTTCTCAGGTGACCGGAGTCTTCGTTGAAAGATCTACATCGATGCGGCTGATGGATGAGGAAAACATGATGTCTGGGGCCCAGTTGGACTTGAAGTTTCTCAGTGGGGATGATTGACATATGATTGACGTATGGTACTGCAATCCCATGCTTCATAATTGAAAACATCTGGGCACCCAATTTCTTAATAGATCCATTCATTACTAAGAGCCGGCTGAACTCTTGGAGAGGGGGATGGGCAGGGAGAGGGAGAGAGAGAGAGATTCATTACTAGACTACGGGTATCAGGCTGAAGGGATTACAAGCAGCAGATGTCTGGGGATACAACCGACAAGAACGTGGATATGAAATAAAGACATGGGATATAAGGATATGTCGGATATGTAAAATGCACGAGTTGGGACGTAGCAACTGCACCAGCAAAAAAAGTGGTAGAGGATCACCACGATGCCAAGAAATACAACGCTGTGTCGGATAGATGCAGCTGGATAGAATGAGCAGATGTAGATGGACAGAGCAACAACGAAACTTTCAGGGACCTTCACAAAAATCCAGCGATACAATCATCTACAATCATCTACAATCTACCATTTAATCTACATTTAATCTACCATATAATGGTTTTTTTTTGTTCAGCAATCGATAGCGAAACATGCGTAAACCATCCCCAAGTCATCACCATAGATATCCCATAGATGGTTGCCATAGCCGAGGTTTGACGAATTGGAGTCCAGCACCTGGGACTGTTGAACTGATTGGGACGTGAAGGACATTTATCGAGCTTGACAGAAATCCGATTGGAGGCGTTTGAAGCCTTAAAACATGGGGAAATAGATCAAGAAAAATATATATATATATAACTATATGTATACAAATATAATTATGTATATATATACAAATATAATTATATATATATTATTGTATGGTATATATAATTACGATCAGGACGCTTGGGTCGCCGTCGGCTGGAAAGCAAAATTTCTTCAGGTCAGCCAAGGTACTTTAGTTTCATTGAAACATTCGATAACGTAGCATTTCCACCCTGCAACCATAGCGATAACGTAGCATTTCCACCCTGCAAACCATAACGATAACGTAGCATTTCCACCCTGCAAACATAACGATAACGTAGCATTTCCACCCTGCAAACATAACGATAACGTAGCATTTCCACCCTGCAAACATAGCGATAACGTAGCATTTCCACCCTGCAAACATAGCGATAACGTAGCATTTCCACCCTGCAAACATAACGATAACGTAGCATTTCCACCCTGCAAACATAGCGATAACGTAGCATTTCCACCCTGCAAACATAGCGATAACGTAGCTTTTCCACCCTGCAAAAATTACGATAACGTAGCATTTCCATCCTGCAAAAATAACGATAACGTAGCATTTCTACCCTGAAAACATAGAGATAATGTCATATTTGCAGCCAAAAAAAAGCGCGCGACAGGACGTTATCACACCCCCCCCCCAACCCCCTCCCCCCGAAAACATAATGGATGCATCTAAAGCGACGGCGACCCAAGCGTCCTGAGGGTATAATTAATTATAATATATATATATATAATTATATATATCATGATTGAGATTTAATCAATGCTGAAATCAGAAATTTCAATGCCACCAGATCTGTTAAACATTATTTGAGCATGGAATGTTGACCCCGTTTGATTGCCCACTCTGGGCAAAGCTGATCTAAGCAGGCCCAGCCCAGGAAAGAAATGGTTGAAGGAGATCAAGTTGCTCTTCAACGAAGCGGATGCGGTTCCTCGGTTTCTAACGTTCCGGCAGTAACCCTGACTTGTTTTGTTTGTTACCCTCTGGTAATTTAACGTTTAACTATGGAAAGATCCACCATTTTTGATGGGTAAATCCACTATCTATGACCATGTTCAATAGCTATGTTAGTTTACCAGAGGGTAAAACCTGCGACCCAGGATGGTTCCGGACAGATCGAATGGAAGGAATTTGAAGCGGTCTCTCGTCCGCATGGCACTGGATAGCAGATCTCCAACGATTGGATTTTCGTCTCACCACCAAAGGTTCTTGGATGGTACCCTCTTCTATCCCTTTCACTGGTTGCGCGATGTGGATGAAAGATGACGAAAGGACCGAAGATGGATCGTGTTGATGTTGCCCAAAGCCAACCAAAGATTATAGGGTCTGATTTATTAGACTTTCTTCGGCATTATTAAACAGAAAAGGGGAAAAAAAAACGAAATTTCCATCACGGATGGAAGAACCATAAGTTGAGTCGTTTTCCATGATTTCTTGACCTCTAAGAAACTCTAAGATATCAATGGTTTGCACTTCCAGCCCGAGTTTTGGAGAGCCATGAGGTCATGCAAGATTTCCAGGCACAAACTGCTTTGAAGCAACCCGGTTGCAAGCTTGGGCCAAGCATTGGAGTCTGAACAGCTTGGGATCCTTGAAAATCCAAGGAAAATCTGGTCCAAATCCTTCCTGAGTCTTTCTTGGAATTGTTTTGCAGTGAAGGTTCACTGCGTGACCAGTCTGTTTACCAAATGGAATTTGGAACAAGGAATCAAAAGGCAAAACTGGGAAAATGGTTACTTGCTTTTTGATGTTGTGTGTTGTCTTCTACGATTTATCCAGCTACTTCTAGCTTTTGTTTGCTTGCACATCTGAACCACAGTAAAACGGGCTTAGCCTAGAAAAGTCAGTGATGAGTGGTGAAATGTGGAGGAACAACCTTGGATAAAAATGGATAAAACGATTGTGCTTGGAAAAAGGGAATGTATCAATGCAGCTGAGTGCAGGGTGGGTCAGCGGACTATGTAGCTTTTCTTCTGTTTGTGCTAATTTTCTTTATCCAAATCGAGTTTTTACTTCGGTTTTGTAAGCTTCAGATAGCTGCTAGGTTTTCAGCGAAGTGTGGCTTCTGCTGTCCACTACAAAGCTCACTATAGATGATGGCGAGTGGAAATCATCACCCCAAACAGGCTTACTGCTTGATTATGCTTCGTTGATTCTTGTTTCCTCTATGGCTATATACTGTGATATATATATAATTATATATATATAATATTACATAATTATTTATATATAATTATATATATATACGTATGTATATATATATATACATAATTAAATATATTATATAATTATATATTATAGTTATATATAATTATTTATAATTACCATATCTGCAATTGTATATTACTGACTGTGTATTGTCTTACATTGTACCATGTTCTATCACTTTTATCACATATTGTATTCTATTGCCATGCATTTACCATGCCCATTTCACGCCGGACGTGGCAGGCATTTGGGTTTCGACACCAACAGAGTGACAACGCAACAGCTGTGGACGCTCATTGATTATGTGCCTTGGCCATCTTTGGCCGTCAAACTGGATGAAGGGCTGGTTTTCCAAATTTTAAATGCTATGTCTATGTCTGTGTCTATGTGAGCAGATCACTCATGAGAATCATTGAGAATCATATTTGTGGGAGAGTCCTGTTTCTTTTTGCATGTGTTCACATTCATGATTGAGCCTGGAGTATCTATGCCTATGCGCTAGGATGTGTTTCAGTGAATCAGCAAATAAAAATGACATGTTAGCGTTGCCATGGCTGGTACCACTCTGCAGTCCGGCATCAGCTTAGGTGAGGCAGATGAATAAGCAACATTAAGCAGCAATATATTCTGGAATGGATTGACTAATCAGCAACGATATTCAACGATATATATATATATACTAAGTCTAGATGATTGATCAGCTTCATATTCTGGATAGTGTTGACTTACCCTCCAAAAAAATTGCCGTGGCTGGCTGGAACATCCATTGATGATTGTCCCAGTGCCACGTCCCCCCAAACGTGCCACGCTCCGCTGAGGACAACAGTGGTTTGATCGACATCAATGAGTCGTGGCCTCAATGCCGATGCCATGTCTACAATGACCTCCACATGGGTTGATGGTAGATGATGCTAGTAGGGTGCAATGGGGTGCATATTGGCACGTGATTGTCGGATATTGTTGGATATTGTTGGATGTTTCAGCTCACATTCAATGGATTCATTTCTTGTTTCCAAAAAGGCTAGGTTTATCCTTGGGGAGGTGGTTGAAATGGCTTAAGGTTTGGTGGGTACAGGTTGATGAAGGTATCTCGGCTAATCATGCAGACAAGTTTTCACATGAACGTCTGCATTTTATATAAAAAAAATACCACCGTAAGTACGTGGCTTCCAGCAATAGCAATGATTAGAGCCAAATTAGATATCATCCCCCATCGCCAAATCACCATGGTTTTTCCAAACCTTCCCATACGATCCCAGTCATGGTAGGTTTATGGCATTGGCGAAATACCCGGCCTGGTAAACGTTAACAAAAAACTATGGAAAGATCCACCATGTTGAATGGGAAAATTCACTATTTCGACTGGGCCATTTTCAATAGCTATTTTGACATAGCAATGGAAAGATCCACCATTCTTAATGGGAAAATCCACTATTTCTATGGGCCATCTATACCATTGCTTTTTGTATGTTCACCAGGCCGGGTAGCGAACTGTAAACGTTTACCAGGCCGGGTACCACATTGGAGCGTGATTTTTGCAGACGTTCCTCCGCAGGTTTGCAGACGCTTTGATGAAACTCCATGGCGCAGCAGGGGCCATTGACATTGCCCGCTTGAGACATGAAACGCTGCCTGGCCGCTGTTGGCGAAGTGATGTTCACCCCGGACTAGTCGCCATGGTTGCCATGGTTATTTTATGTTATTTTCATTAGGAAGTATTCCCATGTATTCCCCAAACAGTGATCATTTGATACTGAAAAATGGTACCCCTCAATTAAAAAAAGCTGTTTGGGGATTATTAATCCAGGGTTGACATTGCTGTGACAAGTTGGAAACCCCAGTTACCTGCACTGGTTGAAAGAACATTTAGGCACATGATGAGTAAACGGTATGCCACCACCCGGCCTCTATTTTGATTCTACAGTCCACCATGTGGCTATGATGTTGCGAAATGTTGGGCACTTATTATCCCAATCTTGGGTGTTGTGTTTTATATAATCCTTTAGCCTTTTGCTATACATGGAAAAGAACATAAAATAACCATACCCAGCAAAAGAGTCAAAGATTGGCCATGTTATAATACGTCATAGTCTCATATAATCTTAAAACTATGAGGGAAATGTTGGGAACCCTCTTCACGGCGTCGCCTTGGTTGATAGTCAGTGAAAATCATTTGTGTTCCCCGTTCCGGAAAACGCACAGACCCCTTTTTCACCCATGTTTTTTTTGGTACAAAGAGATACACACATGACACACATGTTGATGATCGTTTTAAATGTGGATGGTACTCGTATAATCATCGTATAAGATTCTATGATGGTATAACATGGTATAACGGTCTCCAAGACTCCATGCTGAGGTCGAAGATCTTCAAAGTCCTGAACCACGTGAATAATGGCTGCATCCCGGACTGGCGAAGTGGGTTGATGATATGTGATGGGAACCCAAAAATGATCAAAAAAACTTAGGAAACACGGAAACATGAGTGTTTAAAAGCCACCCAAATTGAGGGGTACCTCATTTTCAGACAAACCCAACACGCTGGTGTGGGTTTTTGAGTTCTTTGTTTGGATTAAAAACAGATCAGCGTGGGAAGCCAGTGGTAAACCCAAGAATTCTTACCATCCCCAAATTCACGTGTTTCTTCCCAGCGGCGGATCCTGGTTGATGTTCAAGCCAGTCTGCTTGTTGAGCTATGGCCATGGATCAATACAGTACCTACAAATATCATTTTAGGGGATGAACATCCATAAATCCCAGCATTTTGATGTGAACAGAAGGGGTACTAGGTTTTGACCTATCCCAATATGTCGAAATATGTGGCAATCCTTTCCTTGTAAGACAACCGTAAGCCACGGGGGTGACTTCTGGCTGTTGCCAGTTATTGTTGAGCCCGCCTGGACTTTCGATGGGCCTGGCTGAAAATTCTAGACCCACTATAAAATTTCTAACATGAGGAAAGTTTCAAACATGAGGAAATTCTAGACCCAAAATTGAATGATTGAATTTCAAACCATGAGGAAAGTTTCTGCAGAACAAAAAATGTGTCCCGTTTTGGGTCGCCATTTCTGCATGTCTCTTGCTGAGGTCAAGCACAATTTAGTGAGATCAAAGAGAAATTGGAGGAGGTGCAATCGAAGAAGATGCGGTTTCTGGCATCTTAGCAGCGTGAAGATTCGCGTCGGTTTGGCAGCGCCAGAGCCTCTCAATTTGATGAATGATGATATCCGCAAGGAGGGACTCAAAAAAATCATGGATCCAATGCAACAGATTACCTGGATCAATGGATCAATGGATCCAATTACTTAAAATGAATGGATCAATGGATCCAATGGATAGTTGACTGGTTTAACAGACAATGGTTACCTCGCAGGTTGTGACACTTTTAAGGAGGGCATGGAAAAGGGCGTCGTTCACGTTGTGTCCGACGAACTCGGAGAGTCTCAAATTCGGCCCATGTCCTTGTGATGTATTTCATAAAAGAATGTTAATGTTCATTATGATATATTCTATACAATGGCGATAGAGAGAGGGAGATATATATATATATTACATATTATTATTATTATCAATATTATATTAATTATATATATAATGTCAACCCTGGATCAATAAACCCCTAGGCTGTTTAATTGGGAAGGTACCATTTAAGTATCAAAACATGACTATTGGGGGAATACCCCCCTAATTAATAAACCATGGTTTATTAATCCGGGGTTGACATGATATATTATACTTACTGTATATATACGTTTTCTTGACATGCATATATACACATATATGTATATAGAGGCTGGAACAACAGGCGTGATTCCAACATCACTAAACATCACTGAGTTGTAGTAGATTCTAGATGTAATCCATCTAGGTGTGGTCCTGCTTGTTTTGTTGCTTCGGCTGCCAGATATATATGGAAAACCCAATGGCCCAAAAAAGGTTCAACTCTCGAATCTGGTGAGAATACAACTGTTTGTTCACTTCCCCCAGTACATAATAATATGGATATACAAATATATATATATATAGATAGATAATTGGAAATAAAAGAAACATATATATATATATATACAGTGTATATATGTGTGTGTGCGTGTTATATGTAGATAATTGCAAATAATAGCAATACTTATATATAATCGTACATGTATATATGTGTGTATGTATGTATGTATGTATGTATGTATGTATGTATGTATGTATATATGTATATATGTGTATATATGTATATATGTATATATGTATATATGTATGTGTATATATATATATATATTTGCGCATATACAGTCGTACATCCGAATTGTTCTGGGTTGCAAGCCCCCTAGGGGGGCTAGTTGTCTACTACATCGCGGCTGAGGACACCAACAATCGCCTTCTGATTTAGCGGTCGCCCTAGGTGGCTTGGTAATTGGATCCATTTGGTTCTAAGTTTGAGCACATGTTTCTGCAGTTTCATCATGGTTCTGTTGTTGAATTTGTTGATATGTTTTACTCGTGTTTCATCCTTCATTAAACTCATTAAACAACATATTATATATATGGGATTATATGGGTTTCATGGTTCATCCAATGCTCTTAAATACGAAGACAAAGTAAATGGAAAGAATGGAACTGTTTTTCCGACCAAGACAGCACCTTTTTGCTGTGGTCGTCGACGTTCCAGCGCTGTGCTAAGCACACTGCAGGGACGTCGGGAGCTAGAAGGGGCCCAGGGGCCATTGGAAGACAACTCGCAAACTGCTGTTGGTTGGTGACGTATACCCTTCGGAATCAAACATGGCTAGCTGGGAAATTTCCCATAAATATCCATAAATGAGGTTTATAGCTGGGAACATCATCTATAAATTTTCGGTATGTTCCATTGGAATGTTTGATTGACGGAGGATGCAACTGATCTGTGATTATCCCCCGAAGTGCCGCTGTCAAACGTGGCTATCACATTCTTAGGCCATCATGATACTGGCTATCACGAGAACTCACCGCAAGGTCACTGTAAAAAAACGATTTGTAAAGATTCGTAAAGTGGAATCAACAATGACCCTGGGTGGTGGTTTCAAACATGGTTTTTATTTTCCATTTCGTATATGGGATGTCATCCTTCCCATTGACGAACTCCATCATTTTTCAAGATGGTTTTCTAACCACCAACCAGTTACTAACCATTATTAACCATTACTAACCATTACTAACCATTATTAACCATTACTAACCATTATTAACCATTACTAAGCATTATTAACCATGGAAATCCCAGTGGGAAATCCCTATGGTCATCCCATTTCAATGACCATAAATTTCAGGCAGAACGCACGATGATTCAGCTGTCCAACAACTGGACTCCTGGGCCTCGAGCCGTGCTCAGATGTTAAAAAATGGTGTGGTTGTTGTGGGATATATATTATATATATATGTGTGTGTGTGGGTTCATTTATTTATTATCATGTCATTATACATACAAAATCATATGAATATATAAGTTGTTTGTCCATTGTCTTGTCTTGGGGAAGCCAGGTATCTAAGATTAGCAAATCGAAAAGGTTTGCTAGACCCACTGCATTTCCAAGCGACCAGTTTCACGACATGTTATCAATCATAGCATCGAAATGTTCACGATCCGTTGCTTTTGGACTTGTGCCAGCAGTGACCACATGGGGTCATCATCGGGAACAGGGGTTGCGTGGAAGAACTGGTGGCTTGGCGTGTTGCTGTCCATCCCTACTTGGCATAGTAGCTATCACTGGTTTTGGTTGATGGGTTTTCCACCCAAAACATGTTGTCTTTGGAAAGGGTGGCAGCCAGGGGAAACACAACGGGCTGTGAGCTCATCGCCATTCCCTTCATCAGCAGAAAAAATCATGGGCAACGAGCTCGTATCCAACCATGCAGCTGGTGCGTTTTTTCTAAGAATTGGATGAAGAGAAGCATAAAACAGGCCAGGAAGCTTTTAAATTGGCTGGTGCAACCATGCTTTCCTGTAGATGCTACCAATCCATTGGGGGATTTCGGAGGCGTTTGCAGCTTGTGCCTACCCAAACATCTAAAGAATATGTTGCCATTATCCACCCAACATCTAAAGTCAAAACGTTATGCATGTACCCAACGTGTTTAACATATTAAGTACATTTAAGTACTGTATACTAACGCTAGGCTTAAGTAGTATCAGCCTGTTCAACGTTGTATCGGGATGCCGTGCTGCTGCTCCCTGCTGCTTTTAGTATAAAGATTTTGTTTTGGTAGATGTGCTGTATGACATTTAATATCCTTTAATCAAAAATTGCTCAAACATGTCCCCAAAAAAAGAAATATTTGAACTTGCCACGAATCGTGTGTCCAGTTCTTCCATAGCCCCGGCTGTGCGCTGAGCAGCGTTTGAACAATTTCCAGCACTCGGAAAAGACGGGCAGATGATGGCGACTTGTGACGTAAGTGGTTGTTACTGTAATTTTATGATTAATGGAATTAATATGTAATTTTGTGACTAATGGAATGAATATGTAATTTATGATTTATTTGAGTGTACATTCCAGATGGGACATAATGGTGATTAATGGTGGTCAATGGAATGACCTCTGATAACCAAATACAGTTTGCTGGAAAAGCCTTGTTTAGTTCGATGCCGTTGAGTGGGTCGGGGTTGTCCAGCGGACCACCATGTTTGAAGACACGGGAGGGTAAACTATTGAATTGAATATGCCATGGCCATGGAGTATTCCATTATCCATGGTTATCCGCGATTATCCATTGTTATCAATGATTTACCATTATTAGCTATTATATCTATTATACACGCATTCTGAAACCATTAAAACCACACTAAAAGACTTATTGCATATATAAATCCATTATAAACCCATTGTAAACCCATTATAAATCATAACTCCATATAAATCCACTATTAAATGCATTATAAACCCATTTATAGACCCAATGAACCTATCATAAAGTATAAATCCATACCCATGGTACGCCACGATGGTACGCCAGGCTCGGTTCCTGGAGAGTTTGGCTGGGGAGGTTTGGCTGGACCCGCGTGGACCATCGACCCCAGGCGTGGCGACGATGGATCGGATGGACGGGGATCCATGAATTGGGACAGTTCCATGGCCCGAAACTATGACTCATTGGATTGGTTGAAGGGAAAATCTACGGGAAACCATGGTGTTTACCATCAAATATGGCCGTTTCCTCTAATCACGAAAGCTAGCGTCAGCTAGCTGGAGTCTTCTTGCTTTAGCAAGTATTCAGGGGGCTGCTCAAGGACATCACGTGATTTTTCACATGAAAGGGCCCCCCCCCACCCCCCCCACCCCACCCCACACCCCACCACCATCACCATCATCATCATCAGCATCATCATCATCATCATCATCACCATCATCATCATCATCATCATCACCATCATCATCATCATCATCATCATCATCATCATCTCCACATCCTTAGCACCCTCGTCTTCATCATCATCCCGATCAGCTGCCGCAGCCTCATCATCATCATCATCACCATCATCATCATCATCATCATCATCATGAGCATCATCAGTATCAGCATCAGCATCAGCATCAGCATCATCATGTTCTTTTCCTCATCCTGATCATCCTCCTCCTCATCATCATCCCGCTGGCATTGAAGATACGTCTTCCCTTCCTTCTTTCTCCTACCCCGCTAGCTTTCGTCATCCACCCCCGGCCTCAAGTTAATTTTTCCCGTGAACCAATTATTCATGAATGACTGATACATGTAACTATATAAAGCTGGGTATAATTATCGCTCCAACTATTGGTCATCTAACCATTCTCTATCTATGATTTGGCCCGAAATACCAGTTATATGTCAGTAAGTAACCCCATTTATGGAATGATAACCCCATTTACACGCAGAAAAACGCCTGGTTTCTAGGGCGTTGACTGTAGGGACCGTGAAGTTCAGGGGGAAAAAATATTGGATTTTACTAGAAAGAGTTTTGGGGATTTTCCACGGGGATCACATGGGATACACAACTAACTTGTCAGTAAACCAAGTGATTCGCTGAAGACGACTTGTTATTTCCCCATGGCAAATCCACTACGACTGGGGCATCGGTTTTTGTTTTTTTTGTTGAGGGTCCTTCAGCAAATCAAAGTGGATTATAATTTTGGGATATAGTGGGCTACCCATGGACCATCTAAGCTTTGTGGTAAAAGAGAAAATATAGTCATAGCCGCTATAGCCTATCCAGTGGTCAGGGGAACGGTTTGGAGCTTAATGGGGAGCCAAGGAGCAGCTAAGAGTTTCCAACCACAGCAGTCTACGCATTTTTGGTGTTCCAGATGTTCCCAGTCGAGCGATGTCAGTGCTAGGCGGAGAATTCTGAGTCATGAGTCAATTCAACGGTATGCATATGTTTTCTGGGATGGGATTAACCTTTGGTAAACTACCATTTGGGTACATTAGGAAAATCAATCTTTAAAAACATCAAAAATCACCAAACTGTCACTGGGGAGGCTACTGGCCGACCATTTTTTTATACGTGACGGTGGTCCCCGATGACCAGATGATGTAGAGGACCATTGCCTCTCTTTTTACATGAGTGGGATGTGTTGGGTAATCACTGTATCAAAAGTTTTTTTTGTAGACTAACCACTACATTGGACCCCCTATTGTCTAATTATCAGGATGGTGCATAAGAACTCCGGAAAGGGTTTATTCCACGAATGGCAAGCACCCAGGATCAACAAAACCATATCAGGCCCATTGAAATATTATGGGATGGAATTATCACTGTCGGGGACGGTCCCTATTGAAACTATTGGTCAACTGGGATTTAATTTTTTGCCGGGTTGACACTATGGGGAATCTTCCCAACAATGGCGCACTTTGAAGGTTTTGTGAAATGTCTTCGGGGTGACTGCAGAGGATAGGGGACCAGAGGACATGCAACAGTTGCCATTTCAGTAGATCAAGCAGGAAGGAGCATGAAAGAGCGAGAAGTATTGCAAGTCTCGAGCGCAGCAACTCGATCACAGAGTCATGTACCATATTTTAGTGGTTTACACTCAACCATCAAAGTTCACCCGCTCTTTAGTATTCTAGCCGTTCAATCGGCTGATCTTCGCAACAAGCATCACCCCAGATCAGTTGGAAGACCTTTGCGAGTAGAGCCAACCTTTCAACGCTCATCCAGGGTTTCGTATTGCCGATGGTACCAGCTATTTCTCTGGACATGTCGGCTGCCCATGGACCCCAGATCAACGTCTCTGGTCATGAGAGAAGCTTCGCATCTCTTGAGTCTCTTTTGCTGTGCACCTTGACAAAAAAGCTTGGCTAATCCCTTCATCATTAATTCTTGTTAGTTGTTATTGTTGTTATTGTTAGTTATTGTGGTTGAACAGTATTTTATGGGTTGGTCAATATCTTTATGTATACATAAACGTGAATATTTTATATATATATATATATTTATATATACACTGTATATAATTATTTAGTTATTTATTTATGTTTTTCACATACCAAACAAATGCGTATAAACGTGCATGCATACATACATCATTCCGAATCGAAACCCGAACTTTGGGACTGAACCGCATTTGTGCACGGTCAGCCCCTGCCCGGCCACTGGAACGGGAGTTGTTTATTTGGACTTACGAGATGCCGTCAGAACATCATCATGATGTTGAGTTTGATCATCCACATTGACACAGATCTTCTTGTACATGAAAATGTCCTGATATGTCCTGATCGATCCATTTCTTGTCCATGCATCAATCACCAACTAGAATGATCCTTGAGGTGAGTAGAAAGTTTATACCATCTGGTTATTTAACAGTTCGCCATGGTATAGATGCCCCATAGAAATAGATGCTTTACCTATTAAAAATGGGTGGATCTTTCCAGGTCGCGAACTGTTAGTCATAACCAGATGGTAAAGGTCACAGCGATGCTCCACGGATATTTTTTGTGGCTAGTCTGTTGGCAGACATTTGCATACCCTCTGGTAATTTAACAGTTCGCTATTGAAAATGGTCATTTATAGTGGAATTTCCCATTAAAAAGGGTGATTTTCCATAGTTATGTTAAATTACCAGAGGGTACATCAGATTGGTAAAGATGTAACATGTCATCAATCAACCCACATAAGATCACTCTTAGCATGGATTGACTTATACAATGCGAAACTCCACAGAAAAAAAAATGGAACAGAATTGCGGAGAATTTAGGCAAAATGTCCGATGTTTGGATCTTTATCAGTTTCTGGTCACGTCCCTGGATCACACCAAATCCTGTTCCATGGGAGTTCCATGGTTGGATTTCTGAGTTGTTTTCCAAAAATCGCCAAAAAGGTACCGGATCCTGGAGCTCCTGATCACTTGCCATCCCAACTTATGGAAACATCACAATGTCACAATGCTTAAGTATGTTTTAACATTTGTGCATCAATATATATATATATGTGTGTGTGTATGTATGTATATAGTACATATATATATATATGTGTGTGTGTATATATATGTGTGTGTGTATATATGTGTGTATATATATATATGTATAATTTATATATGTACACATATGTTTGCATATCAGCTGAACCCTTGAGTCCCTTTCCATTCTTGCTGCCAGGTGCAGCTGCTTTGCGTTTCTGCCACTTGGACCTCCCATGGCAGCGACGCGGCCCCGGCACCACGGGCGCGGCATGCCATGGCCAGCCAGACGGGGAGGTGCCATGGTGCATCGATGGCGGTGACTGAGATGGGCCATGGAGTTAGTCAACTAGCTGATGGTTTATATATATATATACATGTGTGTATGTATGTAAATATATATATATATATTTTTATCCAGTATTATAGTAATATTAACCTAATATATGTTAACCTTAGCTATTAAAACTATATTATATGGTAATATCAGCTAAATGGCTATATATTTAGCTTATATTACCGGTACCTTATGTATGTATGTATGTATGTATGTATGTATGTATGTATGTATGTAATGTATGTATGTATGTATGTATGTATGTATGTATGTATTAATGTTATGTTATGTATGTTATGTTATGTTATGTTATGTAATTAATGTATGTATGTATGTATGTATGTATGTATGTAATTAATGTATGTATGTAATTAATGTATGTATGTAATTAATGTATGTATGTAATTAATGTATGTATGTAATGTAATGTATGTATGTATGTATGTATGTATGTATGTATGTATGTATGTATGTATGTATGTATGTATGTAGTATGTATGTATGTATGTATGTATGTATGTATGTATGTATGTATGTATGTATGTATGTATGTATGTATGTATGTATGTATGTATGTATGTATGTAATGTATGTATGTAATGTATGTAATGTATGAAATGTATGTAATGTATGTAATGTATGTAATGTATGTAATGTATGTAATGTATGTAATGTATGTAATGTATGTAATGTATGTAATGTATGTAATGTATGTAATGTATGTAATGTATGTAATGTATGTAATGTATGGTATGTATGGTATGTATGGTATGTATGGTATGTATGTATGTATGTATGTATGTATGTAATGTAATGTAATGTAATGTAATGTATTGTAATGTAATGTAATGTAATGTATGTATGTATGTATAGAGAGAGAGAGAGCTGATATTACTAGCCGATGGCGTATATATATATATATATGATATATATATATATTTATATGATTACTATTGATTATTATGGTAATAAATGAACTTTTCTTACTGACTATGGGTTTACTAACCATTGGTAATAGTTTTTAGATTGATTTTAGCCCATGGTTAGACAAATATATGGGATAAACCAGAAACGCCAATCCCATGGCCCAATTCAAATGGTCATTTGGAGTAGTCCCTGGAGTGTATTTCCCAAGCATTTTCTTAGATACTGGGGCAAGCCTCAAGCTTGACTGTTGAGATGGTGTTCATTTACTTTTTTTTTTTGGTAATTCGTTGCGGAGCGGCAGTCCTGGAGAAGCAACATCGTTGGTAAATCATCAAACTAAATGGGCATTTTCCATGGATGTTTAATTACAGGAGGCTATGCACTGTGGTAAAGCGCAATGAAAAACTACGATATACAGGTGGCAATGGCAATTATAAACTATCCCCAACTGGTGGTTTATGATTGGGTTGTCCACATTATAAAGGGTTATTATGGATTTACATGTACTGTAATCAGTTGGATTGTAAACTGATTTGGCAGTCTGCAAATGGACCGAAAAGGAAAGTTAAATTGAAAGAGATTGACAGATGCGTTAATGTGAAATTCAAAACCCTTTTTCGGTATGTTTATGTTTTTCTGATCGTTTAGGCATGTTTAGGATATTTAGGCTATTTCAAGATCACAAGAGCAGCCAAAAGCTGCAATGACCGTCCTGCAGGCTTTGGCTCTTTGCCGGCAGTGCTGCCGGCCAGCGCTTCAATGATTTGTGGATGTTCAACATGGAGCTGCAACTGGATATGACTGGAATGCATCGCATTATGACTGGCGCCACTGCACTTATGAAACTTAAAGAGATACGTATGGATAGATCTGGATAGAAAGAGATGGGGTATAGTCTAATGTCCGTTTCCTTGTGGACTGGTGACTGGGGCAAAGGAAAATTCAAGAAGACAACTTAACTGCAGATGTAAAAATCTTGATTTGGTGCGAACTTTCAGTAGGTCAATGGCCCACAAAGGGCCAAGAATGCCAAGAATGGGTGCGCAGTGGACACGGGTGGGGTTGCAAACAGCAAACGATTGTGATATCGCCCAACTTTACAACCTATGCAGGCTACTTGGTGAATTGAAATCAGCACTTTAGAAAGGATATGATATGTACGGGCTTATATCTGTTTATTTCTACCATCTTCGGGATTTCATCACGACCATTTACATCCAATGACGTGAAACGCTTGGTAAATCCATGTTTTCTCATTGGACCCCACGGATTTATCCATCCGTTAACATCCAAATGATGCTGGAGAATGACCTCACTATCCCAACATGAATTTACTGCAGGTTGATGAAGTACTAGGAATTTAAGCTCTCTATATATATATATACACAATTATACTATACACCTGTTTATTCTGAATGATTCCCAACTTTTTGATGGATTGACATGGATTGACACATAGAAAAGTATGAAAAAGTGTCCAAATCAGCTCAGTCCCAGGCAAGTGTGGTTTGAGTTTGCCAGAGATGCTGAGACAAGCCCTCCAGCCATGGAAGATCATATCGCAGTGTGGGATCCAGGTTGGGAACCCAGGGTTAAGACTGCAAGGCTTATCGTATAGCAACGCCAAAAAAGATAGAAACATAGTTTACCCATAGTTTACCACTATTTCAGAAACAACTATGTTACTTGGATTTTGTTTTTTTCATCCCTTTAGGTGTTTCTATAAACCAATTGTGGGATATTTTACTTAAGGGATCAATGAAATCGTGATTAATCTAAAATCCTCGAAATATGCCGGTGCTGGGCTGAAAAGCTAAGAAGCAGCAAGAGAAGCCAGATTAGCTCACTGCAGCAGATAGTCTTTCTTTGGATTTATTCTTTTCCCAACAAAAAAAGGCAAGGAATCAGGAATGCTTATCCCACTGAACAGGCCAAACAGAAAGCTTGTGAGCCTTGGCGTTGCTGAACCGAAAATGTCTTCGCTGCTGTGGTTTCAAACGGTCACTTCCAGGTGGTTTGGCCCTATGGATCTTTGGAGGCTATGACGGCACAGACTTCCTACAGGACAGCTTTGCGTATGGGGAAGCACCCTAAGAATGACCAGAGTGGCTTAAGGGATTTGAAGCAACCGAATGGGAATAGAAACCAATCGAATTTCAAATCACAATATACTCTCTGGTAAACACACAAAAAACTGTGGAAAATCACAATGTTTATTGGGTAAATCATCTATAAATGATCTTTAAGTAATTCCGAAGTTTCATCTTCCGTTCCATGAAATGCCAAGTCTTTCCAATTTCTATAGCTACCCAGACGCTACTCAGACGCTACGCAGACTCAACATCCAAAAGACCCCAGGAGCTCTGGAGGTTCACAGCTGGAAGTTGGACCCGGTGGCCAACTTCGGTCGTTCGTCCGGGCCGTCGGGCCGGGCATGTAGCGGCCTGGGATGACGTCTCTGCGGCACTCTGGAGCCTTGCCGGGTTTTTAGGAACACAAGTAACACCCGGAACCTGAAAAGTCACAACTGGAGTGCCCCAAAAAGGGCAGTTGTTCATAGTTGTTCGTTTTTTTTGTGGGAAAATGATCTTCCAAACATTTCCGAACCATTCTGGTTGGTTCCAGTTCCCAGCCGGCTCGGTCAGAACTGCCTTCTGCAAGATCACGTTTTTAGCACGTTTTCAGCCCTCATAAGATCCTAGAATCTTCTGGAAGATTGTCTTTTAGTAACCTTCACAAAGATAGAGAAGTAAAAAAAAACATTAAAGATTTTAAAGTAGGGGTAATTACTGTTCTATCTTTTTGGAGATTACTATCAAATTTACTATTTACATGTATATATTTAGTCTAAGTAGATTTTAGTAGCAAAATAAATAAGTAAACAAATATACTAATGATAAATATTATATGTATGTATGTATTTATATGTATATAAATAAATATTATATGTATATATATATATATATATCCACGCTCTGTTTCTCGCTGGTCAGCGAAAAACGTCTGCGCCCAAGGATTCACGGTGGCTATGATGGAGTGGATCTCTATCAAGATACCTGGAGATTTGACTCCCAAGCTGCGGGGCAAGCTGCGGGGCTCCACGGGCTCCACGCTTGGTCGCGCATCAGTTCCGTTTCAACAGCAATGCCCTCAGCTAGAGCCAAGCACGTTGGGGCGTGGGATCCAGCTGGTGCTTTCTGGATCCATGGGGGGTACAATGGAAGCCCCTTGGCAACGTCCAACGTTGATGGATTGTAGAAGTACTATAGATAGTCTAATAGATATCTGTTAAAATAGTATTATAATAGTACTATAGCATTAGATATCCAATTATATCAGTCCAACTATTAGTACTATAATAGTATTTAGTAGTCTGTTCAATGTTGTGAAAGCACCAGGTTTACATTTGGTGACTCTGCACGGTGGATAGTGTTCGAGCTTTTAATGGGCTGTGCCTCATTGATCCGTTCTTCCCGTTCGCATAAAGCCCCAACAACAATCATCATAGTGCCCTGAAATTGGTCCTTGATCTAAGCGGTCACCAACGCCAGCATCAGCATCAGCATCATCATCATCATCATCATCATCATCATCATCATCATCACCATCACCATCACCATCACCATCACCATCATCAGCATCAGCAGCATCAGCATCAGCAGCACCAGCAGCACCATATGACTATCATAGTCATCATAGTCATTTGAGTCATCGTAGTCATCATACTCATCATACTCATCATACTCATCATACTCATCATCACCATGATGTGCGGCCCAAAATTCACAGTTTTCTCCATAGCAGTAGAAGCCGTTGCCATTTTCAACCCGTTGCCTTACTAGGTGGCCCATCCCTTTTTTTTCGCCGTTGACATCCGTAGGGTGAACCACACCCATGCCTGAACCCGGCAGCACCATGTCAGGGGGGCCTTGATTAGTATGATTAGTTAAGTTGCTGGTTTCAACTCTTTTTTGGTATTACTGGTAACTCATTTAACAAGAACAATGCCTTTCTAATGCATATAATGCTATCTAAAAAGCAACAACTGCCTCCTAATTACATGTCTTTGGACGATCTTTTTGGGATGCAGTCGTAAAAAAAACATCCCCCCAACATCCCCAACCCACCAAGGCCATCTCAGCAACTTTAGCAACTCCCCAAGTCGTTTGGGCCAACACTTTTGTGAAACCCAATCGGAGACGGTTGAAAATCGTTGTGGATCCCTTCTATGACTTGAGATGGCTGGCTGGGTAAACACCACAAATAGGAAAGAATATGAAATAACTGGATTAAATTGATTAAATGACTAAATCACATTCAACATCCTTAAGCCGCATAAATATCATAAATCCATATAAATCCACCATATTTAAGCAACCCCTGGTAGAACTGAGGTGTCTGCAACGACCTCTGGAAGTTGCAGGTTGGCACCTCCCTGTGGCATCGCGTGGCTCCCGCAACTTCCCCCGGGCGCGCGTACCATGCAGCTGCCTTTGATGCAACCGGAACTTGGTGGATCCACGGTGGGGTGGACGAAAGTTTCAGGGCACAAGGCCTGGTGGATGGACCATGATGGACCGATGGTTGGTGGATATGGTGATTAATGTAGTGATTAATGTAGTGATTAATGTGGTGATATGTTGTGAAAACATGGCGGTGATTCATGTTGCGATTGTTGCGATACTGTGAGAGATCCCGGTGATTCATGAAATGCGATGATTTAAGGATGAACTGGCTGGGATTCGGATGAATATGAGTGAACTGTGGCTTGCCATGGTTATCCCCATATCAATCCATGTGATATGGGTTGTTCGAACAAAATATAGACGGTTCATAACGGTTCAGTCAATCCTTGGGCCACGGTGGCACCACTCACTGTTTCAGCTAGATTCAAAGAAGGAACGTAAAACAGAAATGATGAGATCAATCCAAATCAATCCAAAGCATGCTAAACATCTTGGTGTTTCTTGTTTTTTTCTGATTTGTCTGTATCACAATAGTATATAGATATATGTGATATATAGTGATATATATATATACACAGTTTATATATTTGACAATGGTTGACTAATAGCAAGCGTTGCCCCCTTCTGCTAGGTGATCTTTGGAGATTCGACACGGCTAGCCACACTTGGTGCCTTCGGCAGAAGTGCCGAAAACGGTACAAGTTCACTTCAAGCAGTCCATTGAAAGGAAATTGACACGAAAAAATATGGCTACTGAAGTAGATCGGGACTTGTTTTCTAGGGTGTCCCACTTTGATGATAACCGCGTAAGTTTGCCAGCTTCGTTGGTTGCAAATACACCCTTTGTTTTCGCTTTTACTTGATTTCTCCTAAAGTGATCAAAAAAAAACATCTGCCTCCCATCCATTCATTGGGTTGGCTTCAGGCAAAACAAGAGAAAATAGTGGAAAATCCGACGGACACCATTGTGTTCACATGATCTTTTCGTGGGTTTTTGCCACGAAATCCAGAAGTTTCCTCCATTTTTCATGGGAAAAATCCGTTCCTTCGGTTTTCAGCGTGCAGGTTTCAGCTGTCGCTGGAGAGCGCGCCGGGGGAGCGCTACAACCACGTGGCCAGCTGGGACGGTGGCCTCTGGATCCATGGGGGCCAGCAGCCGCCTGGTGGCTCCATGGATCTCTCGAGCCTCTGGAGCTACGAGAGCGACCTGGATTCGCTGTTTTTTGGTCCATTTTTTCACAAGAAAAAATGGACATAGTGGGGATATCTACAAATATGTTAATACATATATTTATATATAATGCATACATATATGGATTCGGATATGTATATATATATATAATGTTGGCTCTTGCTGAGCCGTAGACCCCCCCAAACAATATCGACCCACCACGCTAATCAACAGCCAGCACCAATGGAGAATCTAGTAGTTTAACATGGTCATCAAACATGGTTTGCTGGAAAAACTTCAATTCAATTGTTTATATAGTCGATAATCCCAGCTCTAAACCTTCATTTAGCTGAGGGATGTTCAATTGCCATGTTTGATTACCGGAGGGTAGCTATGGAAAATCAATGAAATTCACAATTTTTGAGAGATAAACCATCGAACATCATCGAACTCAACAGACCATTTAAACTGTGTCCAAAAACATGGTGGAAACGTGTTGCTTGTTTGAAAACATGATTGTTGAATCCTATTTGCCAATGATTGGAGAAATTTATGGATGGGATGGGTTATACTTACTATACTTGCTCTCACGGGTAAAATATGGTAAAATCAGTTACTAACAAATATATACCAATATTTACTTCCATTATCCAACAATGAAACAACAAATGTGACAAAATAACGTGACAAAATGCAAGCTCAATAACAAAAAACAAATCCCAGGTTGATGGAGCGGCTCCCAGTGTGGGAAAACTTTGGTTTCATGATTCACTTTGATTTCGAGTATTTCAGTTGGCCCAATCTCCATTCATATTCTATGAAAATGAATATTGCAGTATATATATATGTTATTGTATTATAAATGATTATACATGCCAATAATCCAACTATAATTTATTTGCAATAATGTCATTTTGAAAAAATAAAATATGTTATCCAAGATTAATTAAATATCCATTAAGATTGCCATTAAAATATCCATTAAGATTCCCATTAAACTATCCATTAAGATCAATTAGATATGAGGACTACAAATGAAAAGTCCCTTCAGCCCAGATCATCCCAGGTCCAACTTGCCAAGGTAATGCAGCTTTTACCAGCCTTACGGAAGCTGAGTTTGTGCGTTGTGGGTTGATGATGGTTGATGTGGGTTGTGGGTTGGAGATGGGTCAAGTCCGAAAATCACCAGATGATACCAGATGGAAGGTAGATTCATGCCTAGACCCTCCAAATACCCCCAAAGAAATGGTAAAAGTACAAAAATTCTGGGGTAAAACACCATGTTTGTGGTACTTGGAGGGTCTAGGTACTGGGACTCCCGTAAATGGTGGCAAAAAGATTTAAAAGTACATTTCTATTTTTTTGGGTGGTGCTTCAATTTTAAAAAAATATATCACTATCAGTTATGTCATGTCAGCTGGCTCAGGTGCAGAGACCCAGAACGTTGATAGAAAGTGTTCAACTACAGTATATAATCCCCAAAATTCATATATATATATGTACAATTATATACACACATATGATATATATATATATATAATGCATGGTTACATGTGTGTGTGTGTGTCGCGTTATGTAATTTTGATATTATTTGAGGCCCAGAATTCATTCGCCTTTTTCGTTGCGTAGCCATCACCTACACCTTCCATCCTCGCCAGGATACCTCAACCCTGACATCCTCCACCACGTCCACCACGACGTCCACGGCAACGAGGTCGAGCACCGCAACGTCCACGGTGACGACGTCCACGGCAACGTCCACTGTGACGACGTCCACGGCAACGTCCACTGTGACATCGACGAGCGGGGTTGCTGCGGAAGCCGGTGGGCTGAATCTGGCAACTCGGCGGAGGTTAGATTTGGCCGATATCTTTTTCAGATACTTACGGTACTTATTACCAACAACTATTAATATCATAGTTGACATTTATATAATACATTTATTTAACTAAGAATATGTTCCAGGAAAATTGAATAAAATTGATCCCCTCCACTAACGGTCCATTTTCATCCATTTTCACCAATTTGTGGTGATTCGATGCCATCAAAGATCGGGGTTCAATCTGATGCATTTGGGTTTGCTCGGAAAGGAAATATGATTAAAATTGTAATTTGATTGGGGAGGGTGATGGTTAGCTACAGGATTTTGGGGAGGCTGATATTCAGACAAACCCAGGAGGTGGAATACGACGATCAGCAAAAATAATGCTTAGTATAAGGCATAAGGGGAAGGATCTTGAAAGTATTTTCATATTTGCCCAGATCAGGCTGGTTAGTTGGACTGTGGTAGGGCCCAGTGGTGAATGGTGGGCCAAGTATCCAAGCCATTTGGGGGTTGCTTCTTTTTGCAAATTTCTCCGAGGAGAAATCTACAGGAAACCACGGGGTTCTCTGGGTTTCGTTTAGCAGTTCCTTTTCACCAATTCTGGCAACTCACGGATTGTCGATCTTCAACTAGTCAAAGAAGCTAAGAAGGGAGGCATTTGAGCATTCTGACATGCTCTGCCATGTAGTCAACTAAGAGCTCAGTTCAAAACAATCAATGGATAGTTGTGGAACTGAAGGTGATACTCATGAGGTTGAAGTCTTCTCTGGCAAGATGAGTTGGTTGGAAAGTCCTGGTAACGGACAGGGACTGTGCAAATCAAAGGATTGCCAAGGTTTGAGGCCATTGACTGTATATCCACAATCCACAATCATCCATTGATCCATATCTTTTTGTCCATTGTTTCCCCTTCAACATCTTTAACTGCCAGAAACAGCAGTCTTTTCCTGTTCTTTTTTGGGGCTTCTGCCGTTCTGCCCTTGGCTGAGGTCAGTTTGACGATCCTCTTGGTGGCCTGCGTGGCTTGCGTCCTGGGTCTCCCTTTGCTGCTGTTCCGCAGCCACCTGAAGCAGCTGCTGACGCCCAGCAAGACTGTGATCATGTCACCTGGATGGGGTCGATGGGGCAGGGTGAGGTGCCCATGGACCCAGGTTGGGAACATGTTTTGACAGTGCTTCCTGTCAAAACAATCAATTGATCAATGTTCTTCATTGTTCTTCAAGTTTTTGTGGTTTGGATTTTTGGGAGGCCTACCGAATCTCTCAGATGAATGCCCCAAGGACATGCACAATGTCTGAGTAGTATGTCTAAATAGCATTGAATAGCTGGGCCGTGCCTATAAGTTGAGAAAGATGCCAGTCATGTACATTTTACTGCCCCCAAAGTTTGGCAACGGACTTGCAGGTCATAAGTTCATAATCCGCATAATAAATCATAATCATAAGTCAAGCCCAGTTCTAGATCACCGTTTATTAATTCGTTTTTATTAATGTTCAGATGATAGGGTCATCCAGCTGAGCCTCCCTGACTGGAGGCCCATGGAACAAACGCAGCTGAGCCTCCCTGACTGGAGGCCCATGCAACAAGCGCAGCTGAGCCTCCCTGACTGGAGGCCCATGCAACAAACGCAGCTGAGCCTCCGTGACTGGAGGCCCATGCAACAAACGCAGCTGAGCAGCAGTGATGCTGGTCCTGGCTTTCCAATGATGCCAGGGAAATCCAATCATCTGGGTAAACAACGACCAAATCCTGTTCTCAGCCCTGGAATCATGGTGAATTTTAGGGAAAATCATTCCCTTGCATCCCCAATTGGGTTTATTGGACTTATTGGGCACCCCCTATTTGGAACGATGTAACATTACCCCAAATCGATCCAAATGGTCGGAAGAAAAGGGATCGCCCATTTTTTGGGAAGGGTTATCACATCCATTTTCACCTTTAGTCGTTCACCATACCTAGGTTGTTAACCAATTCACGGAGACAGCATCAAGAATCAACATCCAAAAGGCGGTCGATTAGTGGGCCTGCAACATTATACAAAATTGCGCGTGGAGTAATCACGCCATGCATCTACAATCATCTACATATACGCGGAGTTGTGTCAAAACTTTGAAGAAAACAAATCCCGTCGTTGATCATCACGTTCCCCCCTTGAATTTCCTATTTTTTCAGGCCATCTCCGGTGTATTCCTTCGTCCAGGAACACCCAGCCGTTGAGGGAGCCAGCGATCTCTTTGCCTTTGCCAGTGCCTCTGGTTCCCATGGCTGTGGCGTTTCGTGACCTTCCAGCCCTGGGCTTCGGTCGCGGAGAATGTGTTCTGCACATTGCTGATGGTTACTACGAGCCCATGGCTCGTTGTCGAAATTGTCAGGGCTGGATTTCTGGTGTGAGTTGCTAGGTTGCCATTTTTGCACATTTTTATGTTTTTTCCTGTGCGCTGCCCCGTCCGCAAGAACTGCAGCCATTTGTCATCATTTGTCACCGTGTTTTCATCCTTTGCCGAGTTCTGGGTTTGGACCCTTGGTCAACACCTCAATGGGATGGGATGCATTGACAACATTCAATCAATCAATCATTCAAGTCATTGTAGTATGATTCTCTTATTGATGAAGGGACGCAGTCTATAGTCCAAAGTCCAAAGTCCACAACATCGCGCGTTTGAGGCTCGCCCTTCTGCGCTGCAAAGCCTTCTTCCAAGTCTCCTGCGCTTCGACTTGGCAGTGTGGACCCTCAGCAGTGGAGCCAGACGGTTGATGTATGAGGGCTTTTTTCGGACGCGTTGTTTTGGACAACAACAAAGGAACTTCAAAGCTTCCATTTCTTTGACTCCCCAGGGGCTCCCCATGCTGATGTTGCCTGCTTCATGTTGGTTCGAGTCAGCAGTCCAGAGTTCCATAGTCCATCGACTGCGTGCTGCGAGTCTGCAGTTCATTGTCCATTGGCTGTGGGAATGACGCAGACTATCTCGTTGGCCGCCATGGCAGCTGAGGGAGGCCAACAAAGTCAGCCGGCCGAACCAGCGCAGCCAGCTGAGGCAGCAGGGCAGAGATTAATGGGCAGCACCAGCAGCGGCACAATCTCCGAGGCGCACGTTGCTGCCAACCGCTTTGAGCAAGCCGTGGTGGCGCAGGGCGTGTCCATTCCTCCTGGCATCCTTCGCCTTGGACCTGACGATGTTTCTGGTAGACTGGTTGCCCGCCCAGCTTTCCGGCATGTGGCCCTGAGGTCCTTGCAGTCTGCGCCACAGTTCTTCCAGGAAGTACAACTCTGGCGAGCGATTTACTTGGTGCTTCGCTGGCTTCGACTGCTTGAGGTTTACCCTGAAGGTCGCAGAACCCCGCAGGCAATCAATGCCCTGTGCGGAAGTTCCTTGGCATTCCTGTGGTGCATATTTTGGTTGCAGGACATGGGAATATTGACAACTCATTGGCTGTGTCAAAAAATCATAACTAACATGTGTTGGCATTCAAGAAGGTTGACCATCATTGATTTCTGCCAGGGTAGGAGAAGGAGAACGGGTTTCCTGTATCTTGCCTGCAGGCTTTGTGCTCCTGGAGGAAGACATCCAGCTGGAGGCTGAAGATGTTCTGGCACTGATTCCTCCTCGTGCCCATGTCCCGCAGTAGCTTTCGGTTGCTGCTTGCTTTGAAGAACGCCTCATGTTTTTTGGGGGGCTTTGGGCTGGTGCCTTCAAGTTGTTTGAAGTATTACAGTATACTTTTCCCCCTGTTAGATGGCACGAAATGACGGCAATTCTATCGCAAGGATTTCTCAATGAAATAGCCCAACCAATGATCAACTCAGTTGAGCTGCTGCGTGCGCGAGCTTCTGGAGCAGTTCCACGTCGAGCACAAGCAGCAGGATGGCGAGGAGGTGTTCCATATCCTCACGCACCCCTTCACACTCCATGCTCTGGCTCGTGGGAACAAGCTGGAGGTGTTTGTGACTTGGACTTGGAAGGCAGACTGCTTCAGAGTCTTTGAGCCCATGAGTCCACAGTCCAGCAGTCCTTTGCAGCATTTGACACCCAAAAGTGGGAGTTTTTTTTTTGCTTGTGTAATTCTTGGCTGCAGGACGGGGATGAGACCTGGGCAAATTGGCCCCTTCCAGTCACATCTGCTGGCGAAGTCGCAGACGTTGGACTGTACGCCAGAGATGTCGTGAATCACGACATCTCTGGCGTACAGTCCAACGTTTGCGACTTCGCCAGCGGATGTGACTGAGTCGTGAAGTTCGGGCACAAGTTCATTGAGCTTGCAGGCTTGCGCCGTGCTGAGCCACGGGCTTTGCCTGGTCAGGAGCACGCAAGCCAGCTGAGGTCGCTGGAAGACAGGACGCAGGTTTCAAAAGACATTGACATTGATATTCAACAATGACCATGAACGGGTTGGTAGCATAGCATACTATATGGCACCCTGAAGGAACGTCAGCCTGCTGGAGAAGTGTTTTTTCACAGAGCGCTTCACGAGGCAGTCCTTGGAGCAGCTGGCCAGGTGTGGTGTGCGCTTGGGAGTTCAGCACACGATGCTGCTGTGCCTTGGCATGCGGTGTTGTTTTTCCTTCATCTTTCAAAAAGACCCTTGGTTACTTAGAAATGACCCTTCAGATGCAGATTTTTCATGATTTTTCGAAAACTGGCAATTGAAGGGTCAAATCGGGCCATTGAAGGGTGTTGTGTGCGGAGCCCAAGCGAACGGAGGAGCTGCAAGTCATTCGGCACCTGGACAATGGCGTGCAGCAGTTTGTCTTCCAGCTGCCAGGGGAGCGTCCCCCTCACACCCAGAGCCTCTGGGTTTCAGCGGACGGCTACTTCTATGCGCTCTACATCAGCCCAGCAGACGTGTCGCACAAGAGCTTTAAAACGCCAACAATGGTCTTGAAGGCTGCAGTGTAGAACCCATGATGGTTAAATTCAAAATGCTGAGTGGTTTAAAAAACCGATATTGGTCCCATTGTTGTCGGAACCCAATGGTTTGCTTGGAAGCACTTGTGTTCGCTGAGGTTTTTCAAGAAAAGTCCGCGCCTTGAAAACAGGCAGAGGTCCTCAAAGGCAACTTCAACGACAACTTCGAGAACTTCGACATGACGTCCAAGAGGTAGGTGCCATGTATGTGGACGGGCATGAACGAAGACGACTTCGGCGGTTCTTCCTCAAAGGGTTCCGGTTTGTTGCTGGGCCTGCTTTTATATCGAACTTTTACAGGTTCAGGGTCTTTTCTTCGTGGCAGAGATGGGTTTTTCCAAGCATTAGGGTAAGGAATGGCTTCTTGATTCAAATCCCTTTTTCGAACCCAAGGTGGCAGCAATTTCCCACAAGCGCCGCCGGCCGCTTGCTTTGCTGATCCTTGGGACCAGTGAGCATTGACATAGAGCTGCGCAATTTAGTTGCAATGGAGAGCCTCTGACGCAACCACAGTCCACAGTCCAAAGTATACTTCACCTTTCAATTCTGAATTTCAAAAGATTGCTTGTGCCCAACTCCAAAGTAGCAGTGGCAGTGGAGAGTTGTTTTTTTCAGAGGCTGTGCTTCGCGTCATGCAGCCAGTGGCTTGCTCAGAGGGAAACTAGAGGAATAAGCCTATAATGATAAATAAGTCTAGGCAACTTGAGACAAGATGCTGCAAGCCTTGCGTGCTGAGGCTGGACCTCTCGACTTCTTCGTCTTCATTTGCTGGCGAGCTGCTCTGCTGGAGGCTCGCCCTCTGAAGCGTGGCATACATGCCCAACATGATGCAAAATCCTTAAGTTTGCACACACAACGCGACTTCGAACTCTATTTTTTGATGTTTGTTCTTCGCGCAAGACCTCTGGAGTCTGGTTGCCATCAAGTTGCAGGCACGGGTTGCGGTAAAATACAATTATGATTGACTTGAATTGTTGGTTTCTTGTTTTGGTTGGAACACAGACTGTCATGTTCAAGACGGTTTAGATTGCATCATGCGCCTACATGCCAGAACACAAAGAGCATGATCATGTCCAGTGTCACTTTGGGCCCGGCTGTGCCAGGCCGACGCAGGGCAGGCAGGGGCAAGGCACCTAGCTGTCCAAAGCCCATAGTTTCCAAGCTGTGCAATGCAGCTGTCAGGCAATGCCAGAATCTTTATGTCATTTTAGTGGCTTTTCTTGGTACTTTGTTCCAAAGGACATTTTCAACAATTTGTCAAAATGCCCAACTGGGTGATTGTGATTTCATTGGGCATATTGCACCACATTTCCTATCTTGGCCTGCGTGGTGGAGTGTTTGGATGCATTATTGCTGCAGACTGACATGTTGATCGAATGTTGCATGTCTTCAGCTGTGTGCCCGAGGCAGAGTCCACAGTCCACAGTCCACATTTGGAGCACCAATAACACGCTGGAGGCTTGGAGTGCAGGAGACATGCTGCAAGGTGGTCGGGTGTCGAGTCATGCTGAACAGCGCAAAGGTTGCAAGCAAAGCAAACCACCGACATTCAGTGGCCGGAGCCTCTTGACAAGTTGGTTTCGGGCATCCGTGTGGGATTGGTTGCCCAACCAACCAACCAGTTGGTTTGTGAAGTTTGTGAGTATGTGTTCAAGTTCATGTTCAAGTCTCTCTGATTCGCAAGGCCAGTCATACAGCTGCGGGCTCAACTTACAGCTGCATGTTCAGTTTGAACAGATTTTCAGAGGCGCATTCAATGGCGATTTGAATTTGATCTGAATTGAGCACATCTTAGTAAGATAGCGGTTTCTAGATTTTAACAAGGTTAAAGGTGCAACTCCTTCTCTCTTCCTCCTCTCCTCCTCTCTTCTTCCTGTCTTCCTCCTCTCATCTTTCTCTCTTCCTCCTCTCCTCTGCGTTTTCCTCCTTCTGCCAGCCCATTGTGGCTTTGGGCACTAACGGGCCCGGAGCTCACAGCAAGTGTCGGATGCTTTGGTTCAGTGCGGGCATGCATGGACCACAAACAGCTGGGCACACATGGATAGAATGCCAGCTAGTTTATCAGGACCAGGATAGCATTATACATCACCAATAAAATGACAGGATGCCAAATAGAATGTCAGAGATAAAATGCCAGATAGACTGCTGGGGAAGTCAAGAACCTCATGCCCACAGTCACCACCAATCAACTCCCGGTTTGCACCAACCAAGAGCTGATTGCTCGGGAAAAACCTCCCATTTTCACTTTTCCTGCAAATGTGCATTGTGAGGATTTGCTATCATGAGATTAGACTCCTGGTTCGCACCAACCAGCAGTCTATTCGAGGTGAATATTTTCCCTTGAATCTACTTTAGTATTCGAGCCCTTTCCCCTCCAATAGACTCCCGGTCGGTGCCAACCAACGAAAGCCACCATCCAAGGGTAAAAGGGCGACTCTGGACATCCAACCACATGCAATCCAAGGGAATCATGCGTGCATCCAAGGGTAATTGACTCATGTGCGCCAAGGCCACCGATACCCTACTGAAAGATGACAATGAGGGCAGGCGCTCCTTGTCCATCAGCATCACAGACCTGTAAGCATCTTGGCTATGTCAAGCCACAGGGAAGTCAGCCAACTTTGATGGTCAACTGCAGCTAAGAAGAAGCAAAAGATCGAGCAAAGCCGCATGTTTTGGCCCTGCGTGATGGTGTGCGGGATTCAATGCCTTGTCTCCCTGCCTCACTCAGGAAGATAGCATTCTGACTCAGAATCATTCTGGAGAAGGTCACGTGGTTTTTGCTGGATGCCCGCCGCGTGCAGGCAGATCGCGCAAGGTGCCCTTGTCAGCCAAGAAAGTCGAATCCATTGCAATCCTGTGCCCAGTCAGCAGGAGCAAGATCAAGGCGAACAAGAAGGAGCAGGTCACTGCTTGCGGCGAAGAAAGCACCTACCAAGGGACCTATTCTGGAGTATCTTACCGGTCCGGTGCAGAAATCCCTCATCTCCCCACTGGAGAAATCCAAGGTTTTGCCTGAGTCCACAGTCCAGAGTCCACAGTATACGGGCCAGCCAGTGTCACCAGATGACTGGGCCGAGCGCAACGGCAGTGACATTCCATTGTTTTGGAGCGAACCCAAGCCGATCGCATTGTGGGCTGCAGTGATTGATGATTGGAAAGTGGCCACCATCTTCGATTGCAGCCCAGGGAGCGGAGCATTGATGGAAGCTGCAATGACACGCGGTGTCTTCTACCACGGGCTGTGCTTGGTCCTCGGTTCATGACAAGAGTAGTTTACTGCTTTCCGCAAATTGTTTTAAGTTTTAAATATTTATTTCCCGCCTTGCTTGCTCAAGGCCTGAACAAGGAACACTTTCAATGGCTGCAAGCCGTCGCCGACAGAGCGGCATGTGGTTTGATGGCTTTGGAAGGGTCAACGCTGTTCAGTGAAGAGAATTCCATTGTCAAGAAGCACTTTCCTGATATGATTGCTGGGCTTGCTGGCGGTCGAGACGACGAGGAAGATGAGCCGATGGAGCCTGCCAGTGAGAATGAAGGCTGCAGCTAGTAGACTTCTTGATTCCCTTGTTTGTTTTTTTAGGCTAGAGGCTATAGATGTTGCTTCAGTCCAAGTCCGCAGCGCACAGCTCCAAATTTTGATAAAGTTCGCAGAATGATAGCTGTTTGCCACGGAAAAAAAGCTGCAACCCTTCAGCGCGCAGAAATGATGCTTCCCTGCCCACTTTGCATGGAATTGCCATCTGAAGGGTCATTTGTGTGCAACCAGGGGTCTTGTACCGGAGTTGTTACATTGGCGCATATTGGCACTGCATTCCTTATTCCTTTGCTTGTGTTTTGGAGCTAGTATAGTGGCAGAGTCCATAGTCCACAGCCCACCTTGTCTTTACAATGGTGTTTGCAGCGCGGCTGAGATGCAAAACAAAAGTGCCAATCACGCAGCCGAAGCGGAACCAACCCAAGAGACAGAGTAACAGGGCAGCAGCTGTCAAGGCTGGAACTGTTCCAAGGCCAAGGAAGGCATTTGCGCTGTTTGCCATGAACCAAGCAGAGAACAAAGCCGGTGCTCCCAAAGCAATTTTTCAAACGGAGATGAAGCGATTAGGGCAAGCTTGGGCTGCGCTTCCTGCAAACGAGAAAGCCGAGTACCATGCCAAAAGCACAGCAGAGTTTGAAGCCCAGCGTGCAGCTCTCCTGTCCTTGGGCATTGTTACCCGAGGGCCGAGAATGCTTCCTACAAAAGACCCCACAGAAGATCGACCTGCAGCAGATGCTGCCAAGGTGAGGACTGTTGCCTTGGGACCATACAAAGTGAACATGGAGCACAAAGATGATGTTCCAGTCCTTGGCAGCGGAAGCTATGGGAAGGTTTTTCTTGCCAAAGGTTCGAATGGCCGAAACTGCGCAGTGAAAGTCTTTGGTGGGTACAGGGCACATGTTGAAGCATCCTTTGAGATTGGCATCGGCATTGGTCTCCTTCTCTTTGCCAATCAGACAAGAAAGGGCAGCCTTGGCCATACTTAGCCATGTCCTTTGGAGGCAAGAGCTTGCTAGAGCACTTGCGAATGAAAGGGCCTTTGAAGTCACAGCTGGCGCATTCACTGGCTGTGCAGCTGCGAACAGCCTTGCAGGTGTTGCATAAAACAGCTGGCCTTCTTCACTTAGATGTCAAGCCTGGAAATATCCTATGGTGTGATGAGCTTGCCTCGCTTCAGCTTTGCGATTTTGGCATGGTGGAGCCGAACCCGTGTGCCTGCAGTCCACAGTCCACAGTCCATAGTCTACAGTCCGCAGCCCGCACTCTGCCTCTGCCTCGTTTCATGGAGTATGTCACCACTTGGTATAGAGCTCCTGAACTTTGGGATGCAAAAGGGCAAGCAGCGTCACTTCAGGCTTTGCTGACGCCTGCCATCGATATGTGGAGCTATGGCTGCGTGGTCTTCGAGGCGTTGATGAAAACCCTGGATCATCGCCGTTCCCTCAAGAACACTCTTGCAGAATGGTGTAAAGGCTATCCTGAGCTTGTTGCCCGAAAAGGGCCTCGATCCCAATACTCTTCAAGTATCATTGCGCGTTGGGCAGCCAATTTGCAGACATGCAGCAGCTTGAAAGCTTTAGTCCTGTGTGCATGCGCGCCAAACGCAAAATCAAGGACGTGGACGTAAACTAGCTTCCAGTCCATAGCCATATATGTAATTTTCATTTTGGTGCTACAAGCCTTGAAATTTCAGGCAGCTTATATTTGATTGGGGTTGCTGCTGGACATAAAAGAAGCAGATTTCCTGCAGACAGACCAGCTAGGGTTAGTAGCTGTCCATTGGGAAGAGCAAACGCAGACCTTGAAAGGCAGGGAAAAAAACAGGCCGCAGCCGCAGACATTGAATCGTAAATAATATTTCAAGAAGCAATCAAGCACTCGTTTTATCATATTTCGTCCCCTGCACAGGCGTCGCAAAGAAACAGCAATGCGCGGGCAAGCAGCACTATGTGCAGCGCAAGACAAAAAAAAAGCGTTTTTCAGTGGAAATCCTTGGGAGTGCTTAATATTTTTCGGGACCGTTGAAATCTCCACCCAGGTTGTATGTAGTTGCCAGGGTATGGATCAAAAAAATGATCAAAATGATGTTTTAAAAAAAAGTTGAGCCCCAGAGAGGTTGGTTGTTTCCAAAATACGGATGGTTTATGACCGTTTTTCATGGTGTCATGACCCCGCTTTTCCCCCAGGAAGTGGCCCTTTCTGAGGTGAAGAGGAGCCAGCGGAAGCAGTGGAGACTTATGGAGTCTCAGCTGCCAAATGGCATCCGTCCTGCCGTTTTTTCCAACAAAACTTTGGGGTTGCCATGGGTTACCCTCTTTCTTTTCGCCACTTGAGGTGGGGAATGTTTGAGTTTCTGACATTTACGGATGATTTTCTTAACCACCACTTCTGGACAGACTCGCCCTAATGCCATTGTGCCCTGCTTGGGGTGTGTCGCTTTTGTCCGGGCATTCTTCTACAATCAACCAAGAAAGCGGTTCTCAAATTGGAGTCTCAAGAATCTACGGAAATGTTCAATGGTAGGCACGGTTCCACACCTCCAAGCCCCAAGCAGTATGAGTTCTCTCAGTTTTGCCAAGTCGCCCCTCTTTGAACCTGAAAAATTGGGTCAGCAGATGGGAGCTGGAGAAGAAACAAGGCAACCTCAAACATCGTCACTACGTCATATTATACCCAGAGTGCGTGTTTTATTGGAAGTTATCCATTGTATAATGTACATATATATATATATTATATTCTGTTGATTCTCATGGTTCCCGTAATCTTTGTCCCTCTTTAGTCGATGACTTCCGGTTGAAGTATTTGTTGCACGCGCTGGCCTTTCGTATTGGAAACTTGGGACTTGGGATTCTGTGGGTTCCACCCTTTCAATTCTGCGAGTCTACCCTCTGGTTATTTAACATAACCATGGAAAATCACCAGTTTTAATAGGTAAACCATCTATAAATGGGCTATTCCCCGTGGTTATGTTAAATTTCCAGAGGGTATTCCCCAGATTCACAGTTTTCTGCATGTTTTTGTAAGCAAAATGCGCAGTGTGGGGTCCGTGTCTCGACCCCCAAACCTCCTGATCTGTTGGGTACTCCCATCTGTTGGGTACATCCTCATGATTTTGCTGTGGCATCTTCCATTTTGGATCAACCCCCCTCACTTGCTTGATTTATATCATCATCATCATCATCCTCCATCATCCTCCATCATCATCCATCATCACCCACCATCATCCATCATCCTCCATCATCACCCACCATCACCCACCATCATCCATCATCCTCCATCATCCTCCATCATCCTCCATCATCCTCCATCATCCTCCATCATCCTCCATCATCCTCCATCATCCTCCATCATCCTCCATCATCATCCATCATCCTCCATCATCCTCCATCATCCTCCATCACCATCCATCATCATCCATCATCCGTCATCCGTCATCCATCATCATCATCATCATCACCATCACCATCATCATCATCATCACCATCACCATCATCATCATCATCATCCATCATCATCCATCATCCATCATCCATCATCATCCATCATCCATCATCATCCATCATCACCCACCATCATCCATCATCCTCCATCATCCTCCATCATCCTCCATCATCTTCCATCATCCTCCATCATCATCCATCATCACCCACCATCCTCCATCATCCTCCATCATCCTCCATCATCCTCCATCATCCTCCATCATCCTCCATCATCATCCATCATCCTCCATCATCCTCCATCATCCTCCATCATCCTCCATCATCCTCCATCATCCTCCATCATCCTCCATCATCCTCCATCATCATCCATCATCATCACCATCATCACCATCACCATCATCATCATCATCATCACCATCACCATCATCATCATCATCATCCATCATCCATCATCCATCATCATCCATCATCCCCCATCATTATCCACCACCATCCATTATCATCATCATCACCATCATCATCATCATCATCATCATCACCCATCACCATCACCATCATCACCACCACCATCATCATCATCATCTTCATCATCACCATCATCACCATCATCATTATCCATCATCATCACCATCATCATCATCATCATCATGCCGCATCCATCATCATCATCATCATCATCATCATCATCATCATCATTATGTTGCATTCATCTTTTTTTTGGGTGAAGCTCTAATTTTTGTTGGCTACATCGTCCACCATCCCCATTTGCAGTTGGAGATGTTGGACCCCAATGGATCCTTCCAGGTGTCCCAGCACCTGCAACAGCCGCGCCGGATGTGGCCCAAGCCGCTTCCAGACCGTGCACGTGGAAGGGCCCAGGCGGGGACGTTCTGCAATGATCTGGGTAAATTATAGATAATTATAGCGCCACTCCATAAGCTTGGGTGGGGCTTTTGTCTTGCGGGAAAGGGTACATTATAGCGACCTAACCGCGATGTCACTGGAAATCATGGATAGTAAGGCAAGTATTTACAGTAAAAGTAATTATCCCAAAATGACCTTGCTTAGGGATGGTAAAATTTTAAAATAAATTTTGCCCAGAAATCCAGAAAGATGGATAGCTGCTCAAAAAGAAGTGGAGGAAACTTTAGATAATGTGTTGTTTTTGCCACCTAGCCACCAAAAAAGTGCAGTAGGCTTTGCAGGGTAGTTATTTAAGATTGGCCCGGATTAGGTTCGCCCACCTGGGTTCTCTTGGAACTCTGTTGGCTAAATGGATGTCTATCTAATTGCAGGAAATGGATTGCTGATATTTGTTGCAAGGTGGTGTCCAACGTCTCTGATTTTCAGCCCTGTTGGGAATAGAGAAGAAATTTGATTCATGTTTTTGGGGGATGGGCTGAAGACCAACCAATCAGTTGAACAACATGCAAGAGTGGATGAATGGAAAGCAATCCCGGCACATCCTGCAGGATCAAGGGAAGAATGCACCAAAAGAAACAGTTGTAAATGGGAAAGCTATTGCTTAGTTTGCTTGCATTTTTTTTGCAGAGCGAAAATCAGGATGTGAGAAGCATACGATATGCACTCTACTGAGGGGACAGAAGCCAGAAAAGACGAACTCGAAGGTCGCAATACAACTCAGCCAATTTAGTCTGCTAGTGGCTGACTTAGTTTTAACAAAGCAACTTGATCAAAACCCATGGACGACAGGCTGAAAGAACTTTGCAGCGAGAGAGACAGCACCCCATGAAATTTACAGTGGAAAAAGGATGAAATAAGTGCTCTGGACGTTCACTCTATCAGGAAAGTGACCCACAAATTTCGTCATGTTGAACGTCAACTTATAGAAATTCTTGCGTATTCTTGGTGGTGTTGATCATTTTGACCCATACCTTGTAGCCTTGTGAGTGGGAGGTGCAGTTCCAGCTTTATATGTGGTTACATGCGGTAGCCATTAGCCATAGTTACCATAGTTTTGGAGGTTATGTTCCAACTTATGGGGATTTTATATGATTTTATGGGGGTTATTAACAGGTTATACCCATGAATAACCCCAACGTTTGACGCAGGACGCAAGGTGCTCAGGGACTCGCAAGAAGTAGGGCCGTGTCTACACGCTTCAGCCTTGCCTTCACCCGCCGGTGAAGCCAGTTGCCTTTCACTGGGCCAACCACAGCGCTCAGTGGAAGAACCTCCAAGATCCTTGGAATTGACTTACCAAGGAAACTAGTTGGGGATATGATTAATCCCGTTCCCTAATATGAAACACCCCCCTCAGAAACCATAGTTTAGTAACGTACTGTAGAGGATTTCCACATAATTGGGACATATTGGGATCATTTAGGGGGTGTGCAATATTAGGGGGATGGGATTATGGAATGGCTGTGGTTTTGCGCCATCTTGAGCAAATCCAAGGATCTGAGATGATTTGGAGATGCCCAGCTCAGCAATGCGCTTCACCGTCTATCAACCTTCCAGGTCTGAACCTACCAGGTCGGGTGGACACGTCCACCTAGGTGCTGAAGGGCCCCTGTTGCTCGTGTTGTTGGCATTCGGCCCTGTTGATTTCAGGCCCACCGATTTCCACAGTAAGAGCCTTCCAAAACCCACAGAATTCCACAATGAAGATTCGATTGTGATCTGGTGAGTGGCTTGTTGGGGTTCATACTCTGATATACTATGATTATACCAATCATATTCCATCACAAATTGTCATCACCTCTTCCCCCAACCCCAGGGCCCCTGACGATGTCCCTGACGATGTCGGAGCTGGCGCCGGTGCTTTGGCCTCAATCGGTGCCGCTGCCCGCGACCCGGACGCCGTTGCCGCTCCCCGGTGCTGCTGCCGCGCCCGCCACGGATGTGCCGCGGCGGCCCAGCGCGCCGTTGGCCACGCAGGGTGCCGAGCTGCTACTGGAGCCGGCGATGAATCCAGACCCACCGGGGCCACCTCCGAAGCCGGGGCCAAAGGTGAGAACGTGGAAACGACCACGCAGCACGAGATTTGGCAAAAAAAACTGGTGGATACTGGTGGGATTTGGTCAGTTTGGATGTGTTTTCAGAAAGTCATGACCATTTTCATCACATGGGAGGACGAGCATCGATGAATTCTCCAATGATGATTTCGTCCACACGGTTCAAACTCATCAATTTGTTCGAGAAAACCGCTAGGTGTTGAGCTGCAGTATTGAGTATCCCAAGTGTTGGACATGCATGTCTTTGTTCTTGTCGTGGCTGTGGTGGTTGTGTTTGTGGTGAGGGACAGAACGACCAGGATCGTTGCAGCGTTTTCCAATCAACAAAAATACATGACAAGAGACCCTGAAATGGTAGACTCTTGGTGCCCCTACTTCCAGATGCCAAAAGTGATGTTGCTTTGAAACACTGCTGCAAACAGATATGTGGAAAAAAAATGGCTAATGAATCAACCAAGTGACCATGGCCTCCATCAATGGGAGTTTCTGTACTGATTTCCGTTCACCACTTCCGGGTTCGCAAGGATACCCCACGTCCGTTCCATGTTTATCGTCATCCGAAATTATCAAGTTCCTAGGATTGGCTCCATGGAACATCTCCAACGTTCCCTGTCTCAGAAAATGGTTGAACGTCATGTCCCTGGTTAGAACCAAAGAGTCATACCATAGGTCGACTTCAGATTGGGACTACCGCCATCATTCTCATTCAGTTTCCGGTAAAATTGTGGCTAACTGGCTAATTTCCCACAAATGTCCTCTCAAAAGGGATCGAAATTTGGGGGTAAGTTCGCACACGAAAAGGATCATCTCCGCACTTTTCGCATCCAAATTTGGCCAATAAATGCCCAAAAAAAGAACCGAGGACCCTGGGAGGTCCCTATTGGACGGCTCAAGCGCGCACCACCACACCACCAGCTTTGAAGAAGAGCCCGGGACCTGCGCGTTGCTTGGAACACGCGATAACTGGGGCGGTGTTGTTCTCGTGACTCGCTTTTAAAGAGATTTGGGGATATTCTGTGGCAAGCCCCAAAAGATAGAAAAGGATAGAAAAGGTTCAAAGATAGCAAGCCCCAAAAGATAGAAAAGGTCAAATCACCTGTGGTTTCATCCAATCAGAACCATGGCAGTAACCAACCACTGTTCTTGGCTTTCATGCCGATCATCCCAATCATCGGCATCACCAACTTCATAAACCCCGGGGTCCAATGCTGAGATTACGATCCTCAAGATCCCAACATCCGTGGCTGGATTCCTGGTCATGGCTTTGGCCCGCCAAAGCGGCCTTGATTTGGTCCATCAAAGCTATGGATCGATAAATCTTTGCGAGTCGCCATGTGTGTTTGGATCGATTTTAGTAGATAGGTCCGCCCCGCGCTACCTGGCAATTCACCTATAGACATAGGGTAATGGTTTGAAGACCACGTGAAGCTGACCTTGATGCTGGAGATTTGTGGGAGGTATTTTGGTGAGCCAACCTCAGGGACAAAAGCATCGACCAGCGACCGACAGAGTTCGCTCTACCTTTCTTTGGGTCCAAAAAAAGTGGCAATTAGCCCAAAATTGAAGTTTATCATCATGTTCCTCATCAACATTGCAACTTCAATGAATTTTGGGTTGCTGCTGCTGAAGCTCCCTGTTTTGCCATGGCCATGGTATATACCGGGTATTCCCCTTGTTGAACCTAGCTGCTGGTTGATTTGCCAATCAAGCCGCGAGGGCCAAACGGAGTAGAGCCGAAACAGGCTCAAGCTCAAAGAACAGTGGCGATGGGAAAAAGCCAAGAGATTGCAAGAACCCATCAGCCAGCCCCTTTGTAAATCCAAAATGGGCACGTCTCAAAACTGGGATCATTACCGGGGAATATCATATTTTATCGTCATTTGAAGATATAGGAAGATTATACAGAGTGATTATGATAAACTATGTTTTTTTTTGCAAAATGAGGGACAAAGGGTACCCCATGTGATTGCCACTCAGAGGGAACATTTAATGAACATTTTGACCCAAAATAGATAGAAAGTTGGGAATCTTGACAACTATGGGGGAAGCATCATCTATACCTGGAAATATGTATATATATATATATATGTTTGGGGTTACCATACCCATCTCATGGTTTTTGGATTCCAAATTTTGAGACACTTTGAGACAACCGAAATGTCAACAGCGCAAAGATCACTCAGCCAGCACCCTCCAGAGGTGGGTCTTGGTGGAGGTCGCTGCCAGATGAAAACAGCGAAGTTGTCGGAATGGGCCTGGACTCTGGCTTTGGGGCATGTAGAACCCACAAGATGCCATGATGGACCCATATTAATTGGCTTAACACTGGTCACTAGGATATACTATGAGAATCAATGAGATGTCCAGTGATATTCTTCTATTATAATATAGTTATATATATATATATATATAGTTATACATAGTTATATATTATTACTATTATCATTTTTGAAATCATTTTTGTTGTTATTATCATTATTGTTATTATGATCATTATTATTGTCATTTTATCATTATTATTATCATTATTAATTTATTTTATCATTATCATTATTATTACCATCAACATTATTATCATTATTGTCACCATTTTCATTATCATTATTACTATAATCATTACTACTATAATCATTTTACTATTATTATCATGATCATTTATATTATCATCATTATTTTTATCATTCTCATTTTTATCAGTATCATTTTGACTATTATTATTACCATTATTATTACCATTATTACTATCATTATTTTTGTTATTACCGTTTTTATTTTCATTATTACCATCATTATTATTATCATTATTTTTGATCATCATTATTACTATGATAATTTTTATTATTGCCATTTTTTATACTATTATCATTGTTATTATTATGTTTTAACATCATTATTTTTATCATTGTTATTTTATATTATGTTTATCATTATTATTTTTTGTTATTACCGTTAACATAATTTTCATTACCATTATTATTGTTATCAGTATTACCATTATTATTATCATCCGTTTTATTATTATCAGCATTATTATCATTATTTTTGATCATTATTATTACTATTATTTTTTATCATCATTATTTTTATCATGATTATTCTTATTATTATCATTATTTTTCACTATTATTATTATTATCATTGCTTTTTAATCATCATTATTATCATCATGATTATTATCATTTTTAATTTTATTAGTATTATTACATTTATTTACAACATCTATTAATTGGGTCACTAGGATATCATATGTCCAGAAGCCCTACCCAGTTCATCCTCCTGGCACGACCTGGCGATGGACTTTGCGTTTTAAAATTTTAGGAAAACTCCAACATGTCCCTGATTATTTTTTTAAATTAATGTTTATAAATCTTGGGAAATCTGGACTTTGCCATCCAACATGTTCCTCATTATTTGATGGCAATGTCAAGGCGTCCGAGTAACCATGGGTTTGTGTGACAAAAGTTTGGTTAATTAAACTCCAGGAAGTGTGGCTAGAGTCCAGCTGTTGGATTTGACAAGTTGAATTTTCTCCAAAAAAAGCAGCACATATGCGTGATGGTATATGGTGATGTTTGGCAGACACGTTCCCAAATTTTGGCCGTGCTTGACCACCGATACTTTGTAGCTGTGGAAAAACAGTTTCAAAACGGATAGAGAGAAAAATTGCTGGTAATTTTGCAAATCACAGTATATGTTTATAAATAATTCATATTGTAATAGTATTTATTTTTTGCTTCGCCTTGGCTTTTCCCAGGTTGCACAAGACCTTCATAACGGATAGGGGATGACCCTATACCGATACCCCATTTGTGATACCTCTGGAAACACTGAAATCCTCACAACCGATAGGGGACGACCCTAATTTGCGCATGGCATTGAATTTGAAATAATTTTGTCCGCTACATATAGTTATATATATATATTATATATATATGTGTGTGTGTTCATGTATTTAGATAGATAGATGTATATATATATATACATGTTCCTACAGGTTATCAGCCGTACTGGGTCAACAATCTACACCCTGTGCAGGGCACACTTTTACTTGAGCCACAGTACAGTCACACGAGTGGAATGGTGAAAAGTCTATATACAAGGAGTACTACGAAGCAACAACAATATCTATATATTTATATATTTATGTGATCCATGTGATTTATGGCAATTTATGGGTGTTGGATTGTTTCCTATGTTGGCTTGCTCACATATGTCCGAGCCTTGGAGCTTGGAGCTGTTGTCGTGGAAGGTCGGATTTGATCATCCTTTCGATGACCCAGACCGCCTTCGTCTTGGATCATGAAGAATATGTTTGGAACCCCAGGGATGTTGGACGTTGATTTTAGGCCGTGGCCAAGTAGCTGATTGAAACCACGGGGAGCAGATCCGGTCCTGACTCTGGATCGTCACACTCAGGACAGCTTTAATGACCCTGCTTTACTACGCACTCATATGTGAGAGATCATAATGGCTCATAATGCGGACACACACACACACATATATACATATATATAGATGCACATATACAGATATGTATATTTGTTCAATAAATACAAATCACAAAGCAAAATCTTGACCGACTTTGGACACGAAAATGGCACAAGAACTATTCCTGGTAGTCCTTTACCTAGGCTAATCACCCATGTGTCAGTGACTTTTCATGGCGCTCTCATTGCACTCCACAAGGGTGGCCCCCTGAACAAGAGGACCGAAGTGTTGATGTTATCAGCCACCACAAACATCTATAAACCATTGTAAACTCTAATAATCTGCGTAATCTGCGAGAGTGAACAAATTGTATCTGTCGAGATGTGCTACTAGTCTTGCCGTAGATGATCGTATATTTATATGTGTGTGTGTGATTACTGGTTGGTGGTTTCAATCATTTTTTATTTTTCCATACATTGGGAATAATCATCCCAACTGACTAATATTATTCAGTCGGGTTGAAACCACCAACTAGATCAGTTTGAGACTATGATTCCACATTTTTCAGCATTTTTCAGACACCCGCAACACTAAGTAGTTATTTACACCTTACTATAAATGGTTCAGAACAAACGGCAGGAGGCATAGTGATCATGTTAGTGTAGGCACACTGCTGGTCACATCAGCCGCGGCCACCAGGTGCGCTACGCGGCGCGACGTGCCATCCATCAATATATCTATGGCTCCGTGGGGGCACCAGGAATCACCAGCTTCATGGGGGAAAAGCATTGGTACTCTCTGGTAAACTGTCCCACAACTATGGAAAATCACAATTTTCAATGGGTAAATCCACTATAAATGGCCATGTTCAATAGCTATGTTAAATTACTAGAGGGTAGTTTCTTGGCATTTTTGTGGGGGGGTGGTTCCTTGCACCTCTTCCCTAAAAATCCAAGTCTGGAACTGCTGGTTCTTTAAGGGGCTGTGCAAGTGGAACATGTGGAACCAGTGGGCAGTGAGTAATACCAGAAATAGTTGACTCTCGTAGCCTATATACATTATACATCATGATGCTGCATGTGCAAAAGGCGTATTGGCAGGAGACCGCGGCGGTACATAGCTGGCTAGCAATTTGCAACATTTGTCTGGACAAGCTTGGTCTTCTATTCTTGTGGCTTGGCTAGTGCTGAAACAACAGCACTACCCTAAAATTTGTTGGAACGATGTGTCGACAAGTAAATGTTCATGATGTCCCTGGCATTTCATGTCTGTCGGTGTTGGTTTCGTCACGGTTCGTCACGGTCATTGCGGCGACGGATTACTCCGGGCGATCCGACACGTGAAACTGACCACCAGGGTGCCCCGGTGCCCAGAACAAGCTCCATTCAGAAGGGACTTCCCGGCGCGCCATAGTTGATCACATTACCCTCTGGTAAATAAACATAGACCCTGAAAATAAGCCATTTTTAGTGGACACAAATTTTCCAACCGGCCCGATGACTGGCAGGGTCTATGTTAACTTACTGGTGGGTAACCACCATTAACCACCATGAAGCATGTTTAGCCATGTTAGCCATGTATTCTTCATGTCAGCCATTCAAGATGTGTTTTTGTTTCCATGTTTTTCCCCATCTTCACAAATCGGGCAGGTGGCTGCCCCCTCCAAAGCCACCTCCTATCATCCCGAAAGCTTCGACATGGTGAGGAACCTGGGTCAAGCTGGTGGAGGCTGAAGCTGACATTCGAATGATATTGGGGATATAATGCCATATACTTGGGATAATGGTGTTAAATATGGTTTATATATGGTCAATAGACCCCAAGAATTGTTGATTTATAGGGTAATGTCAATGAAATTGGAATTTGAGGATATGGGGGTTTCCATAGTCATGGGGGTACCGGAAGCTCGCTGGATGGTTTATTTCATGGAAACGCAATCTATAAATGGATGATTTAGGAGTACCCCTATTTTAGGAAACCTTCAAATGGTTTATGATTCACCTGCATCAATATCTAAAATATCATTAAACTGGTAAATCAATGTACATGGCAGATACATGGTTATGATTGGTATCTATTGGCTTTTCAGTGGTTATTTCAATGGTTTTCTTGATTTTACATATGTTCGAATATTATGGGTACAAATTGCTATTAATTCACTAATGATGATAAGCTCATTTTAAAGCCATCCCATGAACCAACGATTTGGGGTTCTTTTATGGTCATTTTACATCGCCCAACTGTAAACCCCAATTGGGGATGATTTACCACATTACTGAGGCTGAATGATGGCTGATGATTACGGATTGAAAAGGTCTGTAGAAAAAAAACAGGTCAAACCTTTTAGCTGGCTGTTTGCCCTGACTACTGAGTAGAGTCTTTTGTGAAAGGGTAGGGTTGGAAAATGTGCATCATAGGCTAAACTCTCGGAGATGGCGAAAAAGAGAGAGAGAGAGAGAGAGGTAATTATGAGCCTTGATGATGTTTATCCCATGCAAGTAGATATCAGCCGGCAGAGTCTTGCGTTTAAAGATGGTTGAAGATCATGGGCTAAAATGTTGATCTCTAAGCAGATGAACATATGTTTCACGCTTAGTTCAGAAGCAATTCTTTTGTAGTGTCGCTCAAGATAGCCCTGAAGTTGAAAGAAATAGACAGAATGTTTGATTGGAGTCTTTGGATGGTAGCACCATTTGATATGTTTTCTATTTAACGCATATCATATTATATATATATATATCTATTTTAAAAAAAGGCTCTGCTAAGATGAGCAAAATTCCAAGTCCCAAGTGCAGCCGAAGGTCAGACCCAAGGCGGAAAAGCCATCGGAGGAGGAGGATCCGGTCTGGGCAGCTCAGGAGGTGGGTCAACTGACGTAGCAAACGTGGATTTTTTTTTGGTTGGCAGAGATAGATATACAGCAAACAAGGGTACATTGACCATATATATATATATAACCATACATATGTGTATATATATATATGGTTATATGGTGTTATATGATTATATTGATTTTTATATATACAATAATTATATATGCTCACCAGCTAAAGATTTACTCATATTGGTCATGAAGGGTGCACAAGAAGGACTAAGATTGGCAACCGTTCTTCGCATTTTTTCCTGGCCTTGGTTGAGTGGGACATTGGATGTGTTCTTTATTTTTGTGCTCTCAAACTATGGGGAAATTATACAGATCTTTTTTGTAGGTAGACTAGGTAGCATACTAACAGAACCATAGTACAGTATCCATTTTTGGGGGCAAGGGTATCCAGACATGGACTCCGAGCCTCGGCCACTTGGGCCACACTCACCATGGCCAAGGCGCAATTGGAGCGCGAGTTTGAACAGGAGTTCCTGGTGAATCGCAGGAGCCATCGGAGCGCCATCGGAATTGCGGTGCCTGAAAAGATCCAGTACAAAGCCTGGATATGCTTCAAAAATGGTGGTGCAATGGGGATCAAATAGGATACCAACCATTATACTATAAATTTGCGATAGCCGTTGGCAATCCGAAAGTTTGCTATGGAAAATTGGAATGATAAATCTACAAACGGGACATGTTCATAGATTTTCCAGTTCGCTATGTTAAGCTACCAGAGGGTAATCCACCAGAACTGGGAATTAGTTGGCTCCATGTGGTTGGGCATTTGATCATCCACAATGTCAACCCCGGATGAATGTTAACTCCTGGCTGTTGATCATTGACAGTCCCATTTCCAGTAGCACACTGCAGCAGATGAACTCACTGTTTGACCCGATTAGTCAATCAGGGTTGCGATTAGTCAGGAGTTGAGGTTTAAATGGGTAAGGGAGGACTCTGCATTTTCCATGAAAAGGATGCACTTTTCACATCTCATCTTATTTCTGATTCAATAGTTTATCACATATCTGATTTTGCCTTGGTTAACCGGTTAACAATTGTGCTGGTCATAGTCATGTCAAAATTCTTGTTGTGATTACTGCATATACATTTGAAACTCTCCAGTGTTCATTCCTAGGTTGTGGCGTTCTAATACCCCCAGTTGTTAGCCGTTTCGATGCACCCTGGATCCCGAGGATTGTGCCATGGATAACCATGATTGGTAAGTGCCTTACCAATGGGATTTCCATTCAACTAGGTTAACCAACTGGATGGCTACAAACTATATAATCCTTTCGTCTTTTGGTATCAATGGGATTACCTACGTTCACCAGCTAAGAATTCAATTTTTGGGTATCTAAGATTGGCAATGTCAATATCCATCCCGTGAAATTTGCATCAACTCCCATCAGCAACAGCCCTGAAATGGGAAGTTCAAGCCCCGTGTTTAAGCGTCACAAGCTGTTTGAGCAGTCTACACTCCGCATGTTTGCTTGGTGAAATCTATAAAACGGCTGCCAAATCCATCAATCCCTTGGAAGTATCCTTAGGAATCCTCGAGATCCTCAAAGCACCCATGAAAAATAAAAATAGAATCTAAAAAAAAACAGAAATCAACATCAACATCCAATATCCTAGGGTCATATTATAAACATGCCTTAAAAACCAACGTGGCAAAATTCGCCCTTCCCCGGGGAGAGTTTCGTCGGTGGCCCCCGGTGGCCAGGACCCGCATCCGCGGCGCCAAGGAACGGGCCATCGCGCCAGGACCACGCTTGGATCGACATCCGGACGAGGAGGAGGTGGGGATCATCCAGGAGAAATTATAGATGGGTTATAGATTACGATTGTATATAATAGTCTTGATTATTGTGATTATATGGGTTATAGTTATAGACTATAGATTATTAAGATATATTATTATTATTGTTATTATTGATATATATATATGATTTTGATAAACAAAATTATGATTGTGATTATTGATGTCATTATGATCCCCACCTGGATAGTGAAATATTATCAGAAGCGATTATTCATTAGTGATATATCTGATTATGATTATTGATTATTGACTGTGACTATTGATATATCCCTGTTTTTTGTTGATAGATTAATTAGATGATTATAATGATTATGATGATATCCAGGGTTAAACCCAGGGATTTATATGATGTAGAATTCATATGTTAAATCAATATATCAAGCATCATGTAAAATAGTATGAATCATCATATCAAATCATATTCTACCAACATATCATAGGTTATTTATATACTAGTAACAATCAAAGATATGGTTATAATAATACATCAATATGAGAATAGATCAATAGATATTAGTAGATTAATGGATTGGATCTAGATATATATATATATTGATATATTAATATAGCCTATAATCTATGTCTAATTGTGATCTACTCTAATCTAATATATTCTAATATATTCGTCCAATATGTGGATATATGGTAAAAGACCTGCCAGTGTTATACATCCAGTTTTTCCTCTAGCAGATGCAGAGTGGGAGGATGCCACCAGTAAATGATGTGTTCTTCGGCGTTTTTGCCAGAAAATGATGTCAGGTCATGACATTCGGACTGCGTTCAATGATGTGCTTATGGCTACAAATCATGGCTTATCTACTGCAAATGATGTGTTTTTCGTTCTTTTCCCGACCCTGGTCGACCTCTCGAAAATCTATCTGGTTAGGAGGGAGCGGTGCGGAGCCATGGGCATCCACATTCCGAAGATATCCTTTGCTAAATGATATTGAATTGGTAGCCAGTTGGAGCTACCCAGAGTTTCCCAAGCACATGATGATTCTGTTTATTTTAGGATTAGGGATTACTATTACTGTAATTTCCGCGGGTTTGACTAAGCAACAAGTTGATAAATGGGGAGATATGAGAAGGCGATCATTCCTTCCCACGACTATGGTAAACGATCTTCGGAATGCATTGGGTCTGTTCATTTTGGGGTTCCCTCTTGGCGTCGTCATCATCCCGGGGATGGGAATAGCTGCAATCGCAACGACCGATGGTCAGTCGAATTGGGAATGATCTGATTGCAGAGTCCCATCTGGAGGCGAACCATCATCCACCATTGATGATGGATGATCATCTAGTTCATAACCCATAGTCCATATTAACCATTAATAAGCCATAGTTCATAATAACCATCATGATCAACCACTATTGTGGATGATCATTAACTACTACTAACCAATAAATAACCCATAGTCCATCATGGTCCCATGAATTTCACCCGACAGGTGTTGGCCTATCAAACCGAGATGGCCAATCGAAAGCCGAGCTCACCCAGCCAGAATGGTGCACAGGACTCAGCAACTGGAAGGAAAAACATGTGTATATTCTGATTGTATAGTATGAACAGATAGATGGGTGGATATAGATATAGATAGAGATATAAATATAAATAGAGAGATTATATTGTGTATATATATATATATATGTCATGTGGATCGAAGTGGATGATGGGTGAATAATGAAATCCCAATGGGTGTGCTCGTGCACTTGTTTTTTTGCTTAGAAATGGCCATGCTTGGGTGTATGCAAAGCAGAAATATGAGGAATTCAGATGAGAGAGATGCTGTTTGACACTCAAACCTTGACTTTCCCAATTTTTCCTCCAAAAAAAGTACGTGCCCCCTGCATTTTTGCAGCCTCCCCACTTGGTTCAACCGCCCGGAGGATGCGGGCGCGGGACAGGCCCCGCCTGCGCCGGTGAAGAAGCGAAAGAGTTCTGGAACACCCAAAGAGAAGGCGGCGGCTGCAGGATGTTCATGGTCCAAGTCACTAGACGTTGGGTGAGTTGCCTGTGGAAGATGAGTCCATTATGGCTGGACTATGCCAGGTTGGTCCATAGATGTTTTGGTCCATCAATTCCATGGTGCACGTCTTTTTTTTGAGAATCTCTCTTTTGGGGTATCCTTCCGAAACCCCAAAATGCAGTGAAACCAATGGGAACCTTTTGAAAATGTCGAGATGAATGAATTAACAAAATTTCCCACAAGTTTTAGCTCTGGCGAGCTCTACAGCTGGGTTTGCGGGCAATGGAGCTTGTTGGTCGGCTCCAGCTTTGGTGAACCTAATGAAGACGATTTCAGGATTCGAAAAGAAAAAACACGTCACGGTGGTTTCACTTTGGCGGTTTCAAATCTGTTTCATGTTTAATCCTAGGATAAATCATACTCAACCATACTCAACCGTCCTTTGGTTCCAGGCTCCAGCTGCCAAGGGCGACTCCGGCGGTGATTCCCCCGGACCCGACGGCATTCTCTACAAACGCGTGGCTTTAGGCCGGAATTTCGATGGGTTTCAAGTGGCTTCAACCGGCTAAAGTCCAAGGTGTAAAGATGTTTGATGATGTGTATGGAGTTTTGCTGGCCAAAACTGTCGATTTGTTTTTTACCAAAAATTGGTTGTTTTCAAGGTTAAGTCCAAAAACTGGACTAGATACCGACAAAAATGAGGATGAACAGGGGTTTCAGCTGTGAACGTTGTGATATTACACCAGCGTTTGTTTATATGGGGATTTGATGGAATTTGAGCATATTTTTACGAGCAGGAATTGGGACTTGTGGGCATCGCCAACAGACATGGAGATGACGGCGCCTCCTGCAGGTGAGCAAGAGAAAAAGAAGGCCAGGGGATCAGCAGCGCGGATTTGCTAAAGAGGGAAGCGTTAACCTGGAGAAACCCAAAGAAATGGAAAGTAACAATTCATGGATTTTCATAGTTTCAATTATTACTGGGAACCATATGGAAACTATGAGCCATATGGAAAATAACTGATAATGGAACCATATGGAAACTATGAAAATCCTACTGGGCACTTTTACCTCGTGTGGCTCCTGAAATGGCATTTTGAATGTGCCAATATCATCCAATATCCAGATCAATGAAACTATTCAATTAGTTGGTGCATCATTATATTCTGAGGAGGCACTTTGGGGTAGACTCCTGATTTCCCTTGTGATTCGAAAGATGCTGGTCGAGTTGTTTGTCGAATCCCAAGTTTCTTGGAAAACATCACGAATCATCCTCGTTCAACAGGGCAAGACCCTTGCTTCTGCGGATAAATCACACGCAGTCCCCAATTTTGCATGTTCAACCAATTCAATCCATCATTTCTTGGGTTTATAGATCCATTATGATCCATCTTCAAACATGTTGGAAGCATGTTGAAGAATAAGTGAACTAGTGAGTAGAAATCATAGAAATATATAGAAATGGTCACCCTCTGGTAATTTAACATAGCTATTGAAAATTGCCATTTATAGTGAATTTTCCCATTAAACCTGGTGATTTTCCATAGTTATGTTAGTCTACCAGCATGTCATCTTTAAAGCCAGCCCTTGGTCTGTTCCCCCATCCCATCCCATCCCCCAGGGCCCCAGGGCCCCACGGCCCGAGGCGCGCGTGGTCACGGTGAGTGGCGACGTGGCGGAAGTGGTCACGGAGGGCGATTGGAGGCGCGGTGGATACGCCTCCGAGGATTCCATGGGGCTGACATGGCTTAAATAAATTTGGTTATCTAAAGATGATGTGCCATGAAATATATACTGTATACTGTATACTGTATGTAATATCTAATTTCACATATGTATTTGTTGATATATGATATATATATTAATATTAATATATTATATATACAGGGTATTGGACCCTACAGCCTCATGTCGTGGGAAGTCGTCCGATATCCTTTGTGCCGTGGGGAAGTTGATGCCAGACACATGTTGTCCATCATCCTTTGTTGAAGGCTTGAGGTCTATGACCCAAGTCCCATTGGCATGATGGTCTCGTAGTTGTTATTTCAAGCGCATATATTCACACCATTTCATGGCTACAATACTCTAAGCCAGGCTTTTCTTTTAGCCTCTGAGAAGCAACCAACTAGCCGCAGGGACCATCATGGATGACGCGGGGAAAACATCCGAAGATTGTTCCATGCATTCGTAGTTGGCAAACTTCTGATATATTGTGATCGGTGGGATCCTCTTGGAATTGGCCACAAAACGTTTATAGTAAATTTACTAAATAATGCTCTAGCTCTATGCTCAACTCTTAGGACAACAAATTGGTGGATATGGTGCATCATGGTCCCCGAAACACCCAAATCTAGGCAACATGCCGGGCTGGGGAATCCAAACAAAAACAAATCGATAGAAGTGTCTTTTCCGCAGTAAAATGCTCATTGCTTGTGGGTCCAATCCCCAGCTTTGTTGGGAAAAAACCTCTCTGGGCGGCAAAAAATATGACCAGGTCCATGAATGTGGACATCGACACGATCCAGGACGCTTGGGAAATCTCAGGGTTTCATGGTGGATTTTCCGGCACAAAGGATCGGAAACATGTTGGTGGGTCTCCAATTCCTAGGTTTATCCCATCTGCAATTCTTGAGTTACTACCATAGCCTTGATGTCTTTGATCAGTTGCAAACCGGAATCATCCAAGTGGGGGCTCCCGGGCTACCATCATGAACCCTTCGCCAGCTCTTAAGTGACTGACTCCTATTCTTGGGATGGCAAAAGAAAAAAACAATTGAGGAAAATGGGTGTCATATTCATGACACTGGGACATGATGAACAATGTAACAAGGCCTTCAAGTCCCTGAATTGATTGAAGATGGACAATCTATAGTTTTTCCGTCTATTTGTGGTAATAAAACCCAAAAAAGAACCATGGCTTGGCGCCCAGATTTTCCAATCAATCCATTGATAAGGCAGGCAAATGACGCATGAACATGGGATTAAGGGCGCATCTCATAGCTGCCTCAGAGTGGAAGGTGGTGAGCTGGATGAGACGTGGATCCTAAGCACCGGAGCCAACTTCGATGGATCCATCTCTACACCATCAGGGGTTCAATTTCCTCTGCCTCAAAAAAATCCACCAATTCCAAGCCTTATCCAAAACCATTCCAACTTCAGACTCCAGCTTGTGAATTCTTGAAGCATTTTGCACAGAAAATTGGAACAATTCAGATCATTCCAGATCTGTGCCGTTGTCAGTTGCCTCCCGTAATGGCCAGGAGATCGAGGAGACCCAATTTGGGATCCCTTTGCCTCGCTCGGGGCCCGGGTATCCAAAGGTATCCAAGTGACTAGCAGTAACTAGCAGGAATGAAGATTTCATAGCGGGAGATTCTAGTTATTCCCTACAAACGTGAGGAGAAACAGCTCCGGAGCGAATGTAATTTTGGGGCACATTCATTGGCAATCGAAAACAAATATATATATATATATATATTAATGCATTGGCAAAATCATTGGCGTTGTTTTTTTCGCATCTTTTCTGCTATGGTCAGAACACATGCGCTGCGAAGAGGTCAGGATCTACAGAGACGGGCACGGTGCCACTGACCGAAGCCAGGTAAGATGGATCAATCGGAGCCAACGGATTTCAGCTTCATGATGGACCACATGACTCCCAAGGACACTGGATGTTGGTTCACCTGGCCATGATGGCTTCATATGGCTTCATACTATTTCAATCAATCACTCGAGTCGAGTATAAACGAAGACATACAGAAATATTGGGCAAGAAACAAACCCCGGGAAAGAGCATGAGATATTGACAAATGCTGGATGTTTTCTTGTGGTATTGTGTTCTTTCTTGAGTTGCGCTCAGCGTCCATCATGACTCGGATTCCAATGGACAAACTAGTGTCCTTCTTGGGAACAATACAAGTACATATATCATTCACTTGGGGAGTCAGAGGCACCAAAAAAAATCATGTTAGAATGAAACCAACTCATTAGTTGAGACGGTCGGTCCGTTGGCCGCAAGGAATCCCCCAAAAGAAAAACGTGAGGCGCACCCGTTGTCCCGGTAATCCCGAACTTGCAGCATGCGGGGACTTTGGGTCGGTGAAAATGGCCAACATCCGGGGGACCAAAAACCCAATTGGGGGGATCCTGGATCCTGTACAGATGCAGTGAACAGTAAAGTCGCGTTGCTCCGAGGCCCATCCGAGGTCCATGGTATCCCATGGTATCCCAGCCAGCTTGTGTTCTTGCTGTGGTGCCACAGGTGAGCCATATGTTTCAAGCATATTTCATCCACATCGTGTGCTTTGGTTTCACCATTTTCGCACATCCTGGTGTTGCATTCCATGTATTTATATCATCTTAATATGGGGTTTTCCATGGTTTTCCAATGGTTTTCCCCCCGGATCTCAGCCCGGCTCCAGCCGTGACGAACCGCCCCCGGCCGCGGTCGCGGTGCCATGTCGGCCTTCAGCGATGACGTGACCGCGGTGGAGGTGCCGGTGGAGCTGCCAACGCGACCGGCGAGTTCCAGTGCCTGCTCGAGACTTGGGGAGCACATATGCTTTATAATAGTTTATAATTAATGGCCCTATATATATATAGATGTGTGTGTGTATGTGTTTGTATATATATATGTGATATATTTATGTTTGATGTCATGGGGATTTTGATATGAATCCATAAGATATTTATATCATATATATTAGGCTGGGTTTAGGCTGATTTTATAAGGTAATATTGATGGTTATATTTAATGTTGCACATACATGCATGCATCCATCCATGCATATGTAGATTAGATCGATGTGTGTGTTTGTTTTATATAGAGAGAGAGATAGATACATACATGTAGATGTAGATATAGAGGTGCATATGGGTTTCTAGTGGATTTGCAATAGACTGATGGGATGGGGATGGGGAACTGGTAGGTGAAAGAATGTTACGGAATGGAAGAGTTGAAAAACAAAAAACAAGGGATGGAATCATATTGAACCAGGATTTAACATTATTTTTACCATGAATGTCCCTCTTTAGGGGTGATGTATGTGGTATTTCAGCCAGGGAGAATGGGGATTTGAGATGATATTTAACCCACAATGGGGAGAGTCAGCTGGAGAGATATTCTCACCAGCTGACAATTCAGATGGGATGAACCCCCGCAGCCAGGTGGCCCAGTACCATCAACTACCATAGGATGTGAGGGGTTCCTAAATTAGAGGTACCCCTAAATCATCCCTTTCTTTTTGGGGTTTTCCAATATAAACCAACCAGCTATTTTTCGGTACCCCCGCTAACCTCCATGTGTTTTCCTGAGTTCGGCTCCCAGCTGTTTGTTAGGGTTTTCCTGGCTTGGATTCGAAGCATTTCGAAGCCACCTGTGCATGGTAGGCCCATCCTTTCAGGGCCCCCAGGGATGACTATAGATCACATTGGAGAGCAGCAAATGGGGATTCGAACCAGCCAAGGGCCATATATGATGGATGACTATATGTTTTTGGGATTTTGAAAGTGTTGGGGTATGTGATATGTTTTTGGTTCAGCTTCGAAATATGAGAATTTGAACCAGCCAAGTGGGGATAGCACCCTTGTGGGGATGACACCCCAACCACTTACCAACGAACGGTAAGTATTGTGAGCTACGTTAACCAAGGGCGAAAAAGAGTGTAGGCTGGCGGCTTTGGGTCAACTTGGCGCAACCCCAAAAATGGATGGACCATGGATGACCTCATCCTAGAAATGGACCATGAAATCTGCAGCTGGTCAATGGGAATTTCAGGATCCTAAAATGAAGGTACTGTACCATATAAGACCATATTTTGTTGGGATATTCCCTTACATAGGCCTTATGTAGGCCTTATATATGGTAGGTACCTCCAATTTAGGATCCCGAAATTCCCATTGGGTTGGTTGGTGGTTTGGAACATGAATTTTATAATTTTCCATATGGTGGGACTAGTAATCCCAACTGACGAATTCATATTTTTCAGAGGAGTTGAAACCACCAACCAGGTAGTTACTTCCGTGGGTCCTAATTTTGGCCCACAGGCTGCTCTTCTTTTTATTGTTCAGTTTTATTTTCAAAGCGTTCAAAGCACAAACAGGCGCATGCCTTACCTTTGAGACCAGTGATGGGAATGAGACCAACTCAATGGAATGGCCGGGCTACTAAAGTGTAATGGAAAATCAGCCATTGGACAGCAACGAACCCTTCCAGAATGGATGTTAAGGATATTTAGTTGGAGCCTCCTCCATTTCTTAGGCTAAAAAGACGTGGTTTTCTGCAATATGTCCTCAAGAACCGAGTGAAACCTAGGATTTTCAGCGCCCAAGCTGACAGCATCGCAGCCAATGCGCGGTTCGTCGAAGAGTACCTCTCCAGTTTGGAGCTGTTTGAGTCACAGGACCCGCTATGTAAGAAGCTTTGCATGCAAGGGCAATTCTACAGACTTTGCGACCTTTTTCGTTGGTTGCCATCCAGCAAACAATATTTGATAAACCAAACAGCCAATAATCCATTGTCGTAAACTTTAAATGAGCTTCAGAAACAATCCCCTGGCTGGATGTGTACCATTGGGTTTATCACATAGCAGGACAAAGAAAAACTTTCAAATTTAATCCAAAAAAGCAACTATCACTGGAGATAAAGTGGAGATAAGTTGGTTTTCCATTCCAATGTTCGCTGGAGGAAAGTGCACCTGATAGCTTGTTACATGGGCGTGTGCGGACATGGGCAGCCGACCCAGACTCAGCTGCCGTTTGAAAAGTCGACCATCACCAGACCCAGCGCTGTTTTGGTGTACTGCAACCGAAAGATATGGAGACACCTGACATGGGGAGAACATCGTGACAAGTCATGACAAGTCTAGATATTATACATTACCAAACACCATTAAACACAATAGCCCCAAACAGAGTTTCTTCATGTTTCTTCAGGGTTTTGGTGATTACGACACTGTTTTTCTACACAGATCCATACACTGCAGGACCCCCCACAGCGAGCGGTTCCCGCTACGGCTCCTGAAACGGCTGAAGCGCTGCCGGTGATGGACGTGCCAGTCGTAGCGGTGGTCAGCACGTCAAGCCAAACAGATCAGAAGCTTTGTCCAATGGATCCAAGAATAGGGTAAAACAGATGGTAAAACCACAACGTTATTATCGTATTGAGTCATATATATATATATATACATAGGCAAAATCAGCAAAAATCTATTGAATAATATGATAGTATATTATAATTATACCATATTATACCTTCCAATATATTCCAGTCAAGTTACAGCAACGGATCGATGTTCGGCCATCAAAACATGCCAACCACTTGCCATCCAGGAAGGACCAGCAGCACGGTGAGGCCCAAACCGTAAGCCCGGCTTTGGAGGCGAGGCTGTGACGTTTGAAGGGCCAGGATTGACACTCCTGGTTTCTTAAAATGGGGGTATCCCCAAGTCACCATAGGTTTCAATACTAAAACTGCAAAAACGGGCTAGTTTTGGATGATTTGGAGGTATATACCTCCATTTTAGGAAACCTCCGTATGTATAATATGGAGCTGATTCGGTTATGCAAATACCAGTCAGATAGGTGATGGATGGCTGGATGGATGGACAGACAGACCGACGGACAGACAGGCAGGCAGGCAGACAGATAGATGCGGGTATATAGATTTTTAGATTTTTGTTAGATAGATAGGTTTATAGGTAGGTTGTTTGATTGGTTTATTGAGTGGTTTATTATTGTTTTATTGATACTTGTAGGTTTAAAGATAGGTTTATAGATGGGTTTGTTGATAAGTTCATTGATAGGTTCCAAGAGAGGGTTCAAGATAATTAGGTTTAACGATAGGTATATAGTAATGATAAACTTTTGTTTGGTACATTTTGATTCATTCATATGTCCATTGTAATTTCTTGTCAGATCTTTTCGTTTTATTTGATCGAGGGAGGGAGCGTGCGTATTTAATGAATGTATTTAGATTGTTTGTCATCATTACTCATTATTAGCTATCAGTTGCTTTTATTCATAACGGTTATGAGTTATGATTGTTTTTGTGTGTTTCAATATGTTGCGATATTAGGTAGCCCTTTTTCAGATCCGACATCTATGGGGGTGTGAGTGTGAACCATCAAAAAAAGGATAGGATATGCAAAAAAAAGAGTAAGATATTTAATAGGTGAACCATTGTTGCCGATTGGTTGGTGAACAGGTGGTCAGATAGAAAGAGAAAGGGTATGTTTGAAACACAGGCAGAGTTCAGCTCCGCCGCGCGTAGCACTTTTTGGTTTTGGAGAAAATGAACCCAACCAATTTTCGTAGTCAGAGTTGTGGCACTCATCAATTCTTGAACTGGTACCAGTTGGGGTGCGTTGGGGGTACTGGTGGCGCCAAGTGTCCATCCTGTCCTGATGCCAGCCAGAAAGCCGAGACATTGGGGATCGACTATCTCAAATAGTCCAAAAGGATATAGTAGGATCCAATAGGCTTCTAGGCACGGTTTCTGTCATTGAAACTGATCCAAGTCCAACGCTCCCATCGCGTTGCAGGAGCCTTCAGAGCATCTGGAGCCCAGGTACCCAGTCGGGGAAACCCACTGGATGGCTAGTTGAGGAATGTGGAGTATTGGTAGTTCATTACCGCGCGAACATAACCGAACACATGCAGATCATTTTTCCTGCGCATCGACATTTCTTCAACGGTTTAACCGTTTAACGCACGTTTTGTCGCAGTGCCATTTTCGAGGATTCAAAGATGGTAAGCCGAGCCTCGTTACAATCCACCCTCTTTTTATGGCCTTTCTACATGTTTCAGGCGGATGATCGCAATGATATGACCAACAGTGGGATTATGTTCCTGGGATGGTTGGCCAAGATTGAAACATGTTGAAACCCTCAGCGAGGTAGATAAACATCCAAAATCATCCAAAGAAATCCAAACAATTCATCTCTTCCGGCAAGATTTGAACAGTTTGGCGTTAGGGTGGGCAAAAAAAACACACGCCGTACATGTGCTTGAAATAGATTCCTGTAGATTCTGTAGATAGATGAGATAATGGACCGGAGATAGTGCCCGTGCCGCAACGGCTCCGGGGTGCAGGAAGGAGCTGGAGCAGCGCGATGAGGAGGCCCAAACGGAGAGCCCAATGGCGCAGGCCCAGGGCATAGCAGTTTCCTAAGATGGGGGGTACCGTGGGGTACCCCAAACTTTGGGATCCCCATGGTGACTTGAGGATCCCCGGGTGGATATGCATCCGAGCTTTAAGGTGTATAGGTGATTCACAACTGCGATTAAATGCGTGTAAATTCGTATTACAGCGGGATTTAGTGTTTTTTTTTTCTGGGGGGAAGGTCTGCGTGAAATGTGTTGGAAGAGTCTTCTTTCAAAGGATGGCAGAGCCTGCTGATCCAGCTGGAAGCATGTGCCGTCATGTTTGATCAATGAAATGCTGGCAGGACAGCAAAGAGACGCAGACTGTTCAGGACTGACCGTCGCCTTGACATCACAGAAGAATACAGAAGGTTCATGTGCCATACCCAAATACCTTTACGAATCTTTAAGAATTGATCTATTTACTCAGTTCATGTCACCGTATGTACCGCGCCGGTGATCAATGATGCCTTCTTATGACATTTTCCTGGGCTGGTTGGGTGCATGTTTTGCTGAAGGGTTACGAAAAACGTTCCTTCCTGGAACTTCCTGGTAGTGTTTTCACAGGTCCCTGGTAGCCTACCAGCACCTGGAAGTTTTCGAAGCCACAGCAGTCTAACCTAAGCAGAATTGCGACGTCAGATGCAGCGCCAGAACTGATGGATTGTGCCATATTGTGCCTGCTCATGCCGGAAACCATTTGAAAACATTGCTACTGGGCCATCTCTCTAAGGAACAAGAACCGGGTTATATATTCGTGTGTTTGGTTATGGTTCTAGCAAGTTCTGCTCATATTCAACCAACATTCCATCCAAACTACATGAAGATAACCCGATGTCAGCAGCACAAGGTTTTCGCCACAGTCATGACAGTTGGACAGAAGAGAAAGGCAGGTATCCTCGATGGAGGGACCATTTAAGATGGGCACCAGCCGTGGCTTCATTTTAACCCTGTGTGGGATGATGATCCCCCAGTGCTTGCAGGTCAAAAAACACCTATGTCGGCTTTCAACTCCACCCGAGCAGGGTCGTTGACCCAAAAGGTATGTGGTCACGACGGTGCCATGGGTAGCAGTCACCACACTCTTCTCCCAGCCTGCCGGCACCAGCCAGGAGCAATTGGAACATCCAGACACGCAGCCAGAGCTGCCCGGCCCAAATCTGGTCAACATGTACCAGTCATAACGGGATATATCAGGCTGGCGGGTTAAAGTAAACAGGCTGGCTGGTTAAAGTACCATGCGGGCTGGTAAAACCTCCAGTTTTGATTGAATAAAGCACCATTTGGATCCATTTGGGTGGTTGCTCAAATTTGCTGCAAATTTGACTCAGTAAAGTAGGTTGTTAAAACATGTTAAAACCACGATTGTAGTGTTGTTTTTTCTTCATTTTGCTAGCTACGTCTATGTTTGGGCTGTGTAAATCATAATTGCGGCATACCAAGGAACCAGTCACAGCCAGTGGATGCACCACCAGCCGTGGAGCTTCAAGAAGCACAGACCCAGACGGAGAACCAGACAGCACAGGCCATGGCGTTTGAAATCCACCTGCCGTGAAGGGATGTTTCAGAAATCATGGCCCAAAAGTTTTTCTGATAGCCAGGTTTTTCCTTATTGAGGTAATAAAATCATGCGCGGTCGTGCTGCCAAAGGCCGAAATTTTGCATCAGAGTTCAGTTTGTTCGTGTTTGATTCTGTTTGATCGTGCTTTCTAGCCGAAGATGGGGCAGCGTGACCTGATGAATAAGGGAGAGAGAGAGAGAGAGGTACCGCCAAGTTGAAACAAACCGGTCTATGCGCCGGAGTATTGTTTGATTATTATTATACAATATAAATTTTATATATTTATTTATGCATTTATTTATTTATATTTTATTTATTTATAATATGTATGTATATATATATATATATGTGTGTGTGCGCGCGTGTTTTTCAATTCAAGGCGCTGTAAACGCGGATGTCCTTTGAAAACAGATTGTTTGACCATTTGGCTGGGGATAGAAAACATATCCGACAAAAATGTGATTTTACCATCTCACATGGGCTCAATACTCTGTGGTATTGTGATACGGCTGGAAAGTTCTTGCTCCCAATTGGAAAATCAGCTATTTTTCGGAGCACATGAGGACCCTGGGGGATTTGCCGGTTGATGTATGGTTTGTACAATTTAGGATATATAATATTATATATATATCATTATATATCATCGCCTAGGAATATTGCAATGGATTCTATAGGCAAACATCCATGTAGTATCGGAAACCCCAGCGGACGGCTGGTGGCGTGGCAATCAAAAACCCACCCGTGTTACAGATGACGGTCCGTTCGCCGGGAAAAATATGGAGATTTCCCAGTGTTAGGTGAGACTGCCAGATGGTTGGGATAAATCCTGATCTATCCTGATTGAAAAATAGTAATATGATGTAATATGCTTCCTTTTCCCCAGCATCTAGCAGAAGTTGCAGACATGAAGGAACTAAAACCACCTGGACACCTTTGCAACGCAAAATTGAAAGCATAAAGACAAGAATGTCCACCTCAGGGGTCTGAAAACCATTGTTCAAAATCAACCTTTTGGGGGTCCAGCACGGTCCATCCCTGTCAGCCTGCAGGACAGCAAAGAGACGCAGACTACTTCAGAGGACACATGGGGCAGCTCAGAGTGGGATGTTGGCAGTATGAAATGTATAGTTTCTGGTTGTAGCAAGCATGAGTGTGCGCGTGAGAGAGAGAGAGAGGAAACTGTGGTGAAATGTGGTGAAAATTGATGCGCGGTGGTCCCCGATTACCTCAGGATTTGGAGGGATGCTGGGAGTACAAGGCCAACCGGCCAACCCAATGTGGAAAACCCTGCCATAAACCTGCCATGGGGATGGTGCAGATGGCAGTTTTGACCCATCCCCATTTGAAAAATTGAAATTGCACATGTTGGTCGTGAAAAAGAAGGACCGCGCCGACTTGGAACATCCCACCGATATCGCGACTGCCATGGAAGAAACTTTAAAGGCATGCGGGGGTCAACTGCAGTGACCATGCAGCCTTTAACAAGAACTATGTTTGATTATGTTTGATTATGTAAATTCATTGCTCTTGGCAAAACGACGGGGCATGGCTTGGCTGTGGGTATGCGCAAAGCACACGCTCTCCGGCAGTGCTGATGGGTGGGTCGAATAGGTGTAACAGGTAGACCTACAAAGAAAGCAATGAGAATTCCTGGGCATGGTTAGCGTAAAGTAGTGTAAACTCATTGAAATTGGATGGTTACTACTGGTTATTCAATAAAGCAATTCTTTGAAGGATGGCTCAAGCATTTTTTGTGCTGGTGAAATCAACCAAAGCCACCAGCACCGACGCATCAACGCCATGCCTCAGGTGGATGATGATGCACCAGCACTTGCGACCTCAGGCGGGCAACAAAGATTTGTGGATTTCAATGGATTTCAGGTGAGTTGAGCAGCCTAAAAACATGTAGGGAACTGGAAAATCCCCATTTTGTCAGAGGTAAATCATCGAACTTTTAATGGGACATGTTCCATGGCCCGGCGATGTTAAAGAACCAGCCGGGTACATACAAAAAACTATGGAAAATCACCATGTTTATCCATGTTTAATGGGAAAATCCACTAGAAATGGCCATGTTCAATAGCTTTTTGTATGTTTACCAGGCCGGGTTTTTGTGTTTGATTCGTTGGTTCCACCAGTTTCCCACGTTGCCATAATACCCATCCCCAGTGATGATCCCAATACCCACCAGTGAATGTTTTGTGTCATCTAAAACAAGATAGATGACCAGGACATACGCTATGGCAAATAAGTATTATCTTATTATATCTTATTATATTTGATTTACTATTTATCTTACTAAGTCTTACTATCTAAAATTGAAATTCAAATAAGATGAATAACCAGGACCTTATTCTATTGGCATAACCGTAAAGAAGACACCGATTTGTCTTTATAATGTAAACTAACATAATAGATCATAATAGATCATAATAGCCATTTCAATGTTCTTTGACCAGTGACGCAGGCAGCCATTGATTTCTGGGTCCATTTCCCTCCAGGCACCTCAACGGCGGAGGCGGCTTCGCAGGAGCTTTTCGGCTTTTCCCATCCTCGACGGAAATCGTTTCCGGTGAAGATTTTCCTTCAACCAATCCAGTGACATGCAAAGCATTGGCGAAGTGTAGGGCAAAACCTCTGGAAGCCCTGGCAAAAAAAAAAAACCGGTGACATACCTCAGACCAATTTTTTTTGACATGAAATAGACCACGTACAGTATTTTAGCATCATGCAACCTTTGTAGTTTTTGCCCAGAGAGAACGTGCTGGGCTGGTTGTTTGGGCAAGCCCTTTGAGAAGATTGAGAAGCCCCGGCAAAAAAAAAAAACAGTGATAACACGATATAATACGAACTTTGAGGAGGTTGATACAATCGATATAGGTTTTTGATGTTTTTTGGGGTGGCAATATTAATATTATACATGTTTTTTTAACATACGCATGTATATGATATGTGTTTATTAATATATATATGTGTGTGTGTGCCTTTAATATCAGGCTCAATCTATGCTCTTAGGTTCTGTTTGGGTCTGTTCGGGGCTCCAAAGCAGGTGGTAAAACCATGGAAAAGACAAGGGCAACTGTTTGTCAACCATCAACATGATGTTGAAGCATACTCCTGTGCATAGAGTTTACATATGTTGGGGAGCTCCACTTGAGGCATTTCACATCATTTCACATATCTTCTGGTAATCAAACCAGGTTTGCTGGAAAACTCACCATGTATCATTGATTGTCCCATTTATCAATGCCCATTTGCGAATCTCCCAGTCATGGTTGACAGGAGAGTGCCTGGATGACACGGGTGCATCAGCTTAGAGAGCAGGACTGGATGGCCATGGGCCATTTCACCGACACCCTAAAAACCCATCAACAAACCAGCAAGTTTTAATGAGTTTTTGACTATCCCTGGCCTGGAAGAAACAGAATGCCCATGATAATGAGATATTCTAGCCATCTACAGCCTATACCTTATTATCCCTATTGCTGCTTGTCCTTCTCCTTGGTCCTTCGCCATGCTGCGTTGGTTTCTCGCATGAAAACGGTCTATGTTGGATCGGTTTCGCTGAAACGTCTACCAGGTGTCTTTGATCTTTGATAGTCATGTCATATCATGTTATGATGTTTCTGACATTTTTTGTGTGGTTTTTGTGCGTGTTTGTTTTATCTTGCTGTAAAACACCCCCATGATCAACTAACAAAAACTGATCAATCTGTCCCTATTTTTCATGGCTTGTACCACCTCTCTATGGTGATTTGGGTGATATGGTGATATGGTTTATGATTGAACCACATTATCTTCAGTAAGTTAAGCTACCCTCTGTTAAACATACAAAAAGCTATTGAAAATGGCCATAGAAATAGTGGATTTACCCATTAAAAATGGTGATTTTCCATAGTTTAGTTATGTTAGTTTACCAGAGGGTAGCGTGTCATGGGTTGTTAAACCACTTTGCCACTGCTCCGTGGGTTTCTCTCCTCGTCGGAGCAGGAGTCGCCTTTGCGGTTTCCGTCGCCCTCTTCGCCTCCGGATCCGGACGTCGTCGCCAAGCGCTTGGGGATTGAGACGCCCCTGGGACCGAAGCATGGGCGTTTTTCATAGCGTAGTTCGCCATCGTCGTAACCTTTTTTGGGGCTAAACGGCTAAAAAATGATAACATACCCAGCTCTATATATCATGCTATATCAATCTCATGTGTATAACATCCTTAGATATATATATATATATAGATATATATATATATAGATATATATATATAGATATATATATATATTATATAATATGTGTGTGTGAACATGTGTGAACCACCTAAATGGGACATCCAAGAGGAAGCCAGGTTTTTGTTGGTCACATTGCCTGGTCGCTCTTCGTTTGTGAAACAAGCATCCCAACGGTGGTTCATCCCACGAACGGTGGTCGTTGGTCGTAGCTTGCAAAATGGTTGTGAATGATAAATGGGCTATACTAAAGTAGAGTTACTGAAGATTTTTAACTGGAGTTATAACATGTTATAACCCACTAACTGGGATGAACAACCCAGTATATCCAAAACTCCGAAACGTCGTAGAGTCGCCTGAGATATCTCCACCCTTTCGCAGGCGGGCCGCCCGGGGCCCTGTGGTGCCGCCGTTGGATTTTGGGAAGGCGAGGGATTCCGGGAGATTGCATGGTAAATTTCCGATCATTTGGTGAAACTTGGTGGGCTACCCTCTGGTAAACTAACATAGCTATTGAAAATGGTGATTTATAGTGGATTGTCCCATTAAAAATGGTGATTGGCTAGTTCAATGGCTTACCCTCTGGTAAACTAACATAACTATGGAAAATCACCATTTTTTATGGGTAAATCCACTGTAAATGATCATTTTCAATAGCTACGTTAAATTACCAGAGGGTATGTATGATTATTTTGTTTGCAGAACATTGTATTTGTTGATATACTGGTTATTTTCTAATATCCAAGTTCAACGGGCCACGGGCAATGTATTTTGTCAGGTTGAAATTTGAGACCTACGTTCTTACACTCAGGATGTTGGAATGATCTCCCGGAGTATCCAATGGAATGTAGTGGGTGAATTTCGGATATGTCATTTTGGGGTTTCATATCAGATTTTTTTGGTACATGTGAGCAGCCGTTAGATGCCGTTAATTCGTGTGGCCAAGCCAAAAGTGAACCCGCTGCCTCTAGCAGTGACAGATGGCGATGGAGAAAGGGAGAGAAATGATGTATGATTTACCCATTGAAAATGGTGATGTTCATTATAGTAGTAGTGGATTTACCCATTGAGAATGCTGGATCTTTCCATAGTTATGTAAACGTTTTCCAGAGGGTAGTTGCTAGAACGCCCTTTCTATCCCTTTCTCATATTACCAGGTGCAGATGGGCGAAGTGGGCATCTATGACTTTTCGGCGTCTCGGTGCATCCCAAAGATCTCACTTCCGCCCTGGACATGCCTGGGCTTGGGGGGATTTGATGGGGTGAATCCCCATCGATCATAAAATGGCCAAGAGGGAACATGATGGAAAAAAAGGGGGATTTGATGGATAGCTGGATAGCCTTTTTTGAGAGCCACTTCTTGGGGTGCTTACGTTGTTGGTACACTGGAAAGTCCTTTGATCCAGCGGCGCTACCTGACGTTAGGAAACACTCGCTAACAGTGGGAGACAGACAAGATGAGGTTTGCAGATTTTTGTCGGAAATCAACCCAAGCTGATTGGATTCAAGTTGTTTTCGTCATGGTGTATCCAAAGTCTATTGCTAGGAACGTGTTGGTTTCGGTGTTTTTGATTGTTTCATGTTCCCTCCCTTACCAGAAGGAGTGACGCAACCGCGAGTCGCCCATGTTCATCAATTTTCATGATCCAAAAGGGCTTTCCTGCTTTTTATCATAACTCCTTATCCAGTGGTTAGGAGGGGAGCCAAGTTGCTGTGTCCATATTATTAAATGGAGGTGCAAGGAACTACAGTACTCAGAGTTTCCCTATGAGAAGATGCTGTGAATCGGGATAGATATCATCCCCCAAAGGTTTGTTTCACATCGTGAATGATATTGAATGACCATAGATTATCCAGATAATACTGTCTCAAAAAAACCACCTCCATGGTATCCCCATGAGATTTTAATTAATATATTTTATATAATCAACCAATGACGTAGCCGAGTCGATCTTGTAAATCTAAATTTTCCCAGATTTATATTTAGAATATTTAGATAAAGTAGATTTACAAATTTATCTTAGTTGATCTTAGTTGTATATCTATACAATGATCTAGCATTGGGGTCAAGTCCCCGTGCTGAATCCTCCCACTTTCGGTTAAGGCCTCCATGAGCAAGGCAAGGAGTTCGGAACTGACACGTGCCAGCTCAGTCGCTGGGCTGGTGCGGTGGGTCAGGCTTGGTGAGTTGGCTAGTTTTATACCTTCATTTTTGGACACTTAGATGAAAAGATGGTGAAAGGATGATGAAAGGATGATGAAATACGTTGGCATATTCTTGCCAATCCTTTCTCGGGGGCAGGGTATGTAAGGTTGGCCATGCTTAGGAGGTTAGGAAGTTATACCTTAACCATGTGATCATGTGCAACTGTGCTCCTTTTTGTGCTTGGCTTGCTGCTAGGAGATGTTTTGCCATGTTTTACCTACTGGAAATTGGCCTAGTCGGGGAACGCAACCCCTTTGGTATTTGCTTGGGAGAATTTCATTAGAGATCGTTTGGTCACAATAAACCATAATAAACCCCAATTGGGTATTGTACCTTCTTTGAAGAACATGCAGAAGTGGTGTGTTTTTCTCTTAGGTTTGCCTTCAGCCAACCACTGAATATCCTGAACAGGTGAACCCGAGAGCACGCAAGAGTAGATCTTTCGTTTTAATGCAGACATACAATTGAATATTAGACACCAATGATTTTGCATGTGTCAATTAAAGATACATCTAGTGCTATCATATATTGATTGTATAGTTTTCCTTACTTCGATAGATACATTTCAAAAAAAGATGGAGAAACATTGAAACTGATATACATACATTGATATATATAATGACAATGATAATGATATACTCTCATTCTATGTCCATACATGTATATATATATACATATACATATATACACGGACGTATAAATCATATTAAATAGTTGTACCCTCCCTATTACATATCACCAAGGTATTATAGACAAATGGAGGCTTCCTAAGATGTGGATACCCCCAGTCATCATCCAAATGTTCATAGGATTGGCCATGTGTTCATTCATCAAGCTATTGGGATATCTAATGATGGGACTATCCCCCAGGATGGGACTATCCCCCCATGATTTTTGGAGATACCTATGAGATATATAGTATTAGATAGTATCTTAATCATCTTAATCAACATATTAGGATATCTCATGAAAGTTAAGGTACCAAAGATTGCCTATGATTATCCATCAATGTTGATAGGAATTCGTAGGAATTTCCATTTTTTCAACCATCAAGATCATCAAGCTATTGGGGTACCTCAATTTCGAGAAACCTCCATAGTCTAGAAATATACCATATAGAAACCTCCATAGTCTAGAAATAGATGATTTTCCCATTAAAACCTCCATTTTTGAGGGATTTTTCCATGGCTATGTTAGTCATAACCAGATGGACTGGTAAACTAACATAACTATGGAAAATCACCATTTTTGATGGGAAAATCCACTATTTCTATGGCCATTTTCAATAGCTATGTTAAATTACCAGAGGGTACCTCCATTTGAGGTTTCCCTCCATACATCCCAGGGGTCCCAGGATGGTCGCTTGGGTCCGGCCTTCACGGAGCCGCTGGCGTTGTCCAATTTGTCCGGACCGTCCAGCGTGGTCGTCGACCTCACTCCGGAGGACGGGCCGGGACGGATGACCTGCAAAGCCATGGGAAAACCCATGGAAAACCCATGGAAACCCTAGAAAAATCTAGAAAAGCTGGGGGGAAAATGGCTGAAAATATCTGAAAACCATGGTTTATCCCTAGGAAACCACTGTTTTTTTTACCAATACAGTATCCTATACTTATAAGTTATAAGTATAGGATATATATATAGTATATTGGTTTAAAAAAATGTGGTTGCCGGGAAAGTCATCTTAAATCCAACCATTGAGGTTTTGGAGCCGGTGGTTTTTTTCCCCTGGGAAATCAGAAAAAGGAGGCGGCACCTAAACCTACAATGATTATAGACATGCTTTGTGCGTTGTGAAGGTTGTTTTTTTGACATGTTGGTATTCTGCATGCCATACTGCCATACATCTAAAGAATGGTGAGTTAGCCTTGAAAAGATAGAGTCACTTGGGTTGCATGCAAGTATATGTATACTATGTATACATGCATGTATGTATGGTTTATACATCCAACTGTCGTAGCATCAACTACCATAGCAACAAATTTGCAATCCTGGTGCATCCGCTATATGTGCAAGGTGAAACCACAATATTGCCGGTAAACCCCAGGGTCTGTACTGAAGTGCCTTGAACAGTTTCTTCTCAAAATGCTGCCTCCACATCCCTCTTCCAACTCATGCTTACATCACACTCATCCAAGTTACTATTATCCCAAATCCAATCCCTTCTTTTTAGGGGATAGAGGGTCCAAGACAGGCGTTCTTCAAGGATTTCCAGTAGCGGTACTTCACCAGGATACTTGCATCCAATCCTTTCTTGTGAATTAGTTTGTGTGATACCATGACCCCGGCATACCCGACATGTTTAATTTCGGAACCCAAACATAGTTCTTATTCAATCATATTCAATATTGGGTTCTCAAACTATCGTTTGTAGTTCAGCCATTCACATCCCCAAACTCCACTGGAATCCTAGAATCCCCAACCAATTTGGAGGTTTTTCTGCGCGTGTGGTGTTTATTGTGTTTGAAAAGATCGAAAGTCGTAGACCTCCACGATTGTGTCGTCGCAACAAATTCACATGTTCCGCAACTTGGAGAAAAAAACAACCATCTCTGGTTGGTGGTTTGGAACATGAATGTTATTTTTCCATATCTTGGGGATAATCATCCCAACTGACGAACTCATATTTTTCAGAGGGGTAGGTCAACCGCCAAGCAGATCTCCATTCCGTTCCAGGAGAGATACCAACTCTTCATGCGCCGCATGCGGCAGAAACACCTGGGAATGCCCAAGGTCTCTCCCTTCGCACGGCCATTGACGTTAGCACCGCAGCTGGGGCCATGAAGGGCAAGGGGGGTTGAGGATATGTGTAATGTATGTATTAGCAATGTACTAGCGTTGGTTGTTACGTGGTCTTAAAGCAATCTATGATTGTGTGTGTAATGTGGGTATATGTACTACCGGTGGTTTTTCAGGAAATATAATATATGTATGTATGTGTATGTATGTACCATATGACTTACGCAGTACCGTCTTGTACTTGAAGAAGTTTGCAGATTGGAAGCCATGGCCCATGTAATTGGATGATTTACCAAAACGGTGACTTATATCTGGTGAATTTCCGTAGGTTTTGTTGTTTACTTACCAAAGGGTATACAACCCTTCCCCATTGCGTTGTGCAAGCTGCGCATTGGAATTGCTGCGCCCTGGGGTCACAACATTTCAACAGCTGTGGCATGTCATTTTGTGTGGCAAGCCCAATGTTTGCTGTTCACAGCAAGTGATCCAAAATTGCCCTCTGGTAAACAAACATAGCTATGGAAAATCACAATTTTTAATGGTAAAATCCACTATGTCTATGGCCATTTTCAATAGCTATGTTTGTTTACCAGAGGGATATCATCATTAGCAAACATGAGACTACCGAGTCACTCATGAATCTAAGAGGTTAAGATCGGCATTGTGAAATCCATCAAGGGTCGACACAATTTTGAGGGTGTCACTTCCCTCTCCCTCTCTATGAATACGGAAAATTATATCATTAAAATTATGGAAAATCGATGTTGATACACCATTATTACTACAGTACTGCTCTATGCTATGGGTACTTTGATGTGTGGTGCCTCCGGCGTCCTGGAGTCTCTGTGTTTCTGACACGGGAGTCCCATCTACATTGGATCTACATGTCTCCTGAGGCTCAAAGATCATTTCGCCTTCAAAAAGAAGAGAAAATCTCCGGAGCAGAGCTACTTTTCACCTGGCGATGCCATTGGCATATTGGCATCGCCAATGGAAGAGCAGCTTCTTGCACCAAAATGCAGCTGTGCCGGTTTCACCATGTTTCACCGGGGTGACATCAGGGACAGAATCATGACATTATTTGGGAGAAAGGGTTTTAAAGTTGTTTGAAAAAGCATGAGTACAGGATGTCTTGCATTTGGCACACCAGCATTTCATAGCATTTCATGATCTTTCGATCCGCAAACGCTTGGTGGAATGGAAGCCCCATTAAAGCTTCCACTGAATGACAAGATCTATGCACTCATCCATGGTTTTGGGAGGTGTGAAGCAGTGGACATCATATTCATCGGTTGCAGATGGTTGCATTGTATAGATATAAATATATATATATATAATTATAAGGACACCATCCTCGACAGAATCCATGCCTGGTTAATTGATCCTGTGCAAAAGTCAGGTTGCTCGACCCTTCTGGTTGGTGGTTTGGAACATGAATGTTATTTTTCCATTCAGTTGGGAATGTCATCATCCCAACTGACTCTAATATTTTTCAGAGGGGTTGAAACCAACCACCAACCAGCTCACCCGCTCCGAGGCTACATTCTCATTTTCATCACCACTTCCATCTTCGCAATGACCTGCCTGCCATTTCAGCAGAAAGTTGAGGGACCAAAGACGTCCCAAACGGCGCATTGCAAAGAGCTGCCCTGCATTGACCTGCACCATCGCAGTACTACGGATTCTTGATGTGGCCGGAAAAGAGGAAAACATGTGTAGTTGTTTTTCAGGTTGTTTCCAGACTGGGGAATTCTAGGAATTTGTTCAGAAATCGAGGGAATGAATTAGCATGAATTAGCAAATAAAGGCAGCTTTCATTGGGGGCCACTTATTTGCAACCGCTTGAGGCGGTCAGCCGCTCCTTTTCACCTTTCACCGAAGCCGTGAAATGATGTTTTTGCCTCTCCGGGCTTGGAAAAAACATGGAATGTTGAGGGTTGTGTTGTTATCAATGTTTGCACACAGATATATATATATATTATGCACATATAACATCATATAACTATGTCTATGCACCCATGAAATAACACATTTGTACATATACGGTCATATACGTGTACATGTGCACATATTTGTTTACAACATGTACATGCACATATATGTTTATGTACGATGTGCATGTACATGTATTTGTATGCTATCATAAATTTGAGTGCACGTATAATTACGTGCAGATATTCACACACACAAATATATATATATATATTGATGTTATATTTTATTATATATATGATATGGTATATGTGTGTGTGCTTATATGCATCATCTATGTTTTTGGAATACATTCTAAGATTCTGCACACGTGCGATCCAGTGATTTCTTCACGCTCCATGGAGGTGGCCCACCGGTGGGCCATGGGATCAAGGAACTGGTTACCCTCTGGTTATGTCAAAATAGCTATTGAAAATGGCCATTTAAATAGTGGATTTTCCCATGAAAAATGGTGGATCTTTCCATAGTTACGTTAGTTTACCAGAGGGTAGTAAGTTGGTTATATTATAATGGGATTGTAATAGATTGGTTATTAAGTAACTGGTAATTGGCTAGTAAATGACCCACTATATTCCAATTGCCATCTATTTGCTGACTAGTTAAGGGACTCCATCCCCCATCTTTAGAATCTAAGGAATCTAAGTATTGTCCTCGTGGTTTTCCGCCTTCATCGAACAACCTTGGAAGAACATGAGACGGTGAACCGCAGGCTTCGGCATACCCCTGAAATTGGATGGTTTGTTCTAAGCTTGACCAATTTTCACATGCCCATTGGCACAAAAAAAACCTTGTTGCTTTGCCATGAAGCGGCCTGATTTTGAACAGCCTCGCCAGGGAGTTGCGGTTCCTCATCAGTGAGGGTTGGGGCGGCGCGCAGTGGGCACAGTGGGCCGTGTCATTTCATGCTTCACTGCTTGCTGCTTTGAATATGCTTTAGTTTCCGTCTTACTGACTTTGGGATGAGAATCCTGGCTGACTATTTCGGTTTTCAGGGTTGAAACCAACAATAAGGAGTTGAATTCTGAATCAACCTTGGATACTTTTAGTCCTTTTGGTGTTGCAATTCATGGGAACATGTACTAGTCAAGCACGCAAGAGGGTGTGTGAGATTGGGTTTTTGACCGTCGAAGAGTAGCCATGTGTTAGATATTCTTCTATATTGATCTATATTGCCACACATACACACACAGATATATATATATATGTATGTGTGTTGAATTAGATATTCAATCCGTCGGATTAGTATGAACCAATCCAAAGTTGGAGCCCCCATATCAACCAGCCATTAGCTTTGGGGATGACGGCAGGTGACCAAAATTGTTGTCGCTGAAGTTCTACCCATTTTAAGAGGTGAAGTCACCGTCTTGATTTATTAAATCCGACCTTGATTGCTTGAATCGTTTTGTTTTGTTACAGTACACTGAATTGTATCTTCAAGTGGTTAAATCCCTTTTGAACTGCCTAGATCTCATTTTGAGTGGTGTTTCGTCCCTATGCTGGTCAAGTCCGAATTTTGAATCACAATGCTGGCTGATATATTCCCCGTGTATTGATTGCTTAAAATCAAAGCATCTTCAATCACAATTGTAGTTGGGTCTATATATATATATACATATATATTTACATACACATGTATGTAGGCACGTATGTATGTACCGTTTTACCTGTTAAAATTCACCGCCTGTTTGGGGCTTATGCAATCCTAATCTTAATAGATGTCAAGTGGTTGAGTCTGATTGTTGGTGATAAAATCTTACTTTGATTATGTTTGATTTGTGAAATGCTTACATGTTTGGTTGGTTTAAAATCCACATTCTGGATGGTTGAATCTGTTTTGTAGCTTAAATCGCATTTTGATTGGTTCCAACCCTTTTGGCGATTAGACTTCCATTCATGCTGGACATAAATCAGAAGAATCCTGTGAAGTCCTCGTTTTATCTTCTTCGCTGGTTAAATCCCAGTGTTTGAGGGTAAAATCAGCATGTTTCCAGGTTAAGTCCCGATTTTGGCTACTTCGCCATGATGATAAATTCACATAAATCCAAGAAAAAGATCTTTCGCTTGGTTTCCATTCCTTCTTTTGCTGTATATCCATACAATCCTCATCTTTTCTGAAGCTCGTTGGTGAAAAACGCTGGCTCAGTGTGTCCAAACGATCACCGGGGACAGCATCTGGCCATCCGATGGCAGCGATGCCAAAAAGCCGCAGACGTTTTTGTCGTTCGGGCGGTGGGCTGCGGCTGTCATCCTGGAAAACTTTTTGGACCGAAAGATGATTTAATGATGTTTAATGACATTAATGATGACATAAATGATGACTTTTATAGATGGCTGATGCCCAAATTGGTTCAATGATGCAATGATGCTTTTCATGAATGGGTGACGCGAGACTTGGAGATGATGAAAATATGAGTTCACCTTGAAGACGAGCCATTGATGACTCAACAAGCGAGTCACGGTACCTTTCGCCAATCAAACGTGGCACTGTGGCACTTGAGAATCCTACCATTTATAAATGATGTTCCCATATTTTCCCATGAAAACCTCTATTTCTCTAAAAAGAGGCTACCTCTGCTTTCATCATCTTTCATCCCAATTTAGGTTATAGCATGTTATAGCTCAAAATTGAGGTGCCAACAATTGGCCCACAGCTGAACTCGTCTTGGACGCTGCCCTGGTGGCCTAGTGGGATATCAGGAATTGCCGAGAATTTTTTTTCATGGCCCTTAGCTATGTTGGCTGTTTGTTTTGCTATGGATATACTTGGAACCAGGGCAGATTGGGAATACTTGATATATCTTGATATCAAGTGAAATCAATGGGACCATTTTGGGGGACATTTTGGAACTGATTTGAGTTCCAGATTCCAAAGATTTAGGTCCAATGGCTTTGGGCTTTCAGTGTCATGGGCCTCCCCTGTGGTCGACCGCGGCCCATGGCGGTGGCGGTACGCCGCAACGTGCCGTTCCTGGCCGGCAGGGAAAGTTTAATGCTGAAACTACCAAGCCATTTGTGGGCTGATTGGTACATCATCGGTAAATCCTAATTTTTGACCCATACTCATGTGATTTTTGTTTGTCCTCCAGTCCATGTTCCCCCATGTTTATCCAATTGTCATCCGTGGTCGTTGTTCATGCAATGTTCATATTTGGTTATCCAATGTTCATCCAAGGTTCATGCAGGTTCAATCCGTTTTCATCCCAGGTTCATCCATGTTTCCAGGCTCAGTGTGGTAAAGTGGTGTTGCAGTGTTGCCATTGTGGTCCCAAGTTTCCGTCGCGCAAGATCCATTTCCCTCAACCCTGGGCGGCTGGAAAAAATGTTGAGGCATCAGAACATGACATGGTCTAGTAATAGTATATACCCATTATATATCATTATGTAATATAAGCTGTGTGACCTTTTTTGGCACAACATGATATAAAGGACTGGGTTTCAGGTAACATCTTCTCTCCTCCAGTTCTCTACCCGTTCCTGTGAGGAACGATCACAGCTGTTTGTTCTGGGCTGTGGCGTACCTGACTGTCGCTGGGCTGGGCTGGGTCGCATGGTCAGCCTGGGACTAGCAACACTGCTTCTACGTCACAAGTGCACAAACTTGGCTCACTCAGTTGGTGCACACATGTACATATTATTTTGTATATATATATGTGTGTACACATGTATGTATATATATATATATATATGTATATGTGTGTGTGGATACGTCTAATTATATGCATATATATATATATACATAATATATATATGTGTGTGTGTGCGCGCATATTCTGTATTCATGCGGTATAGCTTGTATACTCATGTGTGTTAGTATAAAAGTATACATGTGTAATCATATGTGCTGTATATCTATATAACATGTATATACAAACGCATGTATATGTGTATATAAAATATATGTGTGTGTATGTGTTGTGGACATACACGAGGGATTGGTTCAAAAGTATTGGCCACTGATTCTAGGGCCCTTAGCATCTAGCACAATCAATCCGTTTAGATCCGTTTAGTATATCCCGATATTTAGATACCCCTTTCAAAACCCTAGGTTTAGGTTTGGATCCATAAATTGTGGCCCCATATAGGAATGGTGTTGAACCCCATGAGGGATGGATTGGTCTCCTCAGTTTATTGATACACCAATGTTGGGTGTTCTTAAGACCTCCCCCCAATGGGATAGTTGATGTTAGGTATATAAAATTATATAAATATATATAAATGGGCATACCAAAAAAAAAAGAAAAACATCAAATATATTCAAAGTGGTTGGTGGTTTGGAACATGAATGTTATTTTTCCATAATATATATATATATATTGGGAATGTCATCATCCCTATTAAATTTCACGAGCTCCTGGGATTTTGGGATTTTTAGGGAATATTGGATATCAAGGTCAAGATGCAATATTTGGTGCAATGTACACGCACAAGGGTGGCACCAAAAAACTTAAGCGTCATGGTTTGCACGGGTTTGCATTGGATCAGCCTTCCATAAATGGAATTGGTCCAATTAATCGTTCAGAAAAAATGAAGCGGTCGGAAACGGTAAGAAACGGTCGGAAACGGTCGGAAACATGATCAGGCCAAAACTTGTTCAACCCGCATTTTTTTTTAAATAAGCATTTCCGCGCAATGCCGTTTTTTTTTGAAGGTCCAAAGGTGTCCAAGGGGAAACGGTTGGAAACAGTCGGCGATCGCACCTTCGCGCGGCAAAAAAGACATGTTTTTACACAATTTTCAAACATTTTTCATGACCATATGCTACAAAACAATTACTTTTTTGCCGCGCGAAGGTGCGATCTCCGACTGTTTCCAACCGTTTCCCCTTGGACACCTTTGGACCTTCAAAAAAAAACGGCGTTGCGCGGAAATGCTTATTTAAAAAAAAATGCGGGTTGAACAAGTTTTGGCCTGATCATGTTTCCGACCGTTTCCGACCGCTTCATTTTTTCTGAACGATTAATTGGACCAATTCCATTTATGGAAGGCTGATCCAATGCAAACCCGTGCAAACCATGACGCTTAAGTTTTTTAGTGCCACCCTTGTGCGCGTACACTGCACCAAATATTGCATCTTGACCTTGATATCCAATATTCCGTAAAAATCACAAAATCCCAGGAGCTCGTGAAATTTAATAATCATCCCAACTGACGAACTCCATCATTTTTCAGAGGGGTAGGTTTTCCACCAACCAATATATTATGGGGATATCTTGATAGCGATCAGACCGGCTCCAAGGAGGGCAGCGAGCTTGGACGCGCCAAGGCAAAGGAATTGCGCGAGGTGCCCACGGATGGGGAGGTGAACCATGGTTACCCTAAACGGTAAACGGTTACCATAGCTATGGAAATTCAATGAAAATCACCATTTTTTAATAGCTATGGTCAATTACCAGAGGGTAACCAATCAGAAATTTGGATTGGCAAAACTATTTTCGCTTGTTGGTTTCAGGGGTTGTAGCTTCACGCATC